TTCAAAACACAACGCTCTGTTTCTTGTCGCCTTTAATGTGTTAACATCCGTAAATGAGCCTCCCAAGCATCATCGATTTCCAGTTTCGGTTCTAGCATCGTGAAGCAGGATTTAATTACAAGCACTTCTCACATGATTTACAAAACATAAACATGTGATGTAAGGACTAAATGGGGATGATTATGTGTTAAATGCATCGCCACGGATTTCCAAAACGTTATAACAGGAACAACAAAGGCAAAGCTGAGAATGGCTGGACTCAACATTAGAGAGCTGAGGTCAGAAATGTCTACGGGGCACTTTCTTGGATTCGGTTGAACTTGTAGTTTCAGGAGGGTATTATTTCCTCAAAGTGACATAACATCACAAAAAGCTCGACTTTAAACATTTAATTTCTTTGTCCTTTTTTGGGGCGGAGGAGTACAGGACGTATCTGTATCCCATTCTTTTGTGATGCTACTATGATGCATTTTTGCAAAACTTTGGGACTCAATAGATCTCACTAAAAAAAATTAAAGAAAAGATGAAAGCCATAAATGGGCTTGGAGAGATTTGTGTCTAATTTCTTTTTTCCTCTCTCTTATTGTTCTGTTTCGAAACAATAAGCCTTAATGGAGGAGCACCCCCTCTCTCGGATATAAAAGCTTTACTTCTAAGCTAAGCAAAGTTCTAGAATTGCCAAGGATGTAGCACATGGCACTGGATGTCAATACTTTTGCAAAAGGAACAAGCTCTTGTGTAATCTAGGACAACCAAGTTGCTTTTTGGTAAAGGATGGGTGGGCACCTTTTTTTCTTTCATTGTTTCGTTTCAAGATCAGGGGTCCGAGGGTCGAGAGACCCTTTTCCGACAAAACTTTATTTTTCCCCAACTGCCATTCGATCTGGGAAAGACTAACGACCACGGTGGTTTTCCGTATCCAAGTTAATGACCGTTCTATTGAGTGAGTGTCCATCAATAACGAAATCTGCATCCCCCCTCCAGCTGCACAATTTGCAATTGTTCGTAATAATGAACGATGTGGTTGTGAGCACATGCATTTCCATCATCTTTTAGTTTTGTTTTCTTGAACTTTACGTAGCTACACAACTGCCCCGTTATTGTTTACAATGAAGAAGAGTAATTTCTTTTTTTTTTTTTCACATCTCGTGCATCTCCCTTCATCGCAGTCCTTATGCATGCATCAAAAAAAAAAAAATGGTTTGTATACTCTTTACAGTATTCATTTCATTGCTCTTTGAAATAATGTTTCGGTATTTCTTTTTCATTTATTGTTATGTATTTTTCCATCTTTGCTTTTTTATTCAATGAGACGTTTCAGAAGACAGGGGGTGGCAAAACGACACAAATATGGTTGAGTTCTTCCGAATAACTAACCGGACAAACGTTTGCCGAAAGTAGATGGCATTGCGCAGCGTAACCAATGACATAGAGAGAAAGCTAAAAAGCTGATTTAATTGTATTCGTGGGACCGTTGTCATTTCTTTAGTACAACAGGCAATCACTTGCAGCTCTATACCGTCAGAACCGAGTAGAAAAACTGTTACGGGAATCGACACCCCTCTAATGGATCTATAGTTTCAGATAAGGTTTTTTGGTTCCTCTGACGAACTTATTCTTCTCAGAACATCTTGAGTCTTGGATTAGTGGCCAAATAGGCCGCATGAACAACTTAGCTGCAATTGTTCGAAAGCAATGATAAAGGAATGGGTGAAAACAGGCTAGAGTTACCATCTCTCCATTTTTGTTTGTTCTAATTCATGATGCATAATGACATCCATCTGCTGCACCAGGCGCTGCTATGCAGAACTTGCATTATGCTTTCTTCCGTTTTGGTGGTGTGTCTGCAACCATCTCTGGTTCACATTCTAGTAAAGACAATGGATCGATGTAAACCAGCCCCAAGGCAGTGCGGATGCTCAAAGTGGTCCTTGACAATAAAGGAAAAGCAACGAAAGGGTGTGGCGCGGCCAAAAAGAAAAAGGAGGCTACCCGCTACAGAATAGATGCATCCGCGTTCTATTTCCCACTTGAATTTGTATCCTTTTTTTCTGTTTTAACTTGGTATGTAGTTGCTCAAGGAACACATGTCTATGAGGTGAATTTTTGCAAAAAAACATGTCAACTTCAGGGGGGAGATGCCATTTCCACTAGAACACGCCTTAGAGTCAATGATATTGGCAGAAAAGAAAATAAATGGTCAAGGCGTGCTTTTTTCCTTCCCGCTATTTTGTAACTATCTTGAAGAAAAGATAAAGGCGGGTCTGGCAAAGAGAAATCTTGGTCAATTAATGTAATTACGAGACGAAGTAGTACCTTGAACCTAAGATCCAAAATGTAACGAGTTCCTCGAAGAGATCTGATTAGAATATTATTTCTTGGGCATTTTGCAAATTAAAATGAGAACAAGAGAAAACCAAACAATGTCATCAAACCCGCCTCAATTATGTCAAAATAAAATACACATACAGAGAAAGGAAAGAGAAACTCCATGTACATCGAAGATCATCAATTGCAACCGTTAATTATACGTATGTTGGGATTATAGATCATACCAGCGCCGTAAACGGTTATAATCCATGACGAGGATACCAATTGCATACACATATTTCCTGATCCATATTTTTCCGTTTCTTCGTTTAACTACGATGAAACTGAGTTTTACATTCATTATGGTGTAATGGATAAGGTCTTCGTTAAAGAGAAGAGAAGTACAGGAAAGACTGAGGTTTTTTCTGTAGGCTGAGACTGTGCAGGTATCTACACTTCTTTCTTAAAATTGTTTCAGTCCTCTTTTAAAGTAAAGCAAGGCAGTTGGTATGTAGGCGACCCGAAACAAAACGGAAATCTAACCCCATACACGTGAGATGAGGAATACCAAAGAAGCATTCGATAATGGCGTAAAGGGCATCACCAAATTTGAGGGACTAGGTTCGCGTCTTTTCGGGTGTTCAATTACCCTTGTATTTTACCCCAATTGGGGATTCGGAAACCAAAAAAAAAAAAGTTAGACTAAATTTGCTAGAGTAATATCGCCTTTTCCTTTGTTGTGGTTGTTTGTTGTTGCTTGGACATTTCCTCTCGGGTGTTTTTTTTTTTTTTAATGCAGTTGTCGAAGTTATACTTGTGTTTACAAAACTCTGATTATATGCTTGACAACGGTTGGAATGAGATGATTTTAAATGCAATAGGAAAACGTGATACGCTTCTTGTAGAAGTGTAAAGTTTCGCTGTGTATAGAAAAGGAGAATGGTGTGCAAAATAATTTGACGCTATAACGGCGGTTTCAGACAATAAAAACTCTATTTCACGTTCCTAATAAGTTCTTCTACGAGTTGACCTTAGTGAGATAAAAGGCGGCCCTACTACAAAGCCTTGAACGACGGGAAAAAGAATGTAACCTCAAAGCCTAGGTGGGTGGATAGGTTGCCGGTATTTTTTGTAGTTTACTCACTATTCGCTATTGTTTACTTTCATCCACCTTGGGGAATCATTACTAAACAATTATGTAAGATTTAAACCTGCATGCTTTCTATAGCTTTTGGTTCTGGTCTTTTGTGTAAAGTATGTTACAAAAGGCGACACAAATGCAATTAGGTTCTCCAAGCATGCACAATGAGTTAAAGTCTGCAAAATATTATTTACACTAAGAAGAAAAGGTGTTTGTGTAAAGTAGTGTGCAGTGTAAGCTCTTATTGTTATTTGGTTACCTTTATTGATTTGTTTTGTGGTATATGCACTGCTTGTTAAGATAAAATAATTATTTGCTAGTTTTTTATATTTTCTACTTTTTCCCTTTTTTATTATCCGTACTGTGTATAAGCGCCGTTAACTCAAAAAGTAATACAAAGTGCGGGTTATATGTCTAAAACTGTAATTCCATGTAGGTTGTGCAAAATACATATTATTTTTCCATCCTTTTTGCTTCTCTTTCCATTTAGTGTAGCAAACAAACAAGAGTGATGTTACTAAAAGTGCTATAAGCTCTTTCCTTTCCTTTAGGCAAGACATTATTGTGTTATTTCTGTAAAAGAAAGTTTATTATCATTGAATCTCCTCTATAACACACACAAAAGAATGAGTGGTAAGTTGGTATTGTTTCTACGATAAATTTTATATAAATACAACTTGCAATTTCCTTGTATCGTCAAAGCATTTTGCCCGTTTCCATAGTTTTCTGTTTCAGTCTTCAATAACAAAAGACAAAGAAGAACATACATTAGTTATCTTGCACAGTTCAAATCATAGCTTCCGTTAGAAGAAGCCAAGCCCAGACACAGGTACAGACAAATACACTCACACAGAGAGATAATCGAGAGATATAGGATAGCTTTCCCAAGATCTCCGAAGTATACCATTGCGACTACCAGTCCTATTACGTCAAGTACCACCACCAATATAGTTTCCTTGTGCTACCAATCTCACTATTTTAAAGAGAGCTTGATTTTGTATCCCAAATTCAAAAATAAAGCCGTGACCCTCATAAAGAAAAAGAGGAGAATTCAAGTAGATAAGCATTACTTTTTGCACTGCTCAGTTTACACAGGTTTGCCTTTACTTTGACTTCAAAATTAATTTCATTTCAACTTAAATACCACAATCCCACAATCTAGAGATTTTAGAAAGGGCTCAAAACCATCTTTACTGATATCTGCACAAACTATTACACATTACGTACATACAAAACGATCGTCATCCACTACCCTGCACAGTTGCTTACCCGCCCAAAACGCATTACATTTTCAAAAATTAATCAAGAATTGGGGTTTCTTGGTGAGGGAAAGAATTTACGTCACACATAAACTCACGCACACCCACAAAACATATCGTGTTACGCAAGGGAGTTAGAATCAATTGGATATAACATTTTCCACTCTCCCACGCACATATATTACATATATTCATACAAATAGAACTCGATGATGATACTGGACCACAGCCATTTCACATTGCTTTCCAGTAACAATATACCCAAGAGTCGTACCATAAACAGCAGCAACATGCTATCGACTCACAACCCTAGCACCACTGCTTCTTACGATAGATCAGAGCCAAAGATTACGGCTTTGCCTTCATTTAGTGAGTTGCTCACATCCATACCACTCCCAACAGCCTTCAAACCAAGGAGTAATAGCAATGTATCGACTACTTCGGTGAATACATCAGATTCAAGCTCTTGCATTGGTTTGTCGTCGATGCCAGCTCCATCATCAACACAGCCGCATCAACAGCAGAACCAGCACCAGCACCAGCACCAGCACCAGCAATATCGTCCATCGCCGTATTCTTACTATAGTCAGCCGTCAATACAGCATAGGTTGCCCACACCACCTCCAAATCAGTATCAACAAACTACCCCAAAGCAAGTGCAAGATCACCCACAACAGCAGCAGCAACAACAACAACAACAGCAGCAACCACAGTATCAGTATCAGTACCAAGTCATAGGCTCCACTCGTACAGCATTCATTGCTCCACAGCCCGTTTCACATCGGTCGTCTTATATTGATCCACTCACGCCTGTATCAGCTTCCATAGAGACAAAAGTACGATCTTCATCCATTAGTGAAATCCCCATCTCACCAGCATTGGGTCCCTGCTCCAGCACGACATCACCTTATAATCAACAGCAACAGCAGCAGCAACACCATAACCACCATCAAATTAGCCCACTGCAAGCTTCATCAACCAGAACGTCTTCATCAGTGACATCACCAATATTGGTTAACCATGTGACCAAGGATTCGCGTAGGAAACACGTTTGTAAAGTCTGTGCGAGATCTTTCACAACAAGCGGTCATTTGGCTAGACATAATCGTATACATACAGGTGAGCGTAAGCACAAATGTCCATGGCCTACATGTGATGCTAGATTTGCTAGACAGGATAATTGCATGCAACATTACAAGACTCACACCAATGGGAAGAATAAGAGGTCGAGAAAGTATATCGGTCATACTGGTTATGGGGGAGCATCAATTGCCGGTGTTGGTGTCGAAGCACTTGGTGATGTGCAAAGAATGCATCCTCACACAATGCCAATTCCACAAGGTGCTCATATGTTACCAAGTATGCCACATTTAACGAGGTAAGACGACGAAGAAAGGGGAGGAGGAGGAGGAGAAAATGCCCATGATTAATGAGGATTATACACTCTTTCTGCTTTGCTTTCATGCAACTATTGGTATCTGGAAAAAGCTTTGGTTCCATCCAGCTGTATTTGTTTTTAGTTCTTGCTATTATATTATCTACACAAACTTCATTTTCTATCTTAGTTTCAATTGTATGGCTTTGATTTATTCTGGAATAACCATCGATTGTAGTTTTGGGGAGTTGGGGGTAAACTATTATTAGTTTTGGCCGATACAATGGTCACCCCAAACTAAATGCCGGGATGTATAAAGTCTTGTGGGGTTACTTCATATGCCATTTTGCATTAGAGAGCCTAGTCAAATCTTGGAAAACCTCATTGGAATACCAAGAACCAAGGAATACTGCAAATAATATCATAATGATTCTTTTGTGGTAAGATCCCCGCCCATGCAACTTAGTTATCTCTACGAACCTTCTCAGAGTATTCTGTTCTGACATGTGATTCATTACTTGCACATGGCTTTCTTGACTTGACAGTAACTTTTTAGTCCTTTTTCGTGTCACCCCGCCTCTGCTCATAACCCTTGTAACACTCATTTTACCCGTTTTGGCTGCGAAAAAAAAAAAAAAGCAGAAAGGTGTAGACCGGAAAGGAAAAAGCTAAAATACAGCACTACTTGCCGACTTGTTTGAACAAAGTGGGAATTAAAACGTATCTAGCACCAGTTCTCCCTCGATAATCGCCCCCTTTTTTTTCAAGTATTATTCTCAACTTGAACAATCGATGATGACGTGATTGTCCATTAGTCACTGTTTCTTGGTCTTGATCTTTTTCTTTTTTTCTTCTACATTGTAACTTATTTTCTGGCTAATATCTCTTCCACGAGTTTTGCATGAAAGTACAGAAACCTACATTAAAATGTATTGAAATAACAAAGTAAGACACCATTTGAGAACAAATGAATGTTTAAAAGGAGGTGGAAGGGCGAGTGGGGATAATTATTATCAATAATGACATAATGATTAAACTTGTTTAGTTCTGAGGCAAAGCAACAGCAACAGCAACACGCAGCTTCGTTTACTTCCGTTTTAGTTTAATTGAGTCGCTTTTGGTTAAAGAACACAAAAAAGAAGAATGTTGGGCTTCAAGAAAGGCTCTTTCCCTGTCTTTTTTAAGTTAGGGTTTAGAGATGATAATTGACTATTTGAGAACCTTATTTTGCAAAGTAAGGATACGCTTGAAAGATTGACATTTTTTTTGAGAGAAGAGAATAGTCGTTGTTTGTGGGAAATAGTTGACTAATTTTCCAAGAAGAATCAGCTGACACATGTGTAATGATGGCTATGTCAAGAAAAAGCAAAAAAAGATGGTAACTGGCACTGAATATCCTTACTATGGGCTAAGTATTGCTCGTTATTTACAAAATTTGGGGTTTCTGGAGACTGATTATTAAAATCAAGGTTTCTCTTGTCTTCAACTTTATTTTATTTCGTGAAAGAAAATTCTCCGAATGAAAATGTAATTAGGCTTCAAGAAATATACCCCGGTTTAAAATTTTAACTGGAGAAACATACTCAAAAGCATTAAGAGAGATTCTTCGATATTATTTATCTCTTTTATATTGTGTGATAATTATATTATTTCATGATTATTATTTGCAGTTGTAGTGTATTGTATGGGTGATCTCCTTGCGCGGAGTACATAGGTGACCTCTTTGTGTTGAGTATTGTGTAATCAATCAAAATTGTACGGAGTCAAGAACTCTAAAAAAATGTTCAACATTGGCGGTTTACCTCACATTAGTGACTTGTATTGAGAAGTCAACACAGGTGTTTTGGAATGATACACAAGCCAACCAATCGTACAAACCCTCCCCGAAAAGTGTCCAGTATTAAGTTCAAAACCTTAAATAGTGACTTGACTTGGATGCAGAAAATGTCTCGAACCTGGTTTCAAGTCTTCTAATTCAAACCTTAATTTCATCAGTACTATACGGCCGCGTCGGAATTCAATGCATGATTGCTAACCCGATAGGGGAAGCAACATTGTTGATTCTGCCAACCATAGATGGCACGCTCTGGCTTCAATGTGTGAATAAAGTAGAAGGCTACAGAAAACAGAGGTAGAATTGGATTGTTGCAATTGCAAACAGAAACCACAGATAACACGTTACAGCCCTGGTTTGAGCTTCTTCTAACAATGTTTTCATTCCGCGTTCATATAATTTCGGACTGGAAAAGCCCCCCCTCCCCCAATTCGCTTTTAGTGTCAATCACGTCTTCATTAGGTTCATTCGTTTCAATTAAAGTTATATAATCATATGATCAAGTCAAGGTGAAGTTTAACTCAAAAAAGGTATCTCTTTACTCAAAACTAGCTAGCACAGAGATCGGCATTTCTGTCTGGTTCTCGATAAATGCGTTTAGTTACAAATGTAGTAATTTTATAACATAAACAAAAACTAAATGATTGAACTAAATGTGTAATTTGTAATATACAAATAAAACTTTATTGCAAATTAAACTTTAGGAATGAAACAACCTCTAAAGGATTCAGGTGTATCATATTTAAGGTTTTGTAGTTAAAACACGTGTAGATCGCGTTGTTTGTTAGAAGGAATAGTTTAGAATCAAGACTTGGCGCTATGGTAATTACGAGGATGTGATGATTTTAGATGTTTATAAAAATTAGACTACGATAGCAATGTAGATGCCCATTTCATCTCATTAAGCTATACGATCGGGTGTGGTTTCCCTGAAGCACCAAGATAGCTCATTTTCAACCACTGCCCTTTTGCATCGAAGTGTGTTCCACATACACACGCGTAAAGTAACTTTTTGGTGTTTGTTTCATATTGATAAAGGTTAAGCGGACCTGAAAATGGAACAGAAAGGGTGCCACTCAAACAAACTTTACCGTTGCAATGTGTTTCCTTACCCCCCCCCCCCCCCCCCTCTTTAATGGACTCGCGAAATAATAATGTTGAGGGTTTATGGTATCCTTTTTTTAGCTACCCTTTGAAACAAAGTTTCATGCAATTAAGGTTTTGAGAAAGAAACAATAAAGCTTGGTTATGGATAAGGTGAGCTGATGAAAAAAGAACAAGGTTGTTTAGTTGAGATCCATGCATGTAAAATTTACAGCTCATACAGGAATGATCGACGGTTACTTTAGTGAGAGGCGAACGAATTTCAAAGATTGGACTACATAAAGTAGGTCACCCAATAATGAAGTCGAAAGGAAGCAATTAGCCAATGAAAAGGTGTTGTTGAAACATGGTTTGTTTGTTTGAGGAAAAATCTAAAAATCAATGAGCTCAAGAATTGCAAATGCAACAACTCTCGTATCTGCAACCAATGTTTCATTCAGCTGCAAAATACATAAAGTTCATATATCCGGTGAAGAAAAGTATGAATTCTCCGAAATTGTGGTCATGCATCGATCTCTTCTCTAGTTTATGCAGTTTAAGGTATTCTCAACCATTGTGCAACTTTCAGTTTTAGTCTAAGGTACCAAAAGTGTCATCATGGCCAAAGAAAAATATGATTTCTCTCTTCTAGGTTGAGAGTTTTTCGTTATCTCTTGACATTACCTGACAATTTAGTGGTTACCATAACTGAGACGAGGCCTCCAACATCAGGCAATACCTTGTTGGAATTGACCATGAAATGGCCTCATTTTTTTGCATTTTGAGTTTTGATCGTAATTACATAATTAATCTTTTGTCAATGTTGGATTCATAGTTGCAGATACGGTGATATAGAACGTTTCAATGCAGTGTAGTATATGCCATGTGATATCGTCAATGTAACGTTGTTTGAGTTATCGCGAGTGTCGCATTTGGTTGTGTTGTGGAAAGTAGCTCCACTCTGCACCTACGAGCAAACCATTTTTCAAAAAGGCGATGCTGCTTCTTAAACACACTGCCTTGAAGACGGGTCTAAAATCCGCTTCACTTTTAGTCCGAGAACGCCATAAGCGAGAGAGAAATGTACAAGTGCGGGGTATTATCTGACTCAACCCTAAATCCTTAAGATCAATAATTTAAGGTTCCCTTCGATTTTTAAGAATATAAATTTAGAAATTATGCTCTCAAATCGTTTGTCGTATTACCAATATTATCAAACGATCAGAAGGGAGTAATAGGAGAGACAGGGTGCTATCAACTTTAATGAGGCTCATTTTATAGTATCAACAAAGCGTGCTACATACTACGCCAGTAGTTATGCAATCTTTTGTAGCCTATTGTACAACACAATTTCTTGAAGCGTGAAAAGAAGTCTTTTTATTTGAGTACGGACGATTTGCTATGCCGCGGGGAGTAAAGGATACCGATATGATCAGGCTATGATATGCACTACGGTGTGTAAAGCATAATGTTGGGTAGCTTAAAAAAGAACATGTCGGCTAAAAAAGTGTAAAAAATAATATTTTCACCCAACACAAGAACTAACAACAATAGGCTCTGGCCAAGAACAACACATCCAATTTCACGCTTCAAGTTTCTACTTCACCGCACTATGGAAACAGATTAGGAAACTTCAGGGACGCATCAAAATCGAGAATATACTCTACAGTACATAAAAGTTTCAAACTCGAGATTTAAAAGCCGCTCTACATACTTGAAACAATAGAATAGAAGCTTTAGACGGTTGCTTCCAATAGCAGTAACGAACTTGAAATTTGATTCCTTCTATTTCATGAAATTCTCATAAACAATAAACATAGATGGATATGTTATTACCGCCCCGCATCAAGCTCTTATAACCGAGTGTTTTCTCTATCATCACAAAATAGAAAAATTCAAACTCGTCGTCAAAAAAGGAATAGCCTTTGTTGGTGCTTTGAAAGCTAAACATATACCAAAGTCTTTTTTGCTCTTGACTCGATTAGCTCTCTCCCTGATTTTACGGTGACCACAACGTAGCTCTATATAAAGAGCTATATTACTTACATGTTTATATGCTTTTATTTGAGATTGTGTAGTCAGTCATGCAGTTTTGATGACTCAATAGATGCATGCTATTGTCAAAGAAAACGCACAAGATATGACGACCTAAGCATTGTGAAATTTTTGGGAAATTTCATGTCGATCAATTTCATCAATCCACGTGCATAACATGTATGGTTATGATACTTTTATACAACACTGTACAAAGACATTTATGATGGTTAAAAGTTAAACGAAACGAAACAAAAAGCAGATAGTGTTCTTGGTTATGAGCTCTGTTTGGCGATTTCAAAATGAATGGATAAATGCAAGGCTTCACCCCCAACCTTGGTGTGAGTGGGAATTTCATCTGGTCTTAATGTCCGTCACCGCCAACCAAGAACCCATTTTGTGCCTATTTGTACGCTCATAACATTACTGCTGTCATCAACATAGCATATATTGCTGGCAATATGTTGACGACGCTAAGCTTGTGTTAGCATCGATTTTGACGACGGGATTGCATTAAACAGTAGAAAATGTGTACTTCCTGCAGTTGCGACTACGCTACGCACTACAATGATGTGCCGGATCTATACCCATAGTGGCAACACAGTCGTTACAAAAAATGTGCTCGTGTCGTCGTCACCGTATGGTCACTGGGTCAGTATTATCATAAGACCCTGTTGTTCTTCTTATTACACAAAATCAAATTTTTCAAGGTCCAAAGGGCTGTTGACGAAAATTTTCACAGGGACCACAATGTCGGTTAAAAAGTGTACAAGCTGGAGACTACTATTGTGTAACACACTAAATCGACTAAAAGACCTTTCGTCAATCTCTTGAATGTACATTGTATGACATATTAGTGACTGGTCAAAATATTTCTACAAAACAAGAGTCCAAGTGTTATCCTTTTCATTCATCGTATACATTTTCGTAAAAATGAGTTCCATTCAACTCATTATCAATGTTGTAAACAAACCCATTAATGAGAACCTTTTTCAAATCACTTTTATGGTGGAAATCATCGTAGTCACCACCATCTTTCAAGAAATGTAAATCTTGTTCATCAAACCTAGCTTCTGCATTACCACGATGTAAGTTCAAAATCTCTTGAATGATATCGTTCGTGTAGTGACTAATTGCTTTTGGTATACGAGCGAATAAATTCTTGTTTTGTTCGCATATTGCCACATCGTTATCATCTGGCTGATCTCCCTCATCATACTCGCCTTGATCGATGGTAAGCTTGTCAAGACATTTGAAGTTCTTTGAGTTTTCAATTTGATGGAAATCCCATATGCTCTTCCAGATTGGGAATGAAAGTTGGTCAATTTGGGTCAACAATGAAGACGATGCAATGAATCGTTTGTTTAAATTGGATGCAATTGCAGCAAGTAGATGTGAAGCATTCATATCTTTGTACCGGTGACTATCTTCATCGAAATACTTGTGTTGGAAAATGAAATGGTCCAACTTGTCCAAGTAAATCTCGCAATATTTACATTTGCACCCATTCCAAATCACAGTGTTCATGTATTGCTCATAACAAGTGAATGTATGGAGCAAATTGGGTAGATCGAGAATAAAATGTGATGTTGACTTGCTTGATTTCGTGATGAGTTTTGGCAAAATGGTGGTGTATAACTCATAACGACGATGATAATTTCCTTCAAAACCATCAGGAAAATTTCCCAACTGTGGCACGCTATGCTTGACAGAAAGGTAAGATAAAGTTTCAATGTAAGAATTTATGAAGTTGAACATTGTCAAGTCGTACGACTCGTTGATTTCATGGGTTGGAAACATCGAGCCTTGAAGAACTGAAAGTTTCCTCAACTTGGGTAATTGCAGAGGTACTGCATCGAAACAATCAAAAATGTAGTCCCCAACTTTGTCAACGTTTGGGAAAGGTGAAACAACCTCCAAGGCTTTTATATTGTTCCATTGGATTAAGTGTATAAGGCTGATGGTATCCTCCAATGAAGATGGGTGAAAAACAAGTCGAAACTTTTCTAGTTTCGGAAAATACACCTTGTTGGGAAATACATTGCTTCTGATCCATTTCCAATATTTTTCCCACTCAAGTGGTAATATCAATTCAGTTAAATTGTGTGCCATGCTTGACAAATTGTCAATTTTTTGGTTATTTCCGACGAGTAAATGCTCAACATCATCCTCTAGAGTATCGAGATCATCTGCAACAACTGTTTTGAGTTTCAAGTGTGATAGATCTACCTTAGATCTTATCTCCTTATTGTCGATGTAGAAAACATCCAACTTTTTAAATTGCTTTGCTAAACTCTGCACCGATGAAATCACATCATCGCTGAAGTCATCTCCCACAACATGCACTTCCTTCACATACCCGAAAAGTTCGGCATTAACCTGAAGCGCTTGAATCAATACAAGTACTCTTGCGTGTATCATCTTCATATTCAAATCCTCTTTAAGACTATTGTCAAATCCATAAATCACCAGACGTGAACTGTCCTGAAAGTCAACTTCTCGTCGATGGTCAGATTTTGTTTCTTTCAAACGTAATGGAGCATACTGTGATATTACAATCTTTGAGTATAATTGGGCAAGGCAAGGGTGATAAAATTCAAAATTTGTGGTAGCAAGGTTGATTAGTGATTGTTGTGGCAAAAACTTTAAAATGTTTTGTAGAACCTTTGGCGGTAAGGAGAGGAGCAGTGGTAGTTGTGAAGGTTCAACCATGATCGGATATCCAAGGTATATATTGGAGGGTTCTTCAACACCGAAAATGGTTCTGTTTCTGCGCTGAAAGAAATCACAAGGTTTCCATACCCAACAGAATTTTGTTTCTGTATCATACAAAACGAAAAATCACGTGCTTTGGGAAAACATTGTAAATCTTCTATAGATCCCTCCCAACCATTGTCCTGGCTTTTGGGTCCCCAAATCGAGTGAGCAAAGAAGCCTACAGGTTGTGAATAATACGACTAGAATCGGCTAATTGAGACTTGCTTTACCTTTTAAAGCTATCGTCAGCAGCACCTTTGCACATCACTTGCCACGTCATTGGATCTTCACCTCTGGCTGCTACTCAACCAGCCACGACCATACTAACGCATGTTTAGGGTAACATTCTTGTAGGTTCGTATTCAATTCAGCGGGGGATTGTATATGGGTAATGCGCTTATACATTTGGACTGGTTCTTAGCGCTACACAACGCAATGTTATTCTTGGACCGTCAATCCAATTGAAACAAATAGAGTCCATGTGAATCAAAAATTGGGCATCCCCACTTCCATTAAAACAAATGGAAAACACCTGTTGCGGAAAAAAACGGAGATAGCAAAACTTTAGTAGAGATTATTTAGCTAATTCCGCCGTACGGCACTAGTTTTTCCGTATTCAATTTGGTGAGCAAATTACCCATTTGAGTAGTAAAAGTGTCATTACTCAGCAAGCACATTGAAGAGAGGGGCGAAGGGCATGTATGTTTATATTTAGAATAGGGGACTTACCTTGTTAGCTCCACGGAACCATTTTCTATAGAACTGGTTGACTTGCAAATAACTGAGACAGGGTTCCCCACTCGATGAAAACAAAAAGGGATACAAGAAGTAGAGAAAAGTCAATCCCTTGTATCTGAACCGAGCTTCTATTGACGTTTCCTACCCCTTTGGCTATAGTGCCGTTGAGCATACAATGCTATTGATGCCAATTCCGTATTAGCAAATCGCATCATTACAAATAAATCCCGATCTCGAACAAGTCTATGGTGAGGCATGCGTCGTTATTAATAAGCAGGGTAACTTCTTTAGGGCTACACAACTCCGGTCATGCATTTTCGTCATACTCACTTTTTTAAGTTTGGGATCTTTGTGCGTGCAGCTCTCTTCTTTTATTGGTTGGTGAAGTGATCGGATTTATTACATATCAATCCCGATTTTGTGATTACATGAGATACAAGTTCATGAATTACTAATCTAATACAAGTGTGATCCCTCTAAATCTTGCACATATAAACGCAGTCAGTCCCGATAGGTTGGCAAAATCTTCCCCTTCAATCACTCTTTTTTTTTTTCACTGTCTTGTCTTTGTCTACGCAATAGTCAGTATTATCGATTGCATAATATTATTATTATATATCGCATTTGTCAAGCGGATATAATTTTATAACGTTTATTATATCAAAACTGGGGTAAAAGATTTTCTTTTATAAAGAACAGACAAATCCTCAAAAGGTAATATAACAGGCTAACCGTGAGAGTCGAACAATGAATCAACTAGAAGAGATAGTTGCAGCGTCTTCTGCACCTCGTGAAGGTGCCATAACTTACTTACAGAGCTCGACCACAAGCTCTACCCAAACAGATTCCTCAACCCACCTCAACACGTCTTCTGAGGAGAAAACTGAAAAACAGAATCTTTCATTTCCAGACCGCCTTGAAGATCAAGAGGCCAGTGTTGAACATCAACCACACGCCGTTTACGACTACACAAGGAATGGTGACGAGTTATCAAGGTCAGAATTGAATGCCCAATTATCGCGAGAGCTTTCCAGAAGAATTACCAACACAGGATCGTTCCTATTGCAAGATCATGCCGATATGGACCTCTCCATGGGGGAGAATATTCCCTTCCCACCAAAATTGCCCGATAGAACTCCATATTGTGTCGCATTCAATGGATTGGATGACCCTTATCATCCACACAATCTCTCATTTTACAAAAAGATGTTGTACAGTGCTTCAGTTGCAATGGCAGCACTTTCATTTTCAATGGGTTCATCTATGTTTTCCCAGGGTAATAAAGAAGTTATGCAACTTTATCATATTGGAGAGTCAGTTGTCGCTTTGGGTACTTCACTATTTGTGTTCGGTTTCTCTGCAGGGCCAGTTATTCATGGTCCCTTAAGTGAATTGTTTGGTAGAAAGCCAATAATGGTGATTTCATGTTTTGGTTACGTTTGTTTTCTGTTTGGCTCTGCTACTTCCAAAGACTTGCACACATTGATGTTGTGTCGATTCTTTTCAGGGTTTACAGGGAGTGCACCATTTGTGGTTGGTCCTGCAGTTATGGTTGATTTGTTTAGAGCAAGAGTAAGAGGAATAGCAATGTCGGTGTTTGTGAGTGTATTGTTTGGTGGCCCTATGATTGCTCCTGTATTGGGCGGTTTCATTGTCAAGAATCCAAGTATGGGCTGGAGATGGACCTTGTATATGTCGGGGATTATTGGTTGCGTTTCTTTGGTAATGAATGCCTTTTTTTTGCAAGAGACTCATCACCCGGTATTACTAGTGAGGAAGGCTGAATTATTGAGAAGAAACACAGGTAATTGGGGCATATTCGCCGCACACGAAGAAGTCTCCCTAAGTTTGAGTGAGATTGTGAGAAACAACATTATGAGACCATTAAAGTTGCTATTCACTGAGCCAATTATTTTCCTCGTCAGTGTGTACAATGCGTTTGTTTATGGCATGCTTTATGCGTTTTTGACGGTTATTCCATTAGTGTTTTCAGGTCGGTACCATTGGTCACAAGGAGTTGGCGAGTTGCCATATGTGTCCATGTTTTTGGGGGTTTGTTTTGGGGGTCTTATTATTGTGTATTTCGAAAATATGTTGAATAAGAGGATGGATGCTACGGGATTAAACCCATCTCCGGAGGCAAGACTACCACCAGTCATGGTTGGAGGAGCTACTTTTGTAATTGGAATGTTTTTGTTGGGCTGGACAGGTGACTATGCCGAGCATATACATTGGATCGTTCCCGTCATTGGAGCTTTTATTGTTGGTATTGGTTTAATGTTAATATTCTTGCCTACTATGAATTACATTATTGATTGTTATCTATACATTGCTGCTACAGCTTTAGCCGGTAACACATTTCTTAGGTCTTCATTTGGTGCTGCCTTTCCTTTGTTTACTACACAAATGTTCAACAACTTGACCATCAAGTGGGCAGCAACTTTACTAGGTGGTTTGGGAGCATTGATGATGCCTTTGCCGTTCATCTTCTACAAATACGGTGCTACAATTAGAAGCAAATCAAAGCATGCGATGCATTAGATCTCACAATCTACCTCCCATAAAGTTCTTAGATACAAACTCAGCAATAGATGTGCATATGAAAAACTACTGTAATTGAAACCCACGTTTTTGTTCATGGGCGGAGATAAGTAGATATTACCGACTCTCATTCATCATCACTCATCAGTTTCACAAAACTAAAGAAAATGCAATGGGCCAAAGGCACAGCCTAATATAGTTTTTTTAGTAATTTGACTTACTAATATCGGACGGAGTTAATTTTTCCGAATTTGGCAATTCCGAAACGGGAAAAATAAAAATAGTCAAACAAGCAAAACATACACAAACAATGTGAAAATTGGGATGTGTTTAGCATTTCGGTTGTAAAATGACATATCAGCCTGTGATTGAATCCTCTGCTTTCGCAGGTCCATCTTTGAATTGTACGAGTGTGTACCCTTTAAGGGGACAACGGCTTATTTTTCTTTTTTTTTTAGGGAGCATTACATTGCTGCACTAAATTTAGATCTGGCATCGTATTTTCTCAATGCCTTGCGATACAAAATCACTGTTGCATCCTGACAAAGTTAGTAAAAGTTATTGAATTCTATCAAGATCCATCTTGAATGTGTCTACAGCTCGAGAGATGCTACATCTTATATAGTTCTAAGGAAGGGTTTGCCAAGCAAATTTACAGTTACCAAATTCGTATCTGCCTCGCAAAACAAGAAGAAAAAAAAATGAAAAGAATTAAGTTTTGATGACCGGATTTATTATAATGATCAGCACCGATGCAATCGTGTAACGCCAGCAAAAAGAACAATTTGAAAGAAAGAAAACATGTGTAATGCTGATTGGTCTTTGATGTACGGTCACCCCCCTTTCCTAAAAGACGTGTCTTTTTTAATCCCGATAACTTCAACTAATTTAGTGGCATCGGAATTATATTTCAAAATAAATCCATTGTTCTTATAAAGGCTTAAAAATGTGAAGTTCTTTTTTATTTTTCCTTCTTGTATCGACTCTGTGAAACCTTTAAGAAAAAAATTTTCTTTTTAAAGCAACAGCAATCTGCAAGTTATCTATAAATACGCTGAGATCCCCTTTTACCTGAAGAACAGTTGTTTTCAACTACCTTTTTGAATTATAATTGGTTGTTGTTTGCTACTTTATACCAAAAGTCACTGAAGCAAATTTTTTGCTATCAACAAATACTATACTTTTACATTACCAATTAGTCGCCAAATACCCCTAAGAGCAATACAATGCCTATAGTTCCTGTTTCGTTGAATGATACGATACCTGGCCAACAAGAAAGTTCGCCACAGAATGCACATATACAAAGTCAAGACATAGAAGAGTTGCCCCACCCACAAACAGTCGACCGTGATGCACCATACCCTGAAAGACATCATGACTCAACTGGATCTAATCTTTCCTCAATTAAAACCAATACAGAAAATGAGGATGAAAGTTCAGAACTAAAACCATTTCAGGGCCATGATATAGAAAAGGGAAATCCAAAAGAAGCCAATCCAGAGTCAGATTACGTCTACCCAAGAGAAGGTGATGAATTAAGCAGACATGAAACAAACCCACAGTTATCAAGAGAACTTTCACGAAAAATTACCAATACAGGATCGTTCCTATTACAAGATCACGACAATGAGCACCTTTCCATGGGTGAAAATATTCCATTGCCGCCAATGTTGCCAGACAGAACACCATATTGTGTAGCATTCAATGGGTTAAATGATCCTTATCACCCTCATAATTATCCACTTTGGAAGAAGCTATTATACAGTGCATCAGTAGCCATGGCCGCTTTGTCCTTGTCTATGGGATCAGCCATGTTTTCTCAAGGAAGTCGTGATTTGCAAGAAATTTACCATATTGGGACATCGGTTGCAGCTTTAGCAACTTCGTTGTTTGTGTTTGGGTTTGCTGCTGGTCCTGTTGTGTATGGTCCCATGTCGGAATTATTCGGAAGAAAACCAGTCATGGTTATTTCATGTCTTGGGTATGTCAGTTTTCAATTTGGATGTGCTGCTGCAAAAGACTTGCAAACCATCATGTTGTGTCGTTTCTTTTCTGGATTAGTGGGGAGTGCACCTTTAGTGGTTGCACCAGCAGTAATGGTTGACTTGTTCAAGGCAAGAGTAAGAGGCCTGGCAATTTCCGTATTTGCAAGTGTGTTGTTTGGTGGACCTATGTTGGCCCCAATTTTGGGTGGTTTCATTGTCAAGAATCAAAGCTTGGGTTGGAGATGGACGTCTTACATGTCTGCTATCATTGGTTGTTTGGCTTTGTTTATGAACACATTTTTTTTACAAGAGACTCATCATCCTGTCTTGTTGATGAGAAAAGCCGAGTTATTGAGAAGAAAAACTGGTAATTGGGGTATTTTTGCTCCTCATGAAGAAGTATCCTTGAATTTGAATGAGATTGTCAGAAACAACATCATGAGACCATTGAGATTGTTGTTTACAGAACCAATCATTTTCCTTGTCAGTATTTATAATGCCTTCATTTATGGTATGCTTTATGCATTCTTGACAGTTGTCCCACTCATCTTCTCTGGTCGTTACTATTGGTCTCAAGGTGTAGCCGAATTGCCATATTTGTCTATGTTGCTTGGTGTATTTTCCGGTGGAATTACAATTGTGTACTTTGAGATGCTATTGAATAAGAAAGTGGATGCTGGGTTAAAGCCAACCCCTGAAGCTAGATTACCACCAATCATGATTGGTGGGTTTACTTTTGTTATTGGTATCTTTTGGCTCGGGTGGACTGGTGATTATGCTGAGCATGTGCACTGGATTGTGCCCGTCATTGGTGCATTCTTTGTTGGCAATGGGTTAATGTTGATCTTTTTACCCACTATGAACTATATTATCGATTGTTATTTATATGTTGCTGCATCTGCATTGGCAGGAAACACTTTCCTCAGATCTGGATTCGGTGCTGCTTTCCCACTTTTCACCACTCAAATGTTTAACAACTTGACCATCAAATGGGCTGCCACATTGTTGGGTTGCTTAGGTGCATTAATGATTCCAGTGCCATTTTTGTTTTACAAATATGGAGGATACATTAGAAGCAAGTCAAAGTTTGCCATGAAGTAGGTGATATTAAAATTAGACAAATGAGGTGTTTATTATAGATAGAGTATTAAAGCGTATAGTTTTAGGGAATTTAAAGCTTAATCTTGATAATCGTGTAATTTGAGTAGATTCAGCCGAGCTCAATGTACTTGGAAGTGAAAGATGAATTGCAGTGGGACTCAATCTAGAACCCCTATTGGTAAGGTTTATACAGCCATACTATAGAACAAATGCATACTTCGAGCTAGCCCTCACTTTCTTACCAAAAAAATAGAATAAAAACGGGACTGGTATCATGGCCGCCCCTAAACAACCCAACAATGTAGCAGCCCATTGAATCTTCATATTAACGAACATCTGCCTAGCAAAAAGGGGGAAAGCTGCACCAAAAGCTGACCTTAGGAACGTGTTTGCTGCCAAGGCAGAAGCAGCATACAATAGGTAGCAGTCAATGATGTAGTTGAAACAGGGCAAAAAAATCAACATTAATCCATTCCCAACAAAGAACGCGCCAATAGTGGGCACTATCCAATGAACCTTGTTACCGTAAGCTCCACCCCATCCAAGCCAAAACATACCAATCGTGAAAGTAACTGAGCCAAGCATCATTGGCGGCAACCTTTCCTCTGGAACCGGTTTACCATCGTTCTCGTCCATAACTTGATTGTATCGTCTTTCACCCCAAATTACAATCAATCCACCAACGAGTGTTCCCAAAAGCATCGATATGTAAGGTAATTGGCCCACACCTTGAGACCAACCATACTTGCCAATAAAGATCAAGGGGACCGCCGTGAGAAGCAAGTACAAGATACCATAAATAAAAGCATTGTATAACGAAACCAAGAATAAGATGGGCTCGGTGAATAACATCTTCAATGGACGAGTAATGTTGTTTTCGGCAATTTCTTTGATACTCAAGGAAACTTCATCGTGTGGAGCATAGATTCCCCAATTGCCGGTTCTCCTTCTCAACTCCTCGGCTCTTCTAGCAAGAATGATCGGATGATGGGTTTCTTCCAAGCAGAATATACTCATGACAAACGACAAAGCACCTACAATGCCACAAAAGTATGAGGTCCATCTCCATCCCAAAGATGAGTTTTTTACAGTAAATCCACCAAGAATTGGGGCAAGCATGGGTCCACCAAACAAAACCATAGCAAAAAGTGTAATCGCAGTGCCTCTTGTTCTTGCACCAAACATATCAGCCATAATAGCTGGCGCAACAACCAACGGCGCGGCACCAATGAACCCAGCAAAGAATCGACACAACATAACCGTTTGAACATCTTTAGCAGTAGCTACAGCAAAGCTAAATAATGTGTATCCTAAAGAGCTGGGAATCAAAATCATTTTTCTTCCAAATAACTCCGACAATGGACCGTAAATGACTGGTCCTGAAGCAAACCCGAAAACGAATAGTGATGTGCTTAGAGTAGCAACAGTCCATCCGATGTGGTAAACCTGCATCAAGTCTGTTGCAGCTCCAGCAAACATGGCTGATCCAATGCTAATACAAAATGCAGTCAATCCCGCTGTGCATGTATATAGAAGCTTTGTGGAAAACTTCCAATTCTTGGGGTTACCAGGATCGTCTTCACCATCAAATTCTACAACGTAGGGATCTCTTGTGCCTAGATGTTTCGGGTATGGTCTACCCCCGCCCATAGGTGGCAACGGTGTGGATAACCTTGTAGCTTGACGGATTAAATTGTCATAATCTGCCGTCAATCGTGATACTCTTCTCGACAATGCTATATTTGAGTCATACTCTTCTTCGGGATTAATGATTTGACTTTGAGAGTGTTGTGGTTGTTCGAGATCTTGGCCAACAAACGCCTGTACTGGAGCCTCTTCTACTTTTGGCTCCTCTCTTAGATCAGTATAGCTTTCGCTGCTCGTGGATCTATCATCTCCTTCCTCTCTTGCATTCATGGTTGGAAAAAACCGTGAAGAGTCTTGAGGGAAGCAAAACGTGAGTAAAGTTGTAAATTCAATGCAATGGGACCACTCCCCCTTTAATATAGTAGCGGAGGGATTTACTCATAACCAGTTGCTTTAGAGAACCGGGTCATTCTTGCTCATCGGCAATAGACATAGAAGCCATTTCGCATAAATCCGCCCCACACAGGTATACATATATCACCGCATTTGTTCTCAATAGTAAGATAACCAAGCAAAAAGGTGGTTGTCAGTCATACCCTATTGTCTTTTCTCTGCTCGAACCAATCACAATCTGTGTCTTGTTTGCTTTTTTTTTTTTTTACGGTTTTTGCGGGTTCCAGATATTCCTGTAAATAGGAACCAACTTTTCTTGGTTTTTGGTGGTTCTTTTTTTTTTTTGGAACTGGTGCACAAACCATAACCATAACCATAACCAGTACTTTGACCACCGTTGAAAACGAGAATTACAATTGGTGAATAAGAAATAGTGAGGGTCTTACAATAACAGTGTACAGGAATAACGTGGATTTGTCTGGAACAATAAAATGTGACGAATGAAGAATTCAGTAAGAATAGGTAACGAGAATGCATGTAACGTAAAGAGCCGTTTGCAACTTGAATTGACTATCTAGAGCTCCTTCCGAGAGTGACAAAATCCCCAGTTTTAAGCTCATTCTCAAGCCGAAAGCCAATTATGTCACACAATTGGCTCTATGAGTCTCCTCTTTGTACATTCCATCTACTTTGGATGGCAACTCTGGTTAATGCTAATTCTTAGTTTAGTGGGTCAAGATGTATGTCGGGTGTAAAATTGTAGATTCTCGGATTTAGATATTGCGACAACAACCACAATTTGAGTGATAACTCCGTTTCTAGCTCCAGACTCTGTGTCACAAAACTCAAAGATCGAACACGATATTCTCTACGTATCATTAATCTTTCCTGAGACTTTGTTTGCGGTATTATGTCCATCACATTTACAAACTACTGTGCCCGTGGAACATCCGCTTACCCTGTAATGCTATTTATAGACACATCTCCTGCAAGCTACTAAATAACCGTTTCTTTGCATTATGCATTCACTAAATTAGGATTGTTGACATTTTGGCTTTTTTAGGGTGTCCAACCGAAACGATTCTCGGGAGACGGACTTGGCAGAATCTAATCTACCTTTGGGGCTGTTACAAATTGGGTGACACTGCTCCAAACCGGAAATGGTACAGCAAGTATCCTAGGACATATCGGGGTATATTTTGTGGTTTGACCATGTAATAATCTGTTTTGAAACAAAATGAACAAAAAAAAAAAACTTTCCGAGTTTTGAGGACACAAAAAGAGCGGCCAAGTAGTGTTGCAAATTGTTTTTTCTTGACATTGTTCGAAGAATATAAGCAACAGAAGCAATGAAATTGACAGCACTAAGATTTTCTTTTACTGGGAGGTACAATTACCTTTTGTCAACCACATGACAGTGTTCTAACATTTTGTTTGGTGTTGTGGAACCTATGATATTGATTGGTTTAAGTGGCCCATGTCCTATACGACTGTTGCTTCTACCAAGATAAATAATCTTTGCAGAAACGTGAGTTGCCTTTATTTTGACAAGGTGCCTTCATATTGAATGTGGGATTTCAACTGGCTTGTGATATTCAGCATTGTCATCACAATGACTTTTTCAAAAGACAATTGGCCCTTAATTTGGGGAATATGTCCCGGTCCCAACGGTCCTTTGGGTGTGTTCCTTTTGATACAACTATGTTACAACTACATATTCCAGACTTCCGAACTTTCATAATCATATTGTCCTAAAAAATGCTGTGATGTTACAGCGCAAAGAAATCTAATGCGCTCCGATGAATTGAAATTCGATTGCGATGCGATGAAGAGATTACATATAAGCGAAAGCTTACTGTTCGACATTATTCACAATATGGCCAAGTTTGCTAAGTTGTGCTACGTCAAAACAGTAGCCACTGATATTGAAATGAGTGACTTCTAGACGATAAACAAAAATAAAGTTTAGCTGCGAAACTTTAAAAGTGAGGCTGCATAATATCGTACGACTTTGCATAATATTTTAGTAATCGGATTTATCAGCGTGTGCTGTTCCTATGTATCCGTTCTATTGCTATATAAATAGAAGAGACTACAACAACGTAACCTGACAGCACATCAGAGTCGCTTATTTTCTATTCCCTCTACTTTGTATACGTGACAGAGATCGACGAGATTATATTGTTACCCTATCAGAAAAAGGTCATTGTCTCATAATACAAAACCTAAACCATTCCATAATCCAATAACCACAACCTATTCAAATTACCTCCCAAATGTCGGTAAAGTCTGAATCGTCAAACGACAATGGAAGTACTACTTCAGGTGCCGAACCTGTTCAATTTTCAACGTCGCCACAACAACGCTCTGAATCACCAGTAGCGCACCAATCGACTCCAGTGACAGATGAAGGATCAGAAAACGACAATCAACAACAAGAGATGGGGGTGAATTCAGAAGAATCATCCATCAAATCTACCTCAGAAGAAGAGGATGATGTACCGCAACCATTTCAAGGCATTGATTTGGAACAAGGTGACCCCAAGACTAGAGTGGTTGATACAGCTCTTGATCAAGATTACCCTATAGAAGGTGATGAGTTGACACGGTTGGAAACAAACACGCAATTGTCAAGAGATCTTTCACGTATGATTACCAACACAGCCGACCTTCTAGATCAAGACTATGGTGAGAAAATTTCTCTTTCCATGGGTGAAAATATACCATTCCCGCCAATGCTTCCAGATAGAAACCCCTACTGTGTTGCATTCAATGGTGTTGACGACCCATACCATCCGCACAACTATCCCGTTCGTAGAAAGATTATTTATTGCATATCAGTGGGTTTGGCATCTTTGTCGGTCGCCATGGGTTCGGCTATGTTTTCGCAGGGCACTAATGAATTGAAAGAGATTTACCATATCGGGACATCGGTTGCAGCCTTAGCAACTTCGTTGTTTGTGTTTGGGTTTGCTGCTGGTCCTGTTGTGTATGGTCCCATGTCGGAGTTGTTCGGAAGAAAGCCAATCATGGTTATTTCATGTCTTGGATACGTTAGTTTCCTGTTTGGTGTTGCTACAGCAAAAGACTTGCAAACCATCATGTTGTGTCGTTTCTTTGCAGGATTGGTGGGGAGTGCACCTTTAGTGGTTGCACCAGCAGTAATGGTTGACATGTTCAAAGCAAGTGTTAGGGGTCTCGCTGTTGCTGTGTTTGCTTGTATCTTATTCGGAGGTCCCATGGTTGCCCCCATGTTAGGTGGATTTGTTGTTAAGAACGAGCATATGGGATATCGTTGGACATCATACATTTCAGCATTTATTGGTTGTTTGGCTCTATTCTGCTGTACATTTTTGTTGCAAGAAACTCACCATCCAGTTTTGCTAGTGAGAAAAGCGGAGTTGTTGAGAAGAAAGACTGGTAACTGGGGTATTTTTGCTCCCCACGAAGAAGTGTCTCTAAGCTTGAGTGAAATTGCCAGAAACAACATAGCAAGACCATTGAAGTTGCTTTTCACTGAGCCAATTGTTTTTCTCATCAGTGTTTACAATGCCTTTATATACGGCATGCTTTATGCGTTCTTGACAGTTATCCCATTAATATTTGGAGGTAGGTACCGTTGGTCGCAAGGTGTTAGTGAGTTGCCATATTTGTCTATGTTGCTTGGTGTATTGTCTGGTGGAATCATCATCATTTGGTTTGAGAAAACTTACAATCGTAAGCTTTTTGAACACGGCAACAAGCCAACGCCAGAGTCAAGATTACCACCGATCATGATTGGTGGGTTTACTTTTGTTATTGGTATCTTTTGGCTCGGGTGGACTGGTGATTATGCTGAGCATGTGCACTGGATTGTGCCCGTCATTGGTGCATTCTTTGTTGGCAATGGGTTAATGTTGATCTTTTTACCCACTATGAACTATATTATCGATTGTTATTTATATGTTGCTGCATCTGCATTGGCAGGAAACACTTTTATCAGGTCTGGTTTTGGTGCTGCTTTCCCACTTTTCACCACTCAAATGTTTACTAACTTGACCATTAAGTGGGCCGCCACATTGTTGGGTTGCTTAGGTGCATTAATGATTCCAGTACCATTTTTGTTTTATCGATACGGTGCTTATATCAGAAACAAGTCAAAGTATGCCATGAAGTAAGTCGTGTGTAAATAATGTGAGTATATTTAATTAGTTTAATTGTAGAATAAAGCTTTTGTAGAATTACACAAAGTTAAACTTTTTCGTGCCGATGTTCTCGGCCGGATCTCGGGAAGGGAAATCGCTATGAACATTCCGAAAGTTGATCAAATTGAGCATCATAATACTCTGTGAATCAGGGTCATCGGCGGTTCTGTTTTTTGTAGTCAGCCATGCTGACATCAAACTGGCAGAGGTGTAATGAAAGTATAGCAAAGCTCATGAAATGGAGGTCCAATATGAAGTGGCACTACCCAAAGAATTTCGACAATTGATAAGGGTTATTTCAAGCTCATACTGACGTTGGTCAGGAGGAGTATATTTTCAATGATTGCCTAAACCTCCTTCGGTCTGAAGGTCAGAGATAGACTTCTTTATTTTTCTTCATTATGCCCTTTCTCATAGCTTCCACCAAAGTAAAAAACACCTTTTCCCAAATTTGTTGCAAAATTTGAAAAATATGGTGTGCATCGAAATAAAATTAATTACAGGGCTAAAACAAAGTGCATCGATGGGTATTGAATGAAAAACTCTTTACCAATGGAGTGCTCTTTTGCGTGGCAAAAATCATATCCTTTTAAAACCTGCCGCACACAAATTTTTCTGCATTAGGAGATAAGGTTACCACTTCGAAAAGCGAGTTGGAGCTATGGCAGTTGAACCTATCAATTTAGTAACACTCCAGAATGTTGTGTTTATAGAGTTATGTGGACTACCATTGACCTGGTGACGTAGGACAGCACAAATCTTTGCACCATCTTCCTGACTAGTGAAGCATTGAAGTGAGAACGACTATAGTAACACCTTACTCCGGGTCCCTTATTTTACTGGGATATACATGCTTACTTTTGTTATGCAGATTCCCTCATTTCACTGATCAGAAACTGTTATCAGCATTCACGCTTATATGGAACAAAAGAAAGGCTGAGTGGGACTCCGGTAGAAACTTACACAAAAGCTAAGTTTTCAGCCCCTCTCTTGTGAACAAGACTTTTAATTCCGTGTGAAAATAGAACCCCTCATGATAACTCCGATAATATGCCCAAAAGAAAATCACACTCGAGAAAAAGCTCTTCCCCACCACTGGTATTAGATCATATTAAAAGAGAGAGATGAAATTCCAGTCATTAATAGTTAAGTGGGAAGTGTTGGTACAGGTTGTGCCTGATCCTCCTCAACCCGACGCCAAATACGGCAAATTCTTAAAGCTAGGAAATAGTTTCCCTGTTGGTTTCCTCCAGCCACCTCGTCACAGAGACGAGTAGTCAAACATACTTGTACTTGTAGCAGTTGATGCATTATTTACCGAGGTTGCTTCAAAAAAGAACTCTTTTCAATGATTGGTGGGGATTATTTCTCCAATGTTTCTTTGCGCTGGCTAAAAAGAGCAAATCTTTTTCTGTTGACAAAACAATAGAATATCACACAAAACCGGCAATTGTGCTCAATTGGGAAATGCGAACTCTTTTTGAGAAGGGAAGAAATATGTCGGTGAGTTTAAATACAGTATCATAACCCAAATATAACCGACTTAATTAATGTGTAGGTGCACTAAAACAATGCTTCACTATATATTGGAGCAATCAAGTCAACTCACATGAATTTTTTTTCAAAACTCTATTTTAATTCATTTTGAATCTTACTGTATATATAAATTGGAGGCATTCTGCACTGCATTTTATACAAAATCCATCGCAAGCTAGTGCTCCACAATTAGCAAAATGAGTGCACCAAACGAAGGAGAGAGGCTTTCTATCAACAGCAGTCCCTCGATTAATTCACTGAAAGAAGAGCCAAAGGAGGAAGAGGTTCCAGTTCAAGATTTTGTTGGTCAGAATGTAGAAGCACACAGAACTCGCAGTCGAGCTGAAGAAAACTATCCCAACCTTGACGAAGATTTTGGATACGAAGCGGACATCGCGTTGTCGAGGAAGGCTTCAAGATTAACAACCGATTATGACAATTTAATCCGTCAAGCTACAAATACTTCCAGACCTTTGCCACCAATGGGGGGCGGAAGGCCGTATCCGAGAGAGTTGGGAAGCAGAGACCCATTCGTTGTCCAATTCGATGGTGAGGACGACCCGGAACATCCGAAGAATTGGAGACTTAGAACGAAGCTTTTCTATACGACAACAGTTGGTTTGAGTGCTTTTTGTGTCAGTATTGGATCAGCTTTGTTTGCTGAAGCTTCTCAAGACTTGATGCAAGTTTTCCACATAGGGTGGACGGTTGCAACTTTGGGTACTTCATTGTTTGTTTTTGGATTTGCTGCTGGGCCAGTCATTTACGGTCCATTGTCGGAGTTATTTGGAAGAAAAATGATTTTGATTCCCAGCTCTTTAGGATACACATTATTTTGCTTTGCTGTAGCTACTGCCAAAGATGTTCAAACGGTTATGTTGTGTCGATTCTTTGCTGGGTTCATTGGTGCCGCACCATTAGTTGTGGCTCCTGCAGTGATGGCTGATATGTTTGGTGCAAGAACAAGAGGCACTGCGATTACACTTTTTGCTATGGTTTTGTTTGGTGGACCCATGCTTGCCCCAATTCTTGGTGGATTTACTGTAAAAAACTCATCTTTGGGATGGAGATGGACCTCATACTTTTGTGGCATTGTAGGTGCTTTGTCGTTTGTCATGAGTATATTCTGCTTGGAAGAAACCCATCATCCGATCATTCTTGCTAGAAGAGCCGAGGAGTTGAGAAGGAGAACCGGTAATTGGGGAATCTATGCTCCACACGATGAAGTTTCCTTGAGTATCAAAGAAATTGCCGAAAACAACATTACTCGTCCATTGAAGATGTTATTCACCGAACCCATTTTGTTTTTGGTCACTTTGTACAACGCTTTCATCTACGGTATGTTGTATTTGTTCTTAACAGCAGTCCCCTTGATCTTTATTGGTAAGTATGGTTGGTCTCAAGGTGTGGGTGAGTTGCCGTACATATCGATGCTTTTGGGAACACTTCTGGGAGGAGTGATTGTAATTTTGGGAGAGAAGAGGTACAATCTGGTAATGGATAAAAACAATGGTAAACCAATTCCAGAGGAAAGGTTGCCGCCAATGATGCTTGGAGGAGTTACGTTTACAGGTGGTATGTTTTGGCTTGGTTGGAGTGGAGCTTTCGGCGACAAAGTACATTGGATAGTGCCCACTATTGGCGCGTTCTTTGTTGGGAATGGATTAATGTTGATTTTCTTGCCCTGTTTCAACTACATCATTGACTGCTACCTATTGTATGCTGCTTCTGCATTGGCTGGTAACACTTTTCTTAGATCAGCTTTTGGTGCAGCTTTCCCCCTTTTTGCCAGGCAGATGTTCGTTAATATGAAAATTCAATGGGCTAGTACTTTATTAGGGTGTTTGGGTGCCATAATGATACCAGTACCATTTTTGTTCTACATCTATGGAAGAAGAGTTAGGGCAAGCTCAAAATATGCGTTTGTATTGGAGTGAATAGGACTATAGTAATTAATTAGAGTTATGCGTTTTGATCATTGATTTCTGCAAGGTTCTTTGAAAAATGTTTAATCCGCGATTTTGAAAATCACCTAGTGATCTCATTGTCTACAAATGCAGATCCGAACACTCACCACCACAGCTCTTCGACTAGCTAAACAATCACCACCAACAGCTAGCACAAAATACCTAGGACGCCCATCGAACAATCTCTCTGCAGGGCTTGTGGGGTTGGCAAATGTTGGAAAATCGACATTCTTCCAAGCCATTACAAAGTCTTCATTAGGTAATCCTGCGAACTACCCTTATGCCACGATTGAACCGGAGAAATCCATCGTTCAAGTACCTTCTAGGAAATTAGATCATTATCAACGCATTTATAAATCACAAAAGAAAGTTCCCACTAACTTAACTGTGTGGGACATTGCAGGTTTAACGAGGAACTCCAGTTCTGGTGCAGGATTGGGAAACAAATTTTTAAACGATATCCGTCAAGTTGATGGAATACTACAGATTATTCGTGGGTTTATGGATGACGAGATTATACATATTGAAGAGAATAAAGTTGACCCTGTTCGAGATTTAGTTATCGTCAATGATGAATTAATATTGAAAGATTTGGAATTTATTGAAGTGGAGATGGAGAAGAGCACAAAGAATTTGAAAAAGCCAAATCAAACCCATGAGGCAAGAAATTTGGAGCTTTTGGAGAAATTGAGTGATTGCTTGTACAACGGTGTCAAGGTGATTAATGGTGTTTGGACCGATGAAGAAATTGATTACATAAACGGGTTAAACTTGTTGACCGCAAAGCCAACTGTATATCTATTGAATGTGTCAAAAAGTGATTATATTGCAGGAACGAACCAGTTTTGGGGTAGAGTACAAGAGTGGATTACCACCAATTCTGGCAACGATAAGCTTATCATGTTTAGTGCTGAATACGAGCATGCACTAATCACGGCCGAACCACAAGATAAGGAACTGATCGTTCCCGCAGTGATTCAGGAGATGCGCGATTCTTTACATTTGATATCATTTTACACTTGCGGCGATATTGAGTCTAGGCAGTGGACACTTCGAAAGGGTAGCTTGGCGCCAGATGCTGCTGGGTTGATACACACCGACTTGCAAAAGACATTCATCAACTCGATTGTTTACAAGTGGGATGACTTGGCACAATTGGAGGTGTTTGACGAAAACAAATTGAAGCTGATGGGGAAACAATATAGAAATGGGAAGAAATACGAAGTGGAGGATGGCGACGTGCTTGTGATAAAGGCGGGCAGTGGAAAAGCTAGATAATGCTTATGGTTATGATTTAAATGCCATGAACATCCTGTATATAGGTACAGCTCAATATAGACCATAATCCTGGTCAATCAAGGTCCTTTCAAACTTCTTTGAAACCTCTTGCAACTTCAATAACAAGCCAGCAGCAAGGCTCTTGACTCTGTTATCAATAATTCCTTCCCATGTCGCAGTTAACCAATTATATACCAACATTATCTCATCGTTGAAGTCGAGCACCAAAAACTCAGCGTCAATCAATTCCAATATGAGTAATATTCCAGTAAGTATTGATTCAATAACTTGAATCTCTTCCAAAGTCACTTTTCGTATCACAGTGCAAGACAACAACATAAACTCTTTGATCATGTCTTTAAGTTGTGTCGACGATGGGTACGCAACGTGGAGTAATAAACTCAATGTTTTGATATATTGAGCAATGAAGATTGGCGAGTAGTGTCCAATATCAATGGATCCAGACTCATACCACACATTAAGCAAAGGGAAAAAGAAATTTGTTCCGATAATTTTGTAAAAGTTGGGAATTACCGGTTTCTCCCTTGTTTGTACATCCTTTGGTTGGGTTAGTGATCGTGAGATGCGTACCAATTTACCTTTACCGATTATTTGATCTTTAGCATCACTTGAAGCATCATGCATAAGTGAATCTTGAAGTTCATTTTCAATTTGATTTATATACTTCAATCCCCCAATATATTTGTTGTGTAACGAAGAAGGAAGTAGCTTTGTTGGAAATGACTTTTCGGTAAACGATTGAAAAACTATGTCATCCTTGATACCGCGTAGTTCACGTGCAGCTAGCGACGTAGCGGATAGGATAAACATTCGTTGTTGAAGCGAATAATCCCCCGTCAATAACAAGTCAAACATATAGAAAGTTACATTAGGGTTGGTGACGATAACACTAACCATATTGACCAACTTTAAATCATCAAAGTCTGGGTCATTGTAAAAATTGTCCAAGGCAATGAGATTTGCGAGTAGATCTTGAGAATAAAATTCAACCTCATTTCCTTGACGTGATTTTCGTCGTAAAAGAGTTGGACCTTGCAATAAAGCAACTCGGCGCATTTCATATGCTTGGGGTTTTTTAGAATCGATGGAGATATATGATATCAAGTCTTTTACATATATGGGCTCCGGAACTTTTGGTTTGGGAAGTAGGGAGCCATCATCATCTGAAGTATCCTCCATGGGGGTGTCAGCAAGAATATCTAAATTTGGCTGACTGGCAACCGGCTTGTGAATGGGGGAGTTAGTGTTTTCTTCCTTCAAAAATTCCCATGCAACATCAACACTCAAGCTTTCAAGTTCCTCAACTGGAGCCAAAAGCTCATCATAATCATGGCCAATGTTTGTGGACTTGAAAATTTTGAGCTCTCCGCTTAGCTCACAGATCCTATCCGCAAGAATGATACCTAGCGACCTCGCATTGATTGAAAATGATTGAAGATGATTGCTAATTCCCTCGAGACAGATCTTGTTTTTTGTCAATCCTTTTATGAATTCGCCATCTTTGCACCGGCTAAGTAGTTGAAAAATAAGAAATGTCCTAAATTCTTGGATTGTAATGGGCTCGTTTTTGATATACATTGGATCTGACCATTTTTGCAACTGACTCATAACGAAAGGGGGCATGCAAGGACCAGTTTCACCAGTTTTTTGTGATAGTATGGCAGCGATCAACAGTATGAGTGCCTTATTTGATCTCACCACCACACTCTCGATGAAATTCTCATCCATGTACTCACAAAAGGACTTGAGAATGTTGAACAAAGGCAACATGTTTGCATCAGTGACTATGAGAACGACATATGCTAAAAAAAATCGCTTCGTGAAATCTCTTCTTTGGAAATCTTTTTGACGATGGAGAGTCTCTTCAAAATGTGCCCAGTAATCACGAGTGAAAAAGATACTGAAAAACTCTATGAGCGATTCTGCACTCAAATTGAGAAGTGATTGCACAAAAATGTCTGGCTGTAACCCTTGTTGATACAACTTGGCAACACCGGTGGACAAGTAATGGGCATATGACTTAGACGACTGTAATGCCACATTAGTAATATCCCAGCCTTTTGATATAGTAACTTCATTCACTACTGATAACAATTTCCCCTTAAACACAAGTTTGTCAATCTCTTTCAATTCTGGAGATGTTCTATTTGATGCAATGTTGACAACAAATTGCTCATCGACTACCGATAATAAAAAATCAAAGTAGACCCTTAGTTCGGCATCACTGTTTGGTACATTTAGTACGCTTGACACTTTACTAAGTAAGTTTCCAAAACCAATTAAGCTCTGGAATTTGTACCTTAACTTTGACTCGGTGCTGTTCGGCAAAGACAGGTAAATCTGTGGCACAGTATAGTTCAACAACGCGCTAATCAATGGAAACGAAGGATTCTTATAGTTGTCCAAAAAACGGTCCAATTCTGTGATACTAGGATAATTTTTTAAAAGTTCAATGTCGTTGGTCATGGGATTCAATTAGAGGTGGTTTGTTGAATTGAATTTAACGCTAGCAAAAAAAACAAATGCATCGCGTGGTTGCAAGAAATACCCCATCTCAAAGTGAACTCTTTCAAACAACACACAGAATTAACGAACAGTGAAACAGTAACATTGGAGAATACATCACAACAGCAACTTCCTTTTGAATAAATATCACTGATTTCGCTGTTTATTCTTCTGCCCACCCCCCTTTTGAAGTCACCCCACCAAATGAAGAGGTTGATGCTGTCAGCGTCTTATAGTGGCTACAAAGTAACAAAGCCAAGGAAAGGTGCTTCGTTCAAGGTGCCAGCCGCAACTTCATTGTACAATAAAACCACTGTGTTTCCAAGATTTGAAAAGCGTGAGATACCAAGCATCTCACCGGAACTCGCCCGACTAAAGGAGCAGATTGAAGATGGAAAGAAACTCTCTGTTGAGGAGTACCTCGAAAGTTCACATTTCAAGTTCAAAGAAGGTCTGGGGCAACAGTCGTTGGACTCTTTGAAAGAAGCACTCTTGTTGCTTCATCCAAGGACAAGACCTTTGGTAGCAGTTGATTGCGAAGCTTACGAGCATGGACACAACAAGATCACGGAAATTGGGATAGCCATACTAAAACCCCAATCAACTACAGTATCACAGATTAAAGCAATTCATATAATAATTAAGGAACATCTACACAAGAGAAACTCCAAATATGTGCCCGACAACAAGGACAAATTCCTCCATGCAACTTCATACATAATGAAGGAGAAGGATGCAATATCTACATTGAAGCTAGTACTAGATAAATACATCACAGCTCAAGATGGGGTGTTGGTTGGCCATTCAATAAGCTCGGAGATAAAGTATTTCAAAAGTTTGGGAATTGAGTTGCTGCCTACAGTCAAGATGTTGGACACGTTGAAATTGCACAAACTTGGCAGAAGCAACGGTGGTTCGCTAGGCGGATGCCTTAAGCTATTAGGACTACCTTGTAGTTACTTGCACAATGCCGGAAACGATGCCTACTACACGTTGTTGGTGGCCTTGTCATATTGTGATCCAGTAGTCCGTATTCAAAAGAATTTGGACATATATTCGTCTAGCGAGTTTACCGAAAAGTATCCACACGACAAAAATACTGCTTTTGTTAAAGTCGATGATATTTCTTTGTTAGATTTGTAGTGCAAAAAACAAGCGTATAAAGAGAATTGGGAATGCATGTTGACAAACTCCGAAATTGGAAAATAAAAAGCGCATCTCTCTCTCTAAAAATCAAAAACAAAAAAAAGGACCAAAAAAAAAACCTTAATTAAAGATATCGCGATTTAAGTAAAACATATAATATCGTCCACTTGGCTTTTCGCGATAAGCAATGACAGAGGAATATGATGAGTCCACCTCGCTTATAAACAGAAGACCATCACGGCTGTTTCTAGATACACCACTTGGTTCATTCAAAGGCCCAAATTCGTTACACAATTTTGCTAGCTCATTCACTCGTGCACAATCTTTTGCAGCTTCCAAAATCGACAATGAGATCCACAAAGAAAGATCGTTCTTCGTTAGAGAGCCTACTGGAGATGGAGCTGAAGATGAAACATTTGACCCGGAATTGATGGTTCCATCTTATCGTGGTGAACGACTTAGCCTGGTTGTGCATGATTTGCATCGGAACCAATTGTTTATGAATAACGATCTTGATTCCGCTTTGTCTCCTAACAACGATGTGTTTTACCACGATGATGTTGTGAATGCAATAAACGAGTCAAGATCACGCCAAGGGTCAGACTTTTTTGGAAGCGGTATCCCCATGGGTAAAAAGATTCTTCCTCAACCTTCATTTTCAAGTTTTAGAAGTTCAATATCTATGGCCACAACTACGAGTCAGATGACGTTGAAAAAGATTGAGGATTCAGATGGGAACATTATCACCGTGTTGGCAGGTCAATCAACTGTACCTCAAACCGTGTTCAATTCCGTCAATGTGTTAATCGGTGTCGGGTTGCTTGCGTTGCCAGTTGGGATTATGAAAGCTGGGTGGGTGTTTGGTGTTCCTATATTGGTTGCATGTGGGATTATAACATTTTGGACTGCAACATTGCTTTCAAAGGCTATGGAGACAGATGCAACGATCATGACGTATGCTGATCTAGGTTATGCTGCTTATGGGTCCATGGCTAAGCTTGTCATATCCCTACTTTTTTCAATTGACTTGGTAGGTGCTGGCGTTTCATTAATTATCTTGTTTAGTGACTCGTTTGTTGGAGTATTGAGTAATGATCCTACAACAACGAAAATTATAACCTTTTTCATTTTGACACCATTCACATTCATCCCATTACCGATATTGTCAGTTTTCTCATTACTTGGTATCTTATCGACTATTACTATCACATTGTTGGTGATATTTTGCGGCTTAATCAAGGATACATCACCTGGTTCATTGATAGAAGTCATGCCAACAAATCTTTGGCCAGAGACTGGCAAGAATTTTTTACTTGGTGTAGGTATATTAATGGCGCCATTTGGTGGACACGCAATCTTTCCTAATTTGAGAAGTGATATGAGACACCCGTACAAATTCACAAAGTCATTACGATACACATACATTATAACTTTGATTACAGATTGTCTGATGGGGATTTTTGGATTTTTAATGTTTGGTGCAACGTGTAGCAATGAGGTCACCAACACGTTATTGCAAACAGTGGGGTATCCGTCTTGCATCTATCCATTGATAAAGTCATTGATTTGCGTGATACCATTGGCCAAGACGCCTCTCAATGCGAAACCAATAATTTCATCCTTGGATGTATTGTTTGGGGTATCCAATCAGGCAGAGACCAAATCAAGGGCAATTTTCAACTCGGTAAACAAATTTGTGATTAGAGTCGGGGTCAATGCTGTGTTTGTCTTTTTGGCGATTGTGTTTCCAGAATTTGAGAAAATCATCGGTATATTGGGTGCATCAATCTGTTTCATCATTTGCATTATATTGCCCTGCCTCTTTTATACCAAGCTATGCGGAGGCAAGTTATCCACACTTGAATCGGGTACAATCTACTTTATCATTTTGGGTTCTTGTGTTTTGGGAGTAATGGCTAGCTGGGCCGTTGTCACAATTTAATAGGGAACAGTAAAGATGTATATAAAATCTACTTTAACGCAAACTTGGACTTACTTCTCACGTAAGCTCCGTATCGGTAAAACAAAAATGGCACTGGAATCATCAATGCCGCCAAGCAACCAACTAAAGTGGCTGCCCATTTGATGGTTAAATTGGTAAACATTTGTGTATCAAACAATGGGAATGCGGCACCAAATGAAGCTCTCATAAAGGTGTTTGCTGCTAGAATCGATGCAGGCACATGTACATAACAATCAATCAAGTAGTTTAAGGTTGGCAAAAAGATCAAAATCAATCCAACTCCAACAAAAAACTCTCCAATGACAGGCACAATCCAATGCACATGATTAGGATAGTCTCCGGTCCAGCCTAACCAAAATATTCCAATAACGAAAACAAAACCACCCACCATGATTGGAGGTAATCTTGATTCAGGAGTCCATTTTTTCCCCGTAGTGTCCAACTTGTGATTATAGTTCTTCTCGTATAAGATGATACATAAACCAGCAAATGCAACGCCAAGCATCATAGATATGTACGGTAGTTCAGCAACACCTTGGGACCAACCGTATCTGCCACCGAAAATGAGCGGAATCACCGTCAAAAATGAGTACAACATTGCATACATGAATGCATTGTAAAGACTAACAAGAAACACGATCGGCTCTAAGAAAAGCAATTGCAATGGTCGCAAAAGGTTATTTCTAGCAATCTCTTTCAAGCTTAGTCTAAGCTCCTCCTGAGGAGCAAAGATACCCCAGTTACCAGTCTTTCTTCTCAAGTATTCTGCTCTCTTTGCCAAGATGAGAGGATGATGTGTCTCTTTCAAACAAAATACATTGAGTATCAATGCAAGGCAGCCAACAAGGGCAGAAAAGTACGAGTTCCATCTCCATCCTAATGCACTATTTTTTGTAGTGAAACCACCGAGTATGGGTGCTAGCATTGGTCCAACAAAAATTGTACCTACAAAAACATTAACGGCAACACTTCTCGGTCTATCATCCAACAAGTCAACCATTATTGCTGGTGCAAGAGGAAATGGGCCACTACCGATAAATCCCGCAAAGAAACGACACAACATTATCGTTTGCAAGTCCTTTGCCGTTGCAACAGCAAACAAAAACACTGTATACCCAAAGCTAGACACCACCATAATTGGCTTCCTACCGTACAACTCCGACAATGGGCCATAAATGATTGGTCCCAAGGCAAATCCAAACACATAAAGTGAGGTGGCCAATGCTGCTACCGTCTGTCCAACGTGAAATTTATTCATAACTTCCTCATTTCCTTGCGAGAAATAGGCAGAGCCTAGCGACACATACAATGCCGAATAGCCAGCAGTAAAACAATAAAGAAATTTTTTTGAAGTTGAATAGTTGCGTGGGTTGTATGGATCATTTGGTCCAGTAAATGTGACACAATAAGCATCTTTATTTGGGAGTGGCGGTGGAAAGGCTCGTTTGTCACCCCATGCAAGAGCGACATCTTCATCATAAGCAGCTTCAGCTAATTCGGGCATGTTCATCATTTTTCTCGTCAACTGGCGTGACAATACTGGACTGCTTTCAATTCTTGACAATCTGTCACCTTGACTGTGATGGGAAACAATGTCGTTATAATCATGAAGCGGTCCTAACTCTATATCCTTGCCTGCAATAGGCTTTGGGTCCTCGGAAACTTCTTTCGCGAATGATAAGGATGATGAGGATGAGTGATCTTTATCGTGTTTATCTTGATCGTAATGTGTTTTGGTCTCCTTGCCAGAGGAGTGTTGATTGCTAGACATTATGTGTTTGAGCTATTTGTTGCAACATTCATGGTAGAGTCTTTCTTTAGGTAGAACTGAGGGGTTTTATATATCGTTTGAATGTGCAAAAACGTGTAGATGTTCCTTTTCAAATATGGACGGTCATGTGTAAAACCCGGATAGCTTTGGGTGAGTTAAGAATAGAACAATAAAGGCTGCAATTCGTGTAAAAATTGAATGCTCCAGTATTACTCCACATCGTTTATGTAACTACTTTTTCTCACATCATGTGAATACCACAAATTGATTACTTTGCTCAATTGTGCCCCACTACATTGCCCTGGGCGATGGGTTACTCTCCAACCATCTTTGTAAATCACCCACAAGACAGTTTAGATGATTGTACACCTGTCACAAGCAACAGATTTTGCAAAATGTCGTTTGCGTGTCATGAGTTTGTTTTGTGTCACTTCGAGTGGTTATAGATAGATCTTTCGGCGATAATCTTTATTTCCAACGTGTGGGCTTTTTGCGTATAGTGCAACCAATATTATATGGCTGCGTGCATTACAGGCAGAGATCAAGATTAGGATCTGAATCTGCTCTCCATTTCAAATGGAATCTTGAGGGATCTTTAAAAGTTTCCAGGCCTTTTTTGGTCCCTTCAATGTGTCACAAAATAGGATTAGATATTGCATTACTGAATGCCGTCTTCCAAATACAGTGCGATTCATTATTCAAGAGCTGTTTCTGAAATACAGTGCCTCAAGGCAAATTACCGTGGCTGATGTTTTAGATGAAAGCTTACAAAGATCCACTCGTAACCATTATTCCTTAGCGTACTTTGATCTGCGTCTAACTCTATCTCCAACTCTATAAAACACCAACGGCACCGCGATTAATAATATACCCACCCCTGCCAACAAAACTGATGCCCACTTTATAGTTAGCTTGCTGAACATTTGTCTAGTGAATAATGGGAAAGCAGCACCGAAAGCGCATCTCATGAATGCGCAACTCACTGATGCAAAAACGGCCAAGGATTCATAACATCCATATATATAAGACATTGACCCTAGATATACAGACATGATTCCATTACCAATTAAGAATGCTCCTATTATGGGTATTATCCAATGAATGTAGTGGGGGTAATCACCAGCCCAACCTATGAGAAGAATCCCAATCACAAACGCAATGCCACCTACAATTATGGGCGGTAGTTCAGCTTTTGGAATTGGTGATGCATTTGCTTTACTCATTTTATGATTCTGCAGTAACCTAATGTAAGTTAATATTGTTCCTCCCACAAACACCCCAAGCAACATTGACAAGAAAGGTAGCTGCGAAATTCCTGCTCTCCATCGATATCCACCTTGAAAGACCATTGGAATGATTGATAGCAATGCATACAACATTCCATAAACAAAGCCATTGTAGAGACCAAACAATAGAATAATAGGTTCAGTAATCATCAAGGTGATTGGTTTAACAGCATTTTCGGTTGCTATTGCTTTCCAATCGAAAGTAATTGCCTCTTGTTTTGCGTAAATCCCCCATATGCCAGTCTCTCTTCGTAAGTGTTGCGCTTTTCTAGCTAACAACGTTGGGCGGTGAGTTTCTTTCAACATAACGCAACTGCAAAATAATGCGACTGCTCCAATGACACCACTCAAATAGGAATTCCATCTCCAGCCTAAACTTTTATTTGCGGTAACAAATCCACCAACAATAGCCCCAAACATACTTCCACTAAAAAACACCAACGAAGAAACAATGCTAATTATAGCACGATGCTTTTGTGAAAACAAATCAGTTAATACACTAGGAGCAACAATTAAAGGCCCACCACCAACAAATCCGGAAAAGAACCGACAAAACATGATCGTTTGAAGGTCCCGTGCTGATGCAGCTCCGAATGTAAAACAAACATAACCGAAACAACATACAATCAAAACACTTTTCCTACCAATTAATTCAGACACGGGACCAAAAATTATTGGAGCTGAAGCAAATCCGAGGATGAAAAGTGAAGTTGTCAAACTAGCAACTGCATAGCTGATTTGATGAAATCGCATCAAGTCTTCCACTCCTTGGGCGAATATGGTTGAACCAAAGGTTATTGCAAAAATTGTTAATGCAGCAGAAAGAATGTATAATAACTTTCGCCATAAGGGATAATTATAAGGGTCGTAGAGGTCTTTTGGTCCATTAAAGCGAACTTCAAATGGTGCTCTATCAGGTAACTTTGGTAGCTTCATTATTTCACTAATGTTTTGGTTGTAACCTTGCTCCAACTCGCCAGCTTGGCTGCTTATGTCTTTATTCTCTTGATCATGGTCAACACAGGTAGGTGCGTTACTTAAATTGGAAACTGTGGACATTGCAGTATCTCATAGTGTATTCGAAAGAATGTATCGCTTTGTATCGCATTGTCAGCACGATAATTAGCAAGTATTTATAGTCTAGGCAAATCGGAAATTGCATAAAACCTCCCTGGAAGCTAGACACGGATACAACTTTGTATATGCGCCTCATTTCCTTTTTTTAGGGTCCATTGCTGATCGTTAGTCACGCGGCCAAGACAAACAGACTAGCCAAGTGGTTATAAATTACAGGTACTGTACATTTTAGGTGAGTGTTTACGTGGGAGAGCTATTGCGAACATAGACGCTTTTGCGCTTTGCTGAATAGGAATTGAGAATCAGTGCAAATAACCCATAATGCCGCAGGCGAATGAGGTAGTGATTAAATCTTTTCTGGAGACAAATGAGTCCTATAAGTGTGATCATTCAAAGTAGATCAAAGCCAAGCCGTTTGTGGATTAAAAAAAATAGATAAGAAAAATACCATAGATGTGTGAATATGAGTTTTTAAGCATTACTCCTTATTTAGAATTACAGTACATTCAAGAACCGTTGGGCAACGTTAAATACACCATATGGGGTACATAAGTTATCAACTATTACAGTAGAGAATTAGACATCCACGTACAAAGATAACAAGGCACATTGGTTGAAGAAAATGCGATATCTTTGATAAAAGTAGTGTTATTTTTGTGCAAAAGAGTGTCTCGTGTACTCCCATTGTAACGCATTTACACATTCAGGTGACCCCTTGATAGTCCCTAAGGCATCACTCTATTGTCATCTTTTTTTAGTAATGAGAGATAACTTTGATGTAGATGTGATCAACGATAGATTGTTTGAGAATTTGAATCTTGAGTTGAGAAAACAATGATGGTATACGTAGAAACCCTAATATGCAAAATCAATCATGATCAGGGGGTTATCAATATTCACTTCGTATTAGAAAACAAAGGGAAACCTGCAACGCGCAACAAGCAACGCGCAACGCGCAAACATATGGCGGATTCTTTCCTAATTAGGAAATTTATCATTCACTTTTTAGGAAAAAGATTCCCGCTAATTGATTGCAAAATGTGGCTTTCTCTTGTGAGTCAATCTGCAAGGCACAGATAAATAGATCAAACTTGGATCCAGAAGATTTAATTTTTTCTTCTCAATTATTTAATCCAATAAGCGTTGTTTCATTTCAAACCACGCGCAACAATGTACATTCCTAAGAAATATCAAGAAGAAGAGTGGGAGCAAGTGGAATACCTCATTAAGAGATACCCACTTGCAACCATTGTGACGACAACTGATGACAACGAGATTGTAGCAAACCACATACCTCTATTTCTCAAAATAGAGTCTACTGGGGAAAGAAAGTTGATAGCGCACATTGCCAAAGCCAACCACCAAATACCCTCCTTAAACTCAAACGACAAGGTATTGGTGATTTTTCAATCACCTAACTCATACATCACTCCAAACTATTACCTTAGCAAGGAGGAGACTCACAAAGTGGTTCCAACATGGGATTTTGCTAGCGCACATATTCACGGATCATCAAAGATCATAGATGATTTTGATTTTGTTAGAGATCAGCTTAATCATTTGACTAATCAAGAGGAAGGGAAGAAGGACAAAGATTCAACAAAGTGGCAGGTGAATGAGGCACCAGAGAATTATTTAAAGATTATGCAAAAAGCAATCACTGGACTTGAGATACAGATCAATTCGTTTGAATGCAAGTACAAGTTTGAACAAGGGGCAAAGAAGCCGGATATTTCTGGTGTTATAAAGGGGTTGTCCGATGATGGTAAAGAGGAAATGTCGAAATTGACTATTGATGCAAATGCAAGATCAGATGAGCGCAAATCGGGCAAGACCTAAAGAAGTGGTTTAGAGATGTCATACACCGGATAGATTGCAAATTTGAGTTTTTACCATTGTCAAAAACAATGATCGACTCCTCTACATTACTGCACTAACCTCTCCTCAATACGGATTAAACCTTGGAGCTCCACGCCCCCTTCCTCTAAACCCAGCACGTCCTCTAAACCCAGCCCTGCCTCTAAAACCAGCGCGCCCGCGGCCCCTAAAGCCGCCTCTATTAGCATTAATCCCTGGGATGTTTGTCCTTTTTGGTAATACCTTTAAACGTCTGTCTCTGAAAACTGAATCATCCAATTCTTTTACCGCTGCATTTACACCCTCGACATCACTAAACTCCATATAAGCAAAGCCTTTAGGCTGTCCAGTGATTTTGTTTGTCATAATTGTCACTCTGTTAACTATACCTGCTGGTGAAAAGTGTTCTTGCAATTCTAAAGGCGTTGCTTGATAATCTACATTACCAATGTAAATGGACCTCGCATCTGAGTCTCTTCTCTCTTCAGCCAATTGCTCTGCCGATGGGGCATTAGATGATCTAGCTGATGTGTTTGAAGCGTCAAGATTTGGTCGGGTGTACGTGTTGTGATCTTGTTCATGAAGAACAGCATCGAGTTCTTGTAATCGTCTCTGTTCTTGCTCTAATTGTTCGGCGGTTGGTTCCTGTGGTTGCGGCTGTTCTTGTTGTGCCGGGGATTGTTGCTGCACTCGTGCCTCTAAGTAACCGAGTTGCTGTTCATAAGGGATTTGATCTGACATGATGTATTGGCGATAACGTGGTTATACATAGCTTTGACGCTTTGACCTTTTTTTTTTTCAGATGCTTGATCAACCTTTTGAATGTACGCTACCACATTACCTACAAGAACAATAGATAAATGTATTTCTTTATAAACGGGCTATTTCAAAATTGGGACACTCCTGGTAAGTTTCTCTCCCTGGACAAGTTATGCTTAATGCTACCAATATCACGTGGAAGCGTAATTGGAGGATCATTCTCCTTATTACCATCAGATGATCGAGTTGATCCATAATCAATATGCTTAATCTTGCGCTTCTTTTTCAGACTAGGAAACAAACCTTCAGTTTCCGATCGCAACACATCAACGTCAGTTTCATAACCTCTATCGTACGGCATAAAATCATCGTCATCGGTGAGCACGCTCATAAATCCGGAATCAGCTCGTGGTAGATCATCACCATGGCTGGATTTCCTGCGTGGTCGATTCTTTCTACCCATGAACAAAACTAGTCCAATCATTACACCGCCAAAAATCATCAAGCCTAGTATTATACCAACACCAAGACTTACAACCCCCAAATGAATATGGAGAAAGTTGCTTGACTTTTTATTGAACCACTGTAAATTCAATGGTTTGTCGATTAAAAAGACACAAACTCGGTTGGTTGTATTTCTTTGCTGCGTGCATCCATGCGAAAGAAGTTTCACTTCTTGGTTTTTGTTGTATGCAGAGCCCACTAGGGGCTCTGTATCGTTCATTTTATGCAATTGAAGCAATACTTGACCTTTCTTCAGTGTATGCTTGCACACGAGTCCACCGCGAGTCAAATTTGTTTGTATCACGTCTGTCACATCTTTCCCCAACGCACAGTCAACTAGTTTATGCACTTCCCCATTCGGTATCAAATGAAATTGAAGAAACTTGTACAAATCTGAGAACGATTTAGTGATGTTGAAATCTTTCAAGGAATCGGGTTGGGGGACGATCAAAGAATATGGCTTCTTTCCCTTCAACGATTTTTTAATATGAGGAAAAATCTCGAGTAAGTGTGTAATGGAAAATTCCGGCAACAGGGCATCAAACGTCGTTGCAATCAAGTCATTTATAGGGATATAGAAATCATGCGGCAAAATTACCTTGTTCACCACATGTATCACACCTTGACTAAACAAAACGTCTGAGTTTAATGGTAAGTTGAAAACATAATCATTGTCTAGTTCAACAGGGTTGTATTCCTCTCCACCACCCAAGCTTCTCACTTTTATTGCACCATCGTCAATGTCCTTAAACGTCCTTGAGCCTTGGAAATTACTGTATAATGTGTCTTTCAAAAACATGCCACGAATTATGTTTTTAAATATAATTGGATTCGCTTCAAGATAATCCAATACGAGACCAAGCTCCTTCCATAAACCCTCATCAACTCGGTTTTCTGTCATACCACAAGGCAAAAAAATTGTATACCCTTGCTCATTGTCCTTCAATGACAACATATCAAAAGAACCAAAGTATCTCAAAGTACGTACACATCCAGTGCGGTCAATCTCCAATGTATCTACCGGCGGCAAGGCTCCATTGGACATTAAATCTCCCAACGAGTGCTTCAAGTTGACAGGTGTCGAGATTTCGTCCTTTGTAATGAATATTTGACTATTGTTCAATATTGAAACAGTTTCAACGACTTCAGCTCCTCCGTCAATGAGATACTTTGGCCTATCTTCAACTTGCTCTTTGGTCACCTTCATCTTGTAGCAGCCTCCTAGCTTCTTTTTTGAACATAATCGAGTGTTTGCCAAGATATGAGAAGTGGCATTGAAATCGAGGTTCTCGTCAATAAAGTGGTACATAAGTTCCTGCTTTGAACTGAACGACATCGACTTTATTTCATCATCACTGACATCGTCACGCAGGTCAATATCAACAAGTATCGTTTGGTTTACCGAAGATCCATCAATGAACGTCTCCAACAGTCTAAATTTCAATTCTTTAACAACGTTTGAATAGTGATGGGCAAACAAAGCTTTTCTAACAATCATTTCAGCAGTGGGTATATCCAACACTTGAAAGAATTGCTCACCGGTTTCGAAAATTTGTAGCAACCCATCAGCTAGAGCAATAGATTGATTGGTGGAGAAATGAGAAATGGTAATGTTTCCCTCTTGAAATTGGAATCTGTGTTTTTGTCCAACCAAGGAATGGACAGTTCTATTAGTTCCGTTTACACCACCAATATACTCCCCAAACATGAGGTGTTTCAAAAGCAGGACTATATCTGAGTTGATTTCGTGTTCGGCTCCTTCGGTAGTGTCAAAGTCCGCGCTATCAGTATTCACCAAGTAATACTTTAGCTGGAGACTGTCCAATGATTTTTTGAAAACTTCATTGCTTGGAACCACCACCGTTTTCACATCACGAAGGAACTCAGCACACGATCCGGGAAGTTGTTGTGGTTTCTTTTTTTTATTCTTCTTTTTCTTCTTCCTTGCTTTTGTTATGGACTCGTCTCCTTCCTCTTGGAAAACCAGTCTAAATAATTGACGAACGATAGATATCCTCTCATCCTCAGTATTGAGCAAAAAATCACACATGGTCTGCTTTATCGGTAATAGTTTATCAATCACTTGGATGTATGACCTTTGACGTGTTGCATACATGTCTTCCTCGACTATAGTAGCCAAGTCATCAATCACATATCCATCAACGTCTGGCTTGATCTTAATGGGATATGATTTGCCTTCAGTCTTGTTGTACATTGTATCATATATGGCTTCTTCACTAGTGAGGTTACCAATGGAAACTGCTTGATTTACAATATAACGTAGCAAATGGTCATCTTGCCAAGGATTATGGGGGCCCGTTCTTTCCACAAATGCCAGATTTATGGGCGCTAGCAAGGTTACATTCTGCAAAAGGTTTAATTGCGGTATTATTCCATTTCTTTGTAGTTGACGTAAAAAGTATGAAAACTGTGGTTCTGATGATAATATGTCCACAATGTATGAAGGCGTGGGCTCAACTTCGTCTGATGTTGTTGTTGTGGGTCTAGCATGTGTTGATGGGAGTATTAGTAGAAAAACAGTGAATAATAGTGAAAGTAAGTTGGGAGCCGGTCGTAGATGAGAAAGCATCGCAATAGGTATGCTTGAGTGATACCTGGTGGAGCAATACGTAGCTATGGTTCTCCTGGTGCGTTATCAAGTGTGACTCCAGTTTTTTTGTTGCACTAAAGAACGAACAGCGCTACCTGTTACCTCTGAAAGAGTTAATTTATAATGATATGAGCAAAAATGCAGAGAAGTGCCCCCAAGGTCTCTTTGCCAGGGCTGGTTCCTCTGTAAAGTTGAATCAAAAATTTGCTCAATTTTTGGTTCCTACTTGGGAGTAGAAACGCATTTTTTACGAATATAGATATCATGTAAGGAAGTTTAGTGAAATTCCATCCCGTGGGTAGTGGATTTTGAAGTACCACATAATAAATTGATCTGAATAAGTAGAACTTCAGTACCCCTCTGCGACCCTCTCCTTAGCTCAGAAATGCCTACTAGGCGTTGAATGATTCAGTTTTCATGAGAATAGCAACAGCCCCATGCACTGACTTAAGGGAGAAGAATTTTCCACTTTGCGCAGGATTTGTTTATCCGTATATTGAACATGGAAAATACCAAGAAAATATTTTGGATGCAAACAGGGCTTAACAATGCATTCTAGTCCCATTTTGACACAAGTTGAAATGATTGTAGAGAATTGAGCAAATTACTTTGATTGTTACTGAAACTGACCGATGATATAAGAACAAAGGGAAATTCCTACAATGATTCACCCCTCTACCTCCTCTAACCATCAATCAATACCGCCTTCAATATTATGATGAAGAGAAATGTTGTGTACAAAGGTCTAGACTGTGCAGCGGACACAATGAACCCCATGTACATGCAGTATAAAATGTTGCTGCAGAAACAAATCCCATGGGCTTCACAAACAAAATATGCCAGGTATACCCTTTATTTTGGAGTTGTAGTGATTTTTGTTGCCTTGTTGAAACATTTGTACTATAGGATCAGAGACATTAGATTCAAACCACAATCGACTTCAAATGCCGCTACTTCACTCATTGATGTGCTTGTTTCATATTGTCGATACGTTGGATATAAACAAACACCGAGATACTTACAATACTTTGCATCCTTTCCTAAAACTATTGGATCTGCAATGTTTATGATGTTGACTACTTTATACTTGGCATGTTATTGTTTTGTTCCTCATTTTTGGTACAGGCCGTGCATTGGATTTGGATCTCCGCCATTGGCCATAAGAGCTGGATTAATGGCTACTGCGTTGATGCCATTTATTTACATTTTGTCAGGGAAATCTAATATGATAACTTTACTCACGGGAATCAGTTATGAAAAACTCAATACTTATCATCAGTACGTGGGAGTTGCTTCCTTTGTGCTTAGTATTGTTCATGCGATTCCCTTTATTTATCAATTCTTGCAAGAGAGTGGTGCTGCTTATATGCATGATAGATTCATGGCCAAACAGATTTACATTAGTTCAATTCCATCTATCATCTTGTTGGGATTGTTGTGTACCTTGTCGAAAGCATGGTTTCGAAAACATTGTTATGAAGTTTTCTTACATTTACATTGGATGATGGGTGTGGCTTTTTTTGGTTGTTTGATGTGGCACACTAAAGCTGTGTTGGGCTCATGGGATTACATGTGGGGTGCATTGGCATTCTGGGCAACACAATTGATATTTAGAATATTGGTCAAGACTTGCTTCAGACCAAACACCATGTTTTTGAGATCAAGAAGAGCTCATTTCACCAAACTTGATGAAAATACATATGGAGTACACATAGAGAATGTTAAAGGGTACACATGGAGACCAGGACAACATGTGTTTCTTAGGTTCAAGGGGTTGAGGTTGCTCGATAGCCATCCATTTTCAATTGGATCTACAAGCGAGCAAGGTAAGGGAATGAAGTTTATTGTTGTTCCTCAAACAGGGTTGACAAGAGCTCATTTCAAGGAATTAGATCACCAAATTGAGTTGAACAAGCAAGTATACATTGATGGTCCTTACGGAGGAACATTTAGAGATGTTACAAAGTTTGATAAAATAGTGTTGGTTGCATCAGGTAGTGGTGTTACAGCAACCATTCCATTTTTGCTGTATGTTGCACAATTGCACCAACAGAAGTCACCCTTGGCTGACAATTTAAAGTGTGTCAATTTCATTTGGGTGGTTAGAAGAGAGCACAATATCGCGTGGATTCTGGATGAATTGATGAAGTGTCAAGAAACTTTAGGTAATAAACTTCAACTTGACATTCGTGTTTGTCATCATCAGGATAAAGTTGAAGAGATTGGAGATAAAAAGTTGGATTTAGAAAAGAGTGCTGATTCTTCTAATCAAGTGAGTTTTGCTAGGTTTCCAATAACGTATGGTAAGCCACATATTGAGGAGATTTTAAACTCTCTAAAGACTGGGTTGTCAAGAAGAAATATGTTTGTTTGTTCTGGTAGTCCATCCATGTTGGGACAAGTATCACAAACAGTTTCAGAATTTCAATCATTGATCTTCAATAACGACTTGACAAACACAAATGTTGAAGAAGTGTATTTGCATACCGAAAGTTTCAGCTGGTGATTGTATATATAGAGTTAACACAGGATAATGTTTAACAGTTGAGCTTGGGTGTAGTGATATGCCGATCAAGTTGCCAATTGAGATATATAATTTGCTCAAGAAATACTTTCCATTAAATGTCATCTTCCCAGAAAAATAGTTGCATTGATATTGAATCTTGGAGAGAAAAAACAAAACCAGTGTCTCTACTGCTTCCGCCATGAAGTCTTTTGGCTACTATCTTCGCTTAGGGAAGTAAGCCATCGTCTTTTTCTCGTTTCTAGATGGTTGCAAAATCGAGTCTCCGTCGTGTTTAGCTCAAAATAAACATTACACAAAATCTGATGAGCAAATTATGTCGTACGTTCTAGACACAAAGGCATCATTTTGAGCAGATTTAACATTTCCCAATTTGGATGAATTAATCCAACCATCAAACTCCAATAAACAAACCAACAACTAGACGGAATGTGGTGGGTGAGGAACTTGAGTTACAATGTATATGCATCTTTCTTTTTAAGATCCAAACAATTTGCTCAATCGTCCACTCCTATTGCAGCCACCCTTTCCCCTCCCCTCTCATCTCACATTCAGACCCACAGACTGAGCAAATTAGTTCTCACCAAAAAAGCTACAAAGAGGTAAGCGGGAGTAAACCCATCTTAGTAATCGCTTAGTAACAAATTTGTTTCTTTACGATATATAATCTCAGCAGGTGTCCGCCATTGGATTTCGCAAAAGTAAGTAATCACCCCCTTCCGAAAGCCCTTGGCAATATGTTTAAACGGAATGTTGAGTATCAAGGAATGGACTGTTTGGATGAGTCCAATCCCATGTTTATGCAGTACCACACAATGCTGCAGAATGAAGTTCCTTGGGGTGATCAACCAAAGTACGCCAAATACACTGTTTACTTTGGTATAGTGTTTATATTTGTTGGACTACTTAAACAGATCTACTACAGATTTAGAGATTACACATACAAACCACGATCAGACTCAAATGCTGCTTATTCATTCATCGATGTCCTTGTTTCATATTGTCGATACGTTGGGTACAAACAAACTTCACAATATTTACAATACTTCGCTTCATTTCCTAAATCTGTTGGTTCAAGTTTGTTTTTCATGTTGTCTACTTTATATTTGGCATGTTATTGCTTTGTACCTCATTACTGGTACCGCGGCTGTGCTGGGTTTGGATCTCCACCTTTGGCCGTGAGGGCCGGAATGATGTCAACAGCTTTGGTGCCATTTATTTATGTGCTCGCTGGTAAATCCAATGCTATTACACTACTCACGGGGATTAGTTATGAGAAATTAAATGTGTTTCATCAGTATGTTGGTGTTGCGCTGTTTATATTGGGTGTTATTCACACAATTCCATTTATTTATCAAGAATTGCAAGAGGCAGGTGCTAGTTCTTTGCATCATACATTTGTCACTGACTTGTATTACATTAGTGGGATTCCAACATTGATACTTATGGGTTTATTGTGTACTTTGTCAAAAGCTTGGGTGAGAAAGTACTTTTATGAATTGTTTTTACATTTACATTGGATGATGGGTATTGCATTCTTTGGTTGCTTGATTTGGCATATTCAGTTTGCATTGGGAGCTCAGAATTACATGTGGGGTGCATTGGCTTTTTGGGCATCGCAATTGATTTATAGAATCTTGGTCAAGACATGTTTCAAACCTACGTCAATGTTTTTGAGATCAAGAACTGCTCATTTAACTAAACTTGATGATGATACATATGAGATCCATATTGATAACGTTAAAGGATATAAATGGACTCCAGGTCAACATTGTTTCCTCAGGTTCAAAGGGTGGAGAATTCTTGATAGCCACCCATTTTCGATCTCGACAACGACTTACCTGGGTGAGGGAATGAAGTTTATTGTTGTACCTAAAAAAGGATTAACAAGAGCTCATTTCAAGGAATTAGATCACCAAATTGAGTTGAACAAGCAAGTATACATTGATGGTCCTTATGGAGGAACATTTAGAGATGTTACAAAGTTTGATAAAATAGTGTTGGTTGCATCAGGTAGTGGTGTTACAGCAACCATTCCATTTTTGCTGTATGTTGCACAATTGCACCAACAGAAGTCACCCTTGGCTGACAATTTAAAGTGTGTCAATTTCATTTGGGTGGTTAGACACCAGAAGGATATTAAATGGATTGAGGATGAGTTGACCAAGTGCCAAGAAGTATTGGGTAACAAGCTACAATTGGATATCAGAGTATGCAACTATCTTGTTGAAATGAAGAAATTGGACGACAAGATTGATACTGAAAAAAGTATTGAATCGGATGAAGCAGCTGGGGTCAAGTTACCCATAACTTATGGCAAACCTGATGTACGTGCCATTTTGAACTCATTAACTACAAGTTTTGCTAAGCGGAATATTATTGTTTGCTCAGGAAGCAATTCAATGCAGACTCAAGTGTCGCAAACAGCATCAGAATTCCAGTCGTTGGTGTTTAACAATGATTTGAGAAATACAAATGTCGAGGAGATATACTTGCATACTGAATGCTTTGGTTGGTAGAGGAAATCGTGTGTACAATATTTATTCACTACATGTTTATTTTATTTATTCATTTACTCAGTTTGGACACTGGTAAACCCATTCGTTCAAATTCCAGTGTTTTAAAATGGTAGAAAATCCGCCAGTATGTTTAAAAGTACAATACTCTTTGTACACTTTTGATGGCCAATGGATTTTACTCCGTTTAGATTTTTTTGGGTATTCAATATGGAAAACTGGCTTTTTGGCCTTGATGAATGGCTGATACTGTTTGCATTCACCATATTGGCCACATTGTTCTTGAACTGAGAAATCAACATAAGACAACACTTGTTTGATGATATCACCACCATTCTTTAAACCCATGGCTAGTCCATGCTTTTTAGCATATTTTGACAATTTCCTAACGTAGGCAATTGAATCTTGTTTACTCCATTTCAATCCGGTTTTATGAGCGTATCCATCAATATTATCTGGGTCAATTGCATCGCACCCTTTTGTCTTGGCTAACAAGATCCTGTTTTGCATGATTTGGAAAACGTTTGATGAAGTTATGTTAACCCACCGTTCACCTTCCCATTCGTTCAAAGGCTTACCTAGTTCAGCTCTGGTGAAATTTTTAGCATCTGGACGCCATTCTTCAAAAGTGCCAGCGGAAAAGTAACAAATGACAATCTTGTCTTGCGAATGGAGTGTTTGATGAGTTTAATTCAAGTGGAGAAAAGACAATAGGGTATGACTGACAAACCACCTTTTTGCTTGGCTATCTTACTATTGAGAACAAATGCAGTGATATATGTATACCTGTATGGGGTGGGTTTATGCGAAATGGCTTCTATGTCTATTGCCGATGAGCAAGAATGGTTGGTCTCAAGGTGTGGGCCAATTACCTTACATATCGATGCTTTTGGGAACACTCGTTGGTGGATTGATTGTAATTTGGGGTGAAAGACGATACAATCAAGTTATGGACGAGAACGATGGTAAACCGGTTCCAGAGGAAAGGTTGCCGCCAATGATGCTTGGCTCAGTTACTTTCACGATTGGTATGTTTTGGCTTGGATGGGGTGGTGCTTACGGTAACAAGGTTCATTGGATAGTGCCCACTATTGGCGCGTTCTTTGTTGGGAATGGATTAATGTTGATTTTCTTGCCCTGTTTCAACTACATCATTGACTGCTACCTATTGTATGCTGCTTCTGCCTTGGCAGCAAACACGTTCCTAAGGTCAGCTTTTGGTGCAGCTTTCCCCCTTTTTGCTAGGCAGATGTTCGTTAATATGAAGATTCAATGGGCTGCTACATTGTTGGGTTGTTTAGGGGCGGCCATGATACCAGTCCCGTTTTTATTCTATTTTTTTGGTAAGAAAGTGAGGGCTAGCTCGAAGTATGCATTTGTTCTATAGTATGGCTGTATAAACCTTACCAATAGGGGTTCTAGATTGAGTCCCACTGCAATTCATCTTTCACTTCCAAGTACATTGAGCTCGGCTGAATCTACTCAAATTACACGATTATCAAGATTAAGCTTTAAATTCCCTAAAACTATACGCTTTAATACTCTATCTATAATAAACATCTCATTTGTCTAATTTTAATATCACCTACTTCATGGCAAACTTTGACTTGCTTCTAATGTATCCTCCATATTTGTAAAACAAAAATGGTACGGGGATCATCAATGCGCCTAAGCAACCCAACAATGTGGCAGCCCATTTGATGGTCAAGTTGTTAAACATTTGTGTATCAAACAATGGAAACGCGGCACCAGATGAAGCTCGCAAAAAGGCATTTGCAGCCAATGCAGATGCAGCAACATATAAATAACAATCGATAATATAGTTCATGGTGGGTAAAAAGATCAACATTAACCCATTGCCAACAAAGAATGCACCAATGACGGGCACAATCCAGTGCACATGCTCAGCATAATCACCAGTCCACCCTAGCCAAAAGATACCAATAACAAAAGTAAACCCACCAATCATGATTGGTGGTAATCTAGCTTCAGGGGTTGGCTTTAACCCAGCATCCACTTTCTTATTCAATAACATTTCAAAGTACACAATTGTAATTCCACCGGAAAATACACCAAGCAACATAGACAAATATGGCAATTCGGATACACCTTGAGACCAATGGTAACGACCGGAAAACACAAGTGGGACAACTGTCAAGAATGCATAAAGCATACCATAAATGAAGGCATTATAAATACTGACAAGGAAAATGATTGGTTCTGTAAACAAGAACCTCAATGGTCTCATGATGTTGTTTCTGACAATCTCATTCAAATTCAAGGAAACTTCTTCATGAGGAGCAAAAATACCCCAATTACCAGTTTTTCTTCTCAACAACTCGGCTTTTCTCATCAACAAGATAGGATGATGAGTCTCTTGCAAAAAAAATGTGTTCATAAACAAAGCCAAACAACCAATGATAGCAGACATGTAAGACGTCCATCTCCAACCCAAGCTTTGATTCTTGACAATGAAACCACCCAACACAGGGGCAATCATGGGACCACCAAACAACACACTTGCAAACACCGACATTGCTATTCCTCTCATCCTAGCTCTATACAAATCAACCATTACTGCTGGTGCAACCACTAAAGGTGCACTCCCCACTAATCCAGAAAAGAAACGACACAACATGATGGTTTGCAAGTCTTTTGCAGCAGCACATCCAAATTGAAAACTGACATACCCAAGACACGAAACTAGCATCACTGGCTTTCTTCCGAATAACTCTGACAAAGGTCCATACACGATAGGACCGGCAGCAAACCCAAACACAAACAACGAAGTAGTCAAAGTAGCAACCGATGTCCCAATATGGTAAATTTCTTGCAAATCACGACTTCCTTGAGAAAACATGGCTGATCCTATCGCAACTGACAAAGATGCCATGGCTACTGATGCACTGTATAATAGCTTCTTCCAAAGTGGATAATTATGAGGGTGATAAGGATCATTTAACCCATTAAATGCTACACAATATGGTGTTCTGTCTGGGAACATTGGCGGCAATGGAATGTTTTCACCCAATGTGAGTCCCACGTCATAATCGTACTCTTGTTGTAGAAAAGACGTAGTGTTTGTTACTTTTCGTGAGAGCTCTCTTGATAACTGTGGGTTTGTTTCATGTCTGCTTAATTCATCACCTTCTCTTGGGTAGACGTAATCTGACTCTGGATGGACTTCTTTTGAATTTCCTTTTTCTATATCATGGCCCTGAAATGGTTTTAGTTCTGAACTTTCATCCTCATTTTCTGTATTGGTTTTAATTGAGGAAAGATTAGATCCAGTTGAGTCATGATGTCTTTCAGGGTATGGTGCATCACGGTGGACTGCTTGTGGGTGAGGCAACTCTTCTATGTCTTGACTTTGTGTATGTGCATTCTGTGGCGAACTTTCTTGTTGGCCAGGTGTCGTATCATCCAACGAAACAGGAACTATAGGCATTGTATTCCTCTTATGGGTACTTGGCGACTAATTTGTTATATTAGATATAGTATTTACTTCAATTATTTTTGGTACAGTGCAGCAAATGTCAACCCAATTAATTTGCAAAGATGGATTGATAAATACATAGTTTCACAAGTGAAAGGGATATGTACCTATTTATAAACGTTCAGATTGCAGTTGATTTAAAAAAGGAAAAACTGATCTCTAAAGGTTCCAAAGCTTAGCAAGAAACCCGAACTTTCAAAATTGAAGCCTTCTTGTAGAACGATAGACTTATTTGGGAAATAATTCCGATAGCATAATATAGTCGTAGTTATCGGGTCCAAGAAAGACACGTTTTCAAGTGAGGAAGGGCTGTAAGCCATACACCAAACAGCCATAACCTTGTCTTCTCCGACATTGTTTTTTTTTTCTTCAACGGTCACAAACATGAGAACGGCGCTGAATAAAGTAATAAATCCGGCCATCAATTACCTTCTTTCTATTTTCGCTTTTGTTTTTTCTTTTTTGCGTTTTTTTGTTTCTTTTTTTCTCGGTCCCTGGCGAGGCAAAATACGGAGTTAATAAGTTTGGAATAACCGCTCCCTTGCACAATTATACACAGACACACACACAATTAGATTCACATACACGACATAGCATTTCTTAATCCTCGGGGATCTATGGAGGTTTATTTTGATGGAATTGATAGCTTATACGTGTAGTTGAGGTCTCATTAGGCAACAGCATTGACAAGATGCGATTCCAGATCTAAATTTAGTTTAGCAATCTAATGCTCCCTAAAAATAAGAATAAATCGTTGCCCCCCCCAAAATGGTGCACACTCTTGGGCTGCAAGTATGGGCCAATGCAACCCGAAGTTTCAGTGCTGGTAGATCATGCCACAGCAGGAATGTCAAATGTGTCTTAATATTCACATTGCGTGTCTTGTTGTTCAACTATTATTTGTATTTCCTTTTTCGGAATTGCTAAACTACCAAATGCTAACTCCGTCTCGTGGAAGTCAAATTACTCGAAAACTAAATAAAGCTCTGCTTTTGCATTATCCGGCTTTGTGGAACAGTTCATTGACGGACCGGAAATACCTCTTAACTTCCTCCGTATGTTTGCGTAAGTCTAAGCGAGCAAGGTGAGGGAATGAAGTTTATTGTTGTTCCTCAAACAGGGTTGGCAAGAGCCCATTTCAAGGAATTAGATCACCAAATTGAGTTGAACAAGCAAGTATACATTGATGGTCCTTACGGAGGAACATTTAGAGATGTTACAAAGTTTGATAAAATAGTGTTGGTTGCATCAGGTAGTGGTGTTACAGCAACCATTCCATTTTTGCTGTATGTTGCACAATTGCACCAACAGAAGTCACCCTTGGCTGACAATTTAAAGTGTGTCAATTTCATTTGGGTGGTTAGACACCAGAAGGATATTAAATGGATTGAGGATGAGTTGACCAAGTGCCAAGAAGTATTGGGTAACAAGCTACAATTGGATATCAGAGTATGCAACTATCTTGTTGAAATGAAGAAATTGGACGACAAGATTGATACTGAAAAAAGTATTGAATCGGATGAAGCAGCTGGGGTCAAGTTGCCCATAACTTATGGCAAACCTGATGTACGTGCCATTTTGAACTCATTAACTACAAGTTTTGCTAAGCGGAATATTATTGTTTGCTCAGGAAGCAATTCAATGCAGACTCAAGTGTCGCAAACAGCATCAGAATTCCAGTCGTTGGTGTTTAACAATGATTTGAGAAATACAAATGTCGAGGAGATATACTTGCATACTGAATGCTTTGGTTGGTAGAGGAAATCGTGTGTACAATATTTATTCACTACATGTTTATTTTATTTATTCATTCACTCAGTTTGGACACTGGTAAACCCATTCGTTCAAATTCCAGTGTTTTAAAATGGTAGAAAATCCGCCAGTATGTTTAAAAGTACAATACTCTTTGTACACTTTTGATGGCCAATGGATTTTACTCCGTTTAGATTTTTTTGGGTATTCAATATGGAAAACTGGCTTTTTGGCCTTGATGAATGGCTGATACTGTTTGCATTCACCATATTGGCCACATTGTTCTTGAACTGAGAAATCAACATAAGACAACACTTGTTTGATGATATCACCACCATTCTTTAAACCTATGGCTAGTCCATGCTTTTTAGCATATTTTGACAATTTCCTAACGTAGGCAATTGAATCTTGTTTACTCCATTTCAATCCGGTTTTATGAGCGTATCCATCAATATTATCTGGGTCAATTGCATCGCACCCTTTTGTCTTGGCTAACAAGATCCTGTTTTGCATGATTTGGAAAACATTTGATGAAGTTATGTTAACCCACCGTTCACCTTCCCATTCGTTCAAAGGCTTACCTAGTTCAGCTCTGGTGAAATTTTTAGCATCTGGACGCCATTCTTCAAAAGTGCCAGCGGAAAAGTAACAAATGACAATCTTGTCTTGCGAATGGAGTGTTTTGATGAGTTTTTTAGAGCTGTCAAATAAATCAATATCGTAAATTTTGGTTTCGGGGTTGATCTTTCGTGGTGGGTTGTCCAAGACGCAATCCCATGAGTCGCCTACTTTGGCAGTCCATTTTGCAACTGCACTGGGTGCGAAATAGATTAATGTGATGAGCCAAGAAATCAAAGTAGTTGTATAAGTGGATATCATACCTGTGATGATGAACAGAGTAGTTTCTGGGCAGGAAAGCGGAAGATGTGAGGACTATTTGAAGACTTTTTATAAATAGAAGCATATAAGTATGCTGATCTTTCTGTAAATGCACGGCGGTACAATTATTTTCTAAATACGGAGTATTCCTCTATTTTACGATTGTCATTTGTTTTTTTCTAGAATGCGTATGTTGCCGCCCTATAGTAGCACTAAAGGTCAGTCAATCAAGTGAGGGGGCAAAGCTCTGTCCGAAATAAGGTAAGGCTATGCTATTTTCATCTACCACTTGCGATACCCTTCTCTTGAATCAATGTAAAGAAGTCGCATCGAGGTCTAAGCCATTGCCGTGTCGCAAATATAAGTCATGGACCTCAGTTTACGACAATGATAAAAAAATCCAAAATTTTTTGTATTGTTGTCGACAGATTTGACTCTATAAACTCCAGTACACTTCAACCCTCATCACTGAAGAGCAATCCATTGGTCATGACAGTTCCAGATTTACTTCTAGATCCTCAACTCAAATACTGGGTATTATTACCCATTTCACTTGCAATGGTTTTAGTTGGTTTACTTCGATCTAGCATTACCTACTTGATGCAACCACAACCTAAACTTGAACCATACAAGAAAGTGAGAGAAGCGTATGTTAATCTAATCGACTCAATTCACCAAGCATACTAACTTCACCTCTTTCTAGACAATTTCTTTTACAAGCACGAGCTTTTAGAGAAAACAACCATGTTTTAACCAATGAGGAGTTTGAACAATTCAAAGCATACTTTATTGAAACGTTATCTACGAATGAATTTTATGCAGAAGACCCGAAAAAGGAAGAACCAGTCAATCCATTTGACCCAAACTCCAACGAAGCTATTATGCAAATGGCAAAGGGTAATTTGCTCAACTATATCCCGCAAACATTGATCATGGGATGGGTCAATTACTTTTTCGCTGGATTTGTCATTATGAAACTCCCATTCCCATTAACTGATGGTTTCAAAAGCATGTTGCAGAATGGAATCATGACTCCTAACTTAAATGTACGTTATGTATCATCCATTTCATGGTATTTTGTCAATTTGTTTGGATTACGGCCAATATATTCCATTCTCATGGGATCATCTGAAGCTGATGAAATAATGAAACAAGCGTCACAGCAACAACATGGTCCAATGCCAAACATTGGGGGGCCAGGTGGACCCAAGGCTGATAAAGTGTTTGCTGCTGAGGCGGAAAATATTCAAATCTTGGATCATGAATCGTTCTATGATGGGATTATTGAAAGATTTATTGAGAAATATGGCTCGTAGATGCTAGCTTTTACTGTAGGAAATGTGAATAGCGTTCTAAACAGTGTACTGCTTCGGAATCTTGTGACTGCAAATATTGCGCGACAGAAGACAAAAGAACTTTCGCTCTTGTAGAAAAGATCCATCTCTTTATTTCATCGCCATTTCCGCCACTCTTCCAGCAACACCATGTCCACCGTAGGAGAAGCTCAGCCAACACAACCTAATGCCAAGCCAAAGCCAGTGATATTTTGCATTGGTATGGCTGGGTCAGGTAAAACCACATTCATGCAAAGATTGAACTCACACATCCATTCAAGGAAACAGATCCCCTATGTCATCAACTTGGACCCGGCTGTACTTAAAGTCCCATTTGGTGCTAACATCGACATAAGAGACTCAATAAAGTATAAGAAAGTGATGGAAGAGTATAATTTAGGACCAAATGGTGCAATTGTCACTTCATTAAACCTATTTTCCACAAAGATTGATCAAGTCATCAAATTGGTTGATAAGAAGCAGGATAAAATTTCTGATGTAATTATTGACACACCAGGTCAAATCGAATGTTTTATATGGAGTGCCAGTGGGTCTATTATAACTGAAGCATTTGCATCCTCGTACCCTACAGTGATTGCTTATATTGTTGATACACCAAGAACAACAAGTCCTACAACATTCATGTCCAACATGCTTTATGCATGCTCTATATTGTACAAGACTAAGCTCCCCATGATCGTGGTTTTCAACAAGACTGATGTGCAAAGTTGTGAATTTGCCAAAGAATGGATGAGTGATTTTGAAAGTTTCCAAATGGCGGTACAAAAGGATCAACAAGAAAACCAAGAACAATCTAGTGGATACATGAGTAGTTTGGTCAACTCAATGTCGTTGATGTTGGAAGAATTTTACTCTAATCTTGATGTGGTCGGAGTAAGTTCTTACACTGGTCAAGGATTCGATGAGTTTATGGATGCCGTGGACAATAAAGTTGATGAATATAATGAGTTTTACAAGGCGGAAAGGGAAAGGATATTGAAAAAGAAAGAAGATGATGAGAGAAAGAGGCAGACAAAATCGTTGAACAAATTGATGAAGGACATGGACATGAAGGATAAGAAAAAGAGTGAAGATGGCGAGGTTCTATCAGATTTCGATGATGATGATGAGGAAGTAGATGAAGAGTTGCAAGGTGAAGTATTGCCTGACGACGAGGAAGAAGAAGCTCGTGGCTTGGCTGAAGTCGGTAACCCATCAAGAGAATATACGTTTGCCGAAGATCGTCAATCAGAATTGGACCCTACCAAAGATGCCGATTTACAAGCAAGGTATCAACAAGCAATGGAGTCTAGAGGGAAACCTGTCTCGTCACAAACAGCAGAAAATATTGCTCGTTACATAAATAGATCGCAATAACTACATCTGTCTAAAAGATTTATTCACTAAATACATCATCTACTTTAAAAGGCTTTTTTTTCCATTCATCTTTGAATATCAAATGGGGTTTCTTTTCCGCTAAGTGTAATATTGTCTTTCCAAATTCGGAATTACACCAGGCAAACCAAGATCTGGTGTACGAAGCACCATCTTTGGAATTAACATTGACACTTTCGTGCATGAGACCAGACCCAGCAGTAGTATTCATAATCATATGTAAACTATTGACAATTTCCTCGTCAACATCAGTGGTTCGTATCCTCATTAACAAAGACATTGGCCAAGCGTTTTTAATACCTATATGTGGGCCGCCAATACCTTCGAAATGGAAACCTTTCAAGTAATATGGATTACCTTCTTTGGTCAAGATCATTTTCCTCGTGTTTTGATAAACTTGATCATCTCGAGGAATGTGGCCTAAATCAGGGATGGATAATAGTGATGGGATATTTGCATCGTCCATGAATGTAGCACTGCCATATCCATCAACTTCATAGGCGTAGACCTTGCCATAAGTTGGGTGGTTAACAATACCAAATTTTTCAATACCAGAAGTCAACGCTTTAATAAAATAATCAGTCTTTTTGATAAACACTTCAATCTCGGCACTCATCCGATTGGTCAATACATCTTCATTGAGGAAATTCTTTCTGGTTTTGATCAACTCCGTCAACATGTGTATATTACCAGGAATAAAAAATTGTAAAATTGTAGCATCATCACTGGGTCTAAATGCGCTTCGAATTAAACCCGTGCCAAAGTTAACTGGGTTTCCCACACCTCCTAGAGGTAATGTTTCTGATCCAATATTGGTATTTCTTTGGAATGAATAGTAAAATGGTAGAGCCTGCCCCGATGCTTCATCAAATGATGGTTCACTCTCTCTTCTCAACACAATCAATAGCTTTTCATATGCTTGGAACCAGTGATCATTGAGGAATGAAACATCACCACTTGAGTTTTCAAAATATTCATTAGTCAAGGTCAAGAATGACGCGAGGGAGTCAATTTCATATTTACATTCAAAAACTTGTCGCCAATCAGGTCTCGGGTACACATTATCAAATGCTGTATTACCTGGTTTGACTTTTGATGATGGTGGAGGATGAAATGCATTACAATAGGGGGAGTTATTAACATAGTAAGCTTGTGTGTTGATTGCCCCAAGAATTAATTGTTTAAGTTTTTCATCGTGCTTGATCAATGGTTGATACACTGATAATTGCCTTGCTGCATCTCTAAGCCATTCGGCATGAATATCTCCAGTGACAATGAACGATTGCGGAAGTAACAGCTTTCTTATCAAGTTTTTCTTATGCCCTTCATCTTTAACCATGTGCCACAACACCGTCGTGTCCAACGTATTGGGTAAACAATTCTCCACCAATCTAGCTAAATCAGGATCAGCAATTCTTTGTTTCAACTCATCAATCACTGACTCGACGGCTTTTGATACAAATGTTCGACATTTTGGAGCTGGTCTCATGTATGGGTATTTCTGTACACCTTTCGAGAATGGTGGATGACGATGTTGAGAATAAGTAACGTAATCAGGACAATGCTTGACATTTTTATCCATTTGTTGAAGAAATGTTTGATCTATTTCTCTTGTGTCAAGATGCGATTGTTGTTGGGAATCATGGTCGGAACCGGCAAGCTTGGCTATCTTGTTCTCTTTTGACGCTTGTAAATATTTGACTTTGTCCACTGGATGGTTCAACTTGTCATCTTGTGTGGCACTCTTGTGACGAGTAAATAAGGAATAGATTATACATATTGATAGTAGAGCTACAAGTAGCTTAGTGTAGTGATGAAGTTTTGACTGGGGCACCATTTTCGACCAAATGTGCGGAGAGGTGGACAGCTTGATTTGTGGTGATAGTGGTTATCAAAGTATTGAATTTTTTTTTTTTTTCGGTTGTCATTTGTGGAGGGTTGTGTGGATGGACCAATGTAGAGAAGTAATATCCTACAACACGCAATTTATGTACATTTACTCATCTGGCCACTCAATTAATCTCCCTTAGTTAGATACAATGCATCCTTCTTGGAATTGAAATTTGTATGTGTCAACCCCGTCGAAGCAATTGTTTGCATGACACTATTTAGTCCAAGGCCATCAGAGTCATGTAACTTGGCCAATTTCAAAATATCTTCATAGCTCGAAGCGTGTTGGAGATCCTCAGTTGTAATAAGGCTTTGCAATAAGGATCTAATTTTGACATTACCTAGAGCTAGTCTAGCTCCAATAACTTCAAAGTTGGCGTTGGACCACAACGAGTCAAATGTTGTAAAATCAGCATCAAGATTTAGTATGTTGAGCATATAGAACTTATTATAGGTTAAATTGTAAGGTAATGCTTTTAAAATTGTTGACACTTGAACCCTTCTCTCAATCATTTGCATCAATTCATCCAACATTTGTGTCAAGCAGGGGTCATCATAGGCCAGCTCCAGTAAATTTAATACATTCGACACCTTTATTTGTTGTTCCTTTTCGATTTGGTTTGCTAAATCATCATTGACAAGCTTGACATCATTCCATGGTAGTTGTTGAACCAATTTTTCAAACTTTCCACCTGGATTTTTCATATAATTTTCACTCTTTAATGCTAGGGAAAGTATATCTGGGTGAGCGACTTTGCTCAATTCTAAAACAGGTAATTCCATGTCCTTGATTCTTTCATTCTCTTGCCTAATATTGTTTCTCAAATCAAAATACAGTTGATCCCATTGATCTAGTGATGCTGTGGAAAATAAATCACACTTTTGTTTGAGTATGATTATTATTGGAGCATTCATTAACCTCTGAAGGTAAAACTTGAAAATTTGCTGGTGCAGTTTGTGTACTGGGATCGATACAAGGGGATTGAAATACGATTGAATTGCAGATTCAATATCTACACCATAAACACTAGAGTTTTTTCTAGCATTCGGTGATTTTGGTAGTAATCCATCTTTTTTCCTAAACTGTGATTGATCTTTGAATAAATACTTTGTTTGTTTTAGCTCATTAGGGCCAAACTGTATGGGATCTTGATATAATCTTCGTTCTCTATTTCGATCTATTTTCCAATCCGTCCCCTTTCTGGCATTTTTACCCAAGATTGCCCATCGTTTGTTCCGTAGATTCGGTTCAGATGTGTTTTGGAGAAAGGATTCCACTTCCTCTGTAAATGCTGTATTTTGTTGGTGTGTGACATTTTGATAAAGATTAATCAATCGTCGTATCGAGGGTGGAATTTTGTTAAAGGACATGAAAGGTACTGTATAATGAGGTGTTGTTTCTGTTATTATTTGCCCGAGTCAGTTCATTAAAAAGGCGATGCAACCTTGTGCTTTTGAGCCGAGGAGATGAGTTGGAGATGAGATTGTAGCGCCAATAAAAAAGTCATGCTTAATCAGACGCCAGTAAATATGTACTTCATCCTTTTTTTTCTTTCAGTCCCTAAGATTTTACTATTGCTACAACACATTTTTTTTACACACCTCATCCACCAAATAAGTCTACCCTCAATGCTTTCCAGATCAATCCGTTATTGTTCCAAGAGAATTCCCAAGAGACAAGTCCCAGCGGCACGCTCAATTTTCTTCGTGTCAAGAATTACTCCACAAAATGTCAAGTCGTTCCCCACAAGGATTTTTGCAGTCAACTACAGTTCTGCTACTCAACCTGATTCCAATGGCAAGGGAGAATTATTGATCGAGTTTACATGTAACGTATGTGATGAAAGGTCATCTCATAACATGTCAAAGCAAGCTTATGAGCATGGTACTGTATTGATACAATGTCCTAAATGTCAAAGTAGACATTTGATTGCTGACCATTTGGGTTTCATCAGAGATGAAAAATTTGATCTCAAGGAGTACATTGAAAGCCAAGGAGAAAAGATTGACAACAGAGTGTTGGAATTTGAAAAGATCCCCCCTAACTTGGCTCACTCCTCGGGGCAAACTGCTGAGGAGGACACCCCTAAACAGGAAAAAGTTTTGGATCTCGAAAGTCCAGATGATAAAGTGATTAAAGACAAAAAGGAGTAACGCAATTGTATAAGAAGTTATATATCAAAGTAATGGATAACAATGCCTACCCATCTTTTGAATATTCTCTAGTTTCTACATTCTTTTGTTTTTTTGATTGCAAAATGGAAGAAGAGAAAAATTGCGACCCAATAAATAGAACACTGTAGAATTCTTTTGCGTTTGAAAGAAGATCCCCTGTTTTATAATTGACATTGCTATATAACTATTGAGCTTCGCTACATCAATTGCACCACTTGCTCTAAACAAAGTTTCGGTTTCAATATACTTTTCAATCCAGAATGCTTCAAAGAACTACGTTTTCCCTTAGATCTCAATCGCACATCTCGAGAGTAATTGGAGTCAGATTCAATTCATCCTTGAAAGATGAGGCACAAAAAGCAGCCAAAGGCATCAAAGAACAATATGACAAAACAAAAGAGACAGCAAATGAAAAGGCTCATGAGTTGAAGAAATCGGCACAAGAATCAGCAAAGTCCATTACGGACCAGTTTTCGCAAGAAAAGTCCATCAATGCCGAAGTTTTGAGCAAGTACAAGAAACAATTGGAACAGAAGGCCAAAGAGCTTGGCATCACCAACTTGGACGAGCTCAAGGAAAAGTTCAAAGATAAAATTGAAAAGACCAAGATTGAACTTGGAGCCGAGGATCCATTGAAACAAATTTTAGAGTGGGAAAAACAACAAAATGAGAAGAGTAAAAATGGCAGTGTTATCAACATTCGCAAGATTGACGAAAAAAGGGAAAAACTTCCATTCAAAGTGCTTAATGATTTCATAGACGTTGACAAAGCACGAGGTTTGCCAACTGAGGATATCAAGTTGATTTGGAAGCACAGATTTCTTGAAAAAGAAAGAGCTTTGCATGCATCTTTGGATAACAGACAATTTGCTGACATCTACGCAAATGCTTATAGGTATCCAAACTTTGTTTTGCCATTACCCAAGCCTCACAATGATGGATACGAGCTCGAGTTTGTGCAATGGGCATTTGCTGGTCCAAACACAATTCATTGCATGTTTACCACCTTGGCTGAGTACAAACTAAACAAGGAATTCGCAAGACCACATACAACACTCACATTCCATCAAGAATTTAGCCAAGATAAAGATTTGGTATTGATGAATGGGGTTAGCGAAAAGGAAGGTGGTTTGACGATGGATGAAGCTCAATTGCTCGCTGTTAATTTGCAAAGATTTTACAGTGGAAAATTCCCTCAAATGACCAAGTTATTGAAAGAGTTTAATGAAGGAAGCGCTGATTTTAGTGTTGATGAGTTGATAAAAGAGGCTACATCTGTATAGACACCAAGCTGTCATAAGCCAGAGATTTTTTTTTTTTACCTATTTCTTATCCCTTCCTTTTCTACGTCTGCCTCCTCCCCCTCCTGTGGCTCTTGCTTTCACTGGTTGGGGCGCATATTCCTCCTCACTCGTAAGTATTTCATTTTCGTCCTCAGCGTAAGTATCAGGATGCGACACGGAACGCCCACGTGATGACCCCGACAAGGGAGCGACATGTACTTCATTTTCAGAATCACTGGAGTCCAAGACAATTTCATTGCTTTTCGCTAGGGGCTTGTCTCCACCTTTAACTTTTGTTTTTGAACTTTTGCCAGCATTTTCAGCTTTTAAATTTAACTGCGCAAACGTTCCCTCTTTCAACTGCAAGAGAATTTGCTTAAAGGCAGTTCTCGAGTGCTTTTCGTCTTCTATACCATGAAACTCCTGATCGTCTATGTCAACACTGAGCAACATCTTCGTCTCCTTCTTGATCTCTGAATTGATATATTGATTTAGACTGTATTTGTCGTCATTGTCCACGTACTTTTTAACAGCTTCGTTCAACCCAGCCTCTGGAATTAGCGTCAATTGAGTCTGTTTCAAAAAATCACTAACAATATCTTGAAGAGCTAATTCGGTGGTGGTTTTTTCACCCAAGCTCTCATCCACCATATCATCACTAAATTTGGTTTTCTTTCTTAAAATCTCTGGCTGTTGTGGAGATTTCTTTTTGTAAAATTGAACAACATCATTCACATTGGCAATCCTCCCGACAAACTGATTAGAAAATCTTCGAACGTTTTCAATTTCGAAGCCCCCACTGTACTCAACTCTAAGTCGAATCAATGGTAGCGGAATATTTGGTGTGATGTTGTCCTGTTTCCCAGGGTTGGATGCAGTCAACTCCGAGTGACCCTGCAAATATGATTTGTTCGCAATCTCGATTGCGTTCTCCACTTCATTAGATAAAAATGCAATGACATCTGCTTTTGATGCTGCCCCTGGAACCAAATCTGTCTTCAGAAGTTCAATTTCTTTCAACACGAATGGTCTTACTGCTTTCAACTCGATCGGCTCCAACGAATAGTCATTTCCCTTTATATTTATGATAAACACTTTTTTGTCGGGCACCTCTCCCTCCGATAGGGATGTTGCAATTGAGGATCCTGCTTGTAGAACATCGAAAGACGTTTCCGGATTATGTACTGGGTATGGCACGCACTCATGTTCGTGGCCCCAGAGTACAAAATCAAGGAAATGGGGTAAAAAATTTTCGGGTATACATGAATTAAAAGTGTGCATGGCATGATTCTGATGAATGGCAAAGAAATTAAACCACTTGTCCGTATTAACCCCCGGTCTCTCAAATTTGACTTTACCATCTCTAAAGAGCCGGTGTAGCCTCTCATCTCTTACGTTTGACATCCCATATAGCGCTAATTTTGTATCTCCCTTTTCAAATAATATAGGCTTCACTGTTATCGATTCAGAATCCTTAACTTTACCAAAATAGTTGACAAGTCCTGACACTGCCAACACATCGAGGGCCAGGAGCAACCCGTCTCCAGTTGCATCATCATGGTTACCACTGATTGCAAACACTGGTATGGCTATATTCAAATTGGGATCTTCATAATTCACTTCGTCAACACCATTGAACATTGTGGTTGATGGATCACTCAATAGCTCCAATTGACACGCTTTGTCGCCCATGCAATTGGTTCTCAATGACTTCATAACATGATACATTGACTTCTTTGTAGGTTTGTTAATATGGAATAGATCACCACCTTGTACCAACATATCCACATCCTGTTCTTTAGCTATCCGGGTAATTTCATCAAAGGTCTTCCACCCGTCATCGCCTCTTATGGGATCATTTTCGAAGCACCCGACATGATTGTCTGTAGTCAAGAGTATTCGAATAGTATCCAGGCCATTTTCAATATGATCAACTAAAGGCATTTGATAGGAAAGCTTGATTCACGAGCGTGGTTTTTTTTTTGTGGGTTTTTCGAAACAAGAACAATGGAAACGGTTCATATCACGTACTACTCTTACATATAAAGGACAGAACGCACTTTACACAAACATTGATCTATGAAAGAGGTATCGATATCACTGGAATTGGAAACTAGACAACAGGATGAATTGAATAGCATTGCTTCGATATACGGTGATATTTTCAAGGATATAACTCCAAAGGAATTGATATGGAACAAGAAACCCAATCCACATTTCCAAATATTTCTCTCGTCCTCAGAGAATGAAAATAACCCAACAGTCTCAATCACTTTGGATATAGAGTTCACTCCAACGTATCCCTTGTCGTCGCCCAAAGTTAAATTTCTCAATCCTCAAAACTTATTAAAAGCACACGTTGCTCGTATAAAACAAAAGACCGAAGAGCTTATTAAAGAGTACGAACACGAGGAAGTTTCGTTTGCTATAATATCTGAGCTGAAATTTATACTAGATGATATTCAGGCGATTACGTCCAAGGTGCTATCATTGGAAGAGGAGAGGGAGAAAAGACTTCGAAACGAGCGAAAAGCATTGGAGGAGCTAGAAGAAAAAGAGCAGAAGGAGCTAGAGTCTGCAACGCAGAAGCGAAGCAAGGAATTGAATGAGCAAATACAGCAAATAAAAATTGAATTGGACGAGGATGCTGAGGAGGAAGAAGAGGAAGTAGAAGTTGCTCCCGTGCCTGGTAACAAAGATAATTACTTCATATTCGATAACGAGTTGGAAGATTCTCTACCAAATTGTAAACGGAGGTTCAAATTTAGAGCTGTTCAGGGATTCATTCGGTACACCAAGAGGGGTCTCTTTAGCTCCATAGGCAAACAGTTTATTGTCAAGCCATTTGTCAGTGAAGAAATCAAGGCGGAAGTTGATAAACATGGTCAAGAATTAAATTACCTTTTGACCGAAATTGATCTTAATAACCAATATTGGCAGCAAGATACAGGCAAGAAGGAAGTTCAAGAGTTGGAAAAAGAATTGCAATCCTGCGTCAATTTGAACAACCCCCACGTGCTCAAGTTGATCGGGTTTCAAATTGACAAACAAAACGGGTGGAAAGTTCGCTTGTTGACGGAGTTTTCATTTGTTTCTGAGCCATTGTTTGAAATCATGCCATCAAAGGGACATATGAGTCTACCTTTGGCCAGAATATGGCTATTGAACTTGATTCCCGTTTTAGAACAGCTACACAACTCTGGTTTTGTTCATAAACAAATCAATCCATTTACTGTTTTTCTTTTCGAGCAAGATAGAACTGGGCAAGGCAGTTTGTTCACAGATGCGACAAATATCAACTCATGGGGAAATGAAAATGGAAAAATTTTGAAATTAGCACATCCTTCATATGGATACAAATTTTTGAGAATGTTAGAAACGCATCCGAACACAGGCAGTGACAAGTTCCGCAAGGACAAAAATAAGAACCCGGATGTTTGGGCTCCCCCTGAAGTAAAACAAACGGGAGTCTATAACCAGAAATCAGATGTGTGGGATTTGGGAGTGTTGGTTTTGCGACTAGTTGTGGGTAAAGATGCATTGATTAAGGAATTTTCGAATCCAGACGAATTCAACAAAAAGTTTCTAGAGAAGGCGAGATTTGACCGCGATGAGTACGCTGACCAAGTTTATGATTTGTTGACCAAATTGTTGCAGCCAAAATACCCCAAGAGACCAACATTACTTGAGCTAAATGCTGTCAGATTTTTAAGGGATGGACCAGTTTTGAAAAAACAAGAGAGCATTGGTTACGCTGCGACAAATAACGCTAGGAGCAAGATGTTATCAAAGGATGTATCTATTCATCCGGCAAGGTTTTCAAGCTATACACCTAGCGCTCAATTATATAACAATGCTACTCAAGCACTCAGTCTGGAGTCGCGCGGCAATAGTAGGTATGAAAGAGATTTTGAAGAGATTGGTAGATTGGGAAAAGGCGGGTTTGGAGATGTTGTCAAGGCCAGGAATCGGATGGAGGGTACCTACTATGCTATAAAAAAAATCAAGCACAGGGCTAATAAGCTTGACTCGCTTTTAAGTGAAGTGTTATCATTAGCTCGATTGAATCATCAGTATATTGTGAGGTACTATGGTACTTGGGTTGAAGAGTTGGAGGAAAGTGTGGAAAACCTTGACGATCGTAAAATTGTTCCCCTTTCGGAGGAAACCTCTGAGTCCAGTGAAGACGGTTCTGAAAGTGAGGATGCTTCTGATTTAAGTTATGCCAATAGATCTTCATCGCTTTTGGCAACGCGCACCAGCTCCTTTCAAATTGATTTCATTTCAAACTCATTTGATCCTCGAATAGAATTTGATGATGATTCTTTGCCACAACAAAGCAACACTTCGGAGGACGTTTTTGAATTTGCTCATTCAACTGATGAGGACCCTTCTACTCACGACAGCACTGACCTTTCGGCGTATGCCGGCGGTGTGGACGTTTCAGGACGAATGGTGCATGTTGATCAACAAAACACTCAGAAAGTGTATCCAAAATCTATCTTGTACATCCAAATGGAGTTTTGTGAAAACAACACATTACTAAACCTTATCGAACAGGGTCTTCCCAATAATCCAAATGAGTACTGGAGGCTATTTCGACAATTATTAGAGGCAGTGTCATATATACATCGCGAAGGATTTATTCATAGAGATTTGAAACCGATGAATGTGTTTATTGATAAATCAAACAACATCAAGGTTGGGGATTTTGGATTGGCAAAGAATTCACAGTTTTTGTCTGCACTACCCACTTCGGAACAGATTTCAGAAAAGGTCGATGCTGCAGTGTCTAAGAATGGTGATTTATCGACTGTGGTGGGAACAGTATTTTATACTGCACCAGAGGTGTCATCAGGAAATTATGATGAGAAAGTGGACTTGTTTTCATTGGGCGTGATATTCTTTGAAATGTGTTATCCGTTAGCCACAGGAATGGAACGTGCCCTCACTCTCAACAAATTACGACAGCGTGAGTACCCTGAAAATTGGAAAGGAAATCAAGAAAAACAAATTGTCCATCAGCTTCTAGACCCAGATCCAAAAGCACGACCTGGCGCATCAGAGCTCTTACAAAGTGGTCGTTTACCGGTTGAACACCAAGATCAGGTGATAAAGGAAGCTTTGAAATCGCTAGCTGATCCTGCGTCTCCTTGGCAACAACAGGTGAGAGAAGCTTTATTTCATCAACCCTACTCGTTGGCAAAGGATTTACTATATGATGGTGGCCGAGAAACCATAAACAGCTCAACTAGTGATTATTTACTATTCAGCAAATTGATTGACGAGTTGACGAGTCTTTTCCACAAGCATGGAGCTGTTGAAAATATCAATATCAACGTTATTTTGCCTCGAATACCAGCGCAGCCAAAGGACATGGTTTATGAATTTCTTGATAGAGGCGGCTCGGTTATCACCTTGCCCTACGACTTGGTTGTCCCGGTTGCGCGGTTTGTCAGCCGAAATGAGATTAATGTGCCCAAATTCTATCGACATGATTTTGTTTATCGGCCAAATTTGCGAGGAATTGGCATGCCTGAAAAGTATAGTACAATGAATTTTAACATTACTAGTCTGTCAGATAGAGAGGTCATTGCCAATGATGCAGAATGTTTGAAGGTGGTTGACGAGGTAATGTGTATGTTTGGTCAAATACCAGCTCAGAAAATCATCTTCATCAATCATTATGATGTACTTGATGCAGTTGTGTCGTTTGTGTTTGGGAACACAAAAGTGGATGATCAAATAAAATGGGGTGTTTTTGCTGTCTTGTCTCAGTTGCGGATAGACAAATCTGTTGATGATGTTAAAAAGTATTTAAGAGAGGAGTTTCAAATACCTCGTACCGTCATAGAGGATCTTCTACTGAACTTCAACTTTACATGTTCCTTGTATGAAGCAAGACAAAAGTTGCAAAAATTGATGATTGACTCGCCGCAGTTGATAAAAGTGGAAAAGTCATTTGCTTACCTATCCAAGGTTCAGAGCATACTCAATCAATTTGGAAGAAAGTCCGAAATTTTGTTTAATCCATTGTACAACTATGATAACAGGTATTATCGCAACGGTATCATGTTCCAGGCGGTATTCAAAGGAGATAAATCAAAAAGATACAATAGAATCATCACAGGAGGGCGGTTCGACACTTTGATAAAATCGTTTACTGATGTATCTGTCACCGGATCTAAAACATTCAAGCCAAACAGGTTACATTGCGTTGGGTTTACATTGACCACTTCGTTTTTATTTGCGTTGATGAGAAACATCATATCTCGAAAATCTGTAAAGAATGATTTTACAAAATGGAAGGGAAGCCGTTGTGACGTTTTGGTTAGTTCCACGCAACAAGAATTTGTTGATTTATGTGGATATGAAATTTTGGGTAAATTGTGGTTGAAGAATATCAGTGCTGATCTCGTGTCAGCTAGATCACAAGATGAATTAATGCATGAGGGTGCGGTAATTGGAGCATCTTGGATCGTTTTGATACGACAGGGGCAACAGCTTGTGAGGAAATCAAGAAAGTCATCAAACTATAAGCCACTCAAGGTGAAACACGTACTCACTGGCAGAGATGTTGACCTAGACAGTTACGAGGAGCTAGTGAACTTTTTAACAAGTGAACTTGGTGTTTGTGAAGAAGAAATTGATGAGGATCCCACCACCCTGGGTCCCATTCCATCTGATGGTGATACTATTTCAGTCGAGCACTTGGATTCGGTTGATTTGGATCAAAAGGTCATTGTTGTCAATAACGAGGCTCCACGAGGCAGAAAAAACAACAAGAGAGAAAAGTGGGAGGTTGAAACCAATGCCAAGACTATTGGCTCTCAAGTAGTACAGAAATTGGCGCAAGGCCCCATACTCACATTTGACGTCAGAGATGAAGTCATTGATATGATTAGTATCACTTCGATCCACCAACAAGAAGAGTGGGTAAGGAAAGTTCTCTTTAGTGCAAACAATTTACCAAAAAGTTTTGCCATGAACATTTACAGTAACTTGGTGAAAGAGGCAGCTAAGGGTCATAGTTGGTGTATTTTAGTGGCGTCGAGAACATCACACTCAGCAATAGTAGATTTGAGAAGATAATGTATTTCGATAGCGATAACATATATCAAATGTTTTGTTGCATTATTACTAGTTATCTTGTTTTTATACTGACACAGATTCAATTAGATTCCTATTCTTGGCCTTCCAGTCCCAGTACTCTCCTAACCTCAACTTCCCGTATTTGGCATAGTCAAATTCAATGTTTGAAAGTTCACTTTGGATCATGGCCCATATACCCCAATAAAATCCTGGCAATCCATAAAACATTGATACTTCGTTAATTAAAATTTCAATTTCTTTGGGGTCGGATTTGGTAGAGTTTAGATAACTTTCACACCACTTCACAAGGACGGGGTTGGAAATAGAAGGTTCGGGAATTGCATCACGATTGCAGTTGAACCCTTGCCACTCTGCCAAATGGTTGGCTATATCAAATGCTCTTGGTGCTGGAAGCATGTACTCGTAGTCGATGAATTTGATAGGATTTTGCCCAACTGACGACGGTAGAGGATTTTCTGTGCCTTGGCGCGCTTGAAAGTCAAAATCTTCAGGAACAATGACATTACCGGAGAGCAAATCGCAATGACAAGAAACTATTGGTGAGTTCACCAGTTCAAGAATGGCTTTCAACCAGTGAAACTCCTTCTTGACCACTTCTTTCAAGTTTGCCTCATTAACATCCTCATTCAAATGTTGTTTAAATGAAGCTATCAACTCAGGATTGATTGGGACAATCTCAATCCAATCATCAATTAGTTCCCATACATTTGAAATGAATCGCTTTTTCTTAGTGATGTTTTTCTTTTTACCTACCGAGTTTCGTCTGGCTCCAATTCTCAAGGTTCTTATTTTATCAACACCTTCTTCAATTAGCTTGTAGTTTAATGACTTGTGCCAATTGCCTAGCTGTTGCGCAATAAGAGGGGACAAAGCTTCGTTGCTCAATTCTTCTGGCTTTAATGATCTCCCAGAAAGAAACCCGTATATAAGGCCATTTTTGAACCGGGCAAACACAGGAGGTGCTAAATTGATTGAGTTTAATATCAAATGCGAAATAAACTCTCTATGTCTATCGATGATCAAATTGGTCCCGTGGCCATAAACTCTGATTAATATTGTCGTGTCGTTGTCGTAGGTACATGAAAGAAGCATGTTTGTGATACCACCGGTAAGCTGAGAGATTTCGAGCTTCTTGGTATCTATCCATTGTGGAAAGACTCTAACTATTAAACGCCTCAATTGGGCAAAATCCGTTTCGAGGTTTTCGGCAAGATTTATGACGTATTTGGGAAAGTACAAACACGTCTTTTGAGGCGTTTCGTCCGCCACTGCATTGGGTAATGGTGATGGTGACCTTGACGTTGGTGACGGTTGGGATTGAGTTGTGGCAGATGTATCAGCTGAAGGTGCTAAAGTTTTCCCATTAGAATTTGTCTGGCTTGTGTTGGTGTCTGTTTCAACATCTGAGCCTGATGGGTTGTTTAACGAGTAAAGAAAGTTTTTATTCTTCAAGTAAAGTTTATCTGGCAAATAATCAGCATCGTACTTCAACAATGGCATCTTTGGGAAAGTTTCAGCTAGTCTACCATTACCCTCATCCTCTGATTCATCGTCTATAGGAGTGAAATGTATTTTTTGATTAGATATGTAACAATATGCCGCAGGATGAAATTCGTCAATTGGATTTTCATTGTCTCGAGTATCATTGAGCTTAGTCTTTGATGTTGGAAATTTTGACTCTGATGGTGTTTCACCACCAGTTGCAAGTGGGTCGTTTTCAACAACACTCATTTTTAGTTCAATTGTGTGGTTGTCTGAACTAGGGCCCTAAGTATGGCGTGGGAAGAGGGTTAAAATGTTCACTCAGTTGGTATTAAAAGCGGGTAGATACAGCAGTGGTGTGTGTGCTTTGAGTATGCTAGTCGGAGTTTTGATGCAAGCTAGCCTTTCTTGATCTAAAATAGCTTTAAATTGGTTTTTGGTTGTTGATTGTCGGTTATCAGGATTTTTCTCATTCAATTGTGTTTTTTTTTTTCTTTGTGTGAACTCAACGAACGTAACTTGAAGAGGGACAAGCAATTTTTTTGGGCTGTTGAAGAAACTGATTCACTGGCTCATTCTTTGAACTGACACCAGAAGGATCTTCCTTCTGAGCAGTTCGAAGTATTAGTAGTGGAGGGTTAAGTTTGTGTTGTTTGTAGGATTGGTCATACATACCTTTCACAGGGCAACGTCTGACTGTATTTAGGTTGAGACTCCATGTACACAAGATAGTGGAGACTATATACTCAATCAGTAAAGTAGGCTTCTTTTTTTAAAAATGTCTTGTCACCAAAAGCCCAACGTTAATTATTGTGTATTGGTGCATAGCGAATGGATTCAGATACTTGTGGCGCATTATGCATGTGAAATTGTCTGTTGGAAAAATCTATGAGAAGCTAAACACAACATCAGTCTCAACAATAATAATCTACATGGTGATTGAGATGGGGCATAGCAATCAAGTTATCACCTCTGAGAAGGGCCTTTAGTTTGCATTAGATTTCACACAAATTTGTATGATTTTTGCAATCAAAAATTACTTTGTAACAAAACTCTGAGTCGGAAAATTTTTCATTCACAACAAGGAGGGAGTTGAGTTTGAATTTGAGGCCCCGAGTACAGCGCCATTCAAGTGGGTATAGACAGCTAATAGTGGTATTAGAATTGGTTGCGAAAGTTAGTGGAATTCGCTAACCACATGGTAGCGGATGGAACGCGTGTAAATGATTCTGATATCCAAATATATCCTGAGTCAACTTGCACACGAAACAACACAAACAATGTATGGGGATCTGGCCAATAAGTTGGTTGCTGACGCTAAAAGATTCTCCAATTTGCCAAGTGTACCAATCTATCAGGCTGACTTGGTTAAGGACATCGTTAAAGAAATTAACGATTTGAATCGAGATGCAGAATACTTGTCAACAATTGAGGACAATATAAGGGAAGCTCAAGAAGAGGGCAACTCTACACAGCAAGAGGAGGACTACAAGATTAATCAATGCCAAACATTCGTAACACATTTATCCATGCGAAGGAATAAGCGATGCTTATTAGCCTATGAAAAATTGCGAAGCGATAAGCTTATTGAATTTGCGTGGTTGAATATCGATCCTGCAGAGCCAATTACTCAATCAGCGCCCTCTTCGTCATCATCCGGGACTGACACAGCAACAAATACTGGAGCCCCCTCTTTGCCAAATAGTAAAGCACTTCTTCCACAATCGAAGACGATCCCCAATTATACTACCCAATTGGACATGAACAATTTGAATCACTTTGAACAAGATTTCTACAAAAACTATCAAAATTTAATAACAAATTACAAGCTGAAATTTGGTGAATATTTGGACTTGACGGGTGATCTACAACCTCCAACTGATATATTCATTGATGTGAGGTGTTTAAAAGATGGTGGTGATGTTACAACTGAGTATGGTTCATTCAACTTGATTAAGGACTCTCAGTTTTACGTTAGGAAAAGTGACGTCGAAAGATTGATCCAACAAGGTTATTTAGAAGAAATATAGGAAGTATTAGTCGGCCATGCTAACGTCTTGACTTGTATCTTCTATTCCATCCTCTATCATAGTATCTTTATTGGCGTTAGGTACTTCTTCCTCCGCTTCTTCTGTATTTCCTCTATCGGCACCGACTACCTGTTCCACTGAGACCGGACGTTCTTTGTTCCCATCGTTTAGCAACTCAGACAATTCCTTCAACTCTGAATTCAACTTTAACTTCCCTAATTCACCGTTTTTTTGATCAACATTTATCGGGAGAATCATTATACCATCTTTATTTTTATCATACACTCCAATGTTGTCATCCATATGCTTCACTTCCTTCCGTAGGTCTATAGCTACTTTACCCAATGTGTCGAATATTTGTTTAGATCCATTTATAAATTGGTCTTTATCCTTGTTGGAATAGGTTTCGAAAAACGACGAAAAGTTTTCAAGAAGGGACACTATCTTGAAATCAATATCTGACAATGCATCTAGCCTTTTCTGAATGTAGTTGTCTGGTTTTTCTTCTGTGGGCATGCTCTAATATCTACTAGAAGTGTAAGAAAGAGTGTTAACGCGAAAGGTATTAAAATTTTCTTTTATTATCAGTATCCTACTTCAGCCTTTGAAAGAGTTATGCCGATTGACCTTGGGCTTTCACGAGTAACGAGACTATTGTCACACTTCAACAACCCTCACTTAAAGTACAAATCGATTCATGTTGCTGGTACAAATGGAAAAGGATCTACTTTAGCTTATATCTCATCTATATTGACACAGCATCGACTATGTAATGGGAAGTTTACCTCTCCACACATGGTGGAATTGAACGACTGTATAACAATTAATAACAAGACTTACCTGAAATCTAAATTCGACGTGATTAACCAAAGTGTTTTGCAAGTGGATAAGGAGCTACAGCTAAGATGTACCGAGTTTGAAATATTGACAGTGACGGCATTCAAAATATTTGAATTAGAGAAAGTTGAGTTGGCGTTGATCGAAGTGGGTGTGGGAGGACGGTTAGATGCGACGAATGTACTTGAGGCATTCAATGGTGAAGGCGGAGTTGTTGCTACTGGAATCACCAAAATTGGAATGGATCACGAGGGTTTATTGGGGAATACGATAGAACAAATTGCACAAGAGAAGGCGGGGATCTTAAAAACCGGGATTCCTTGCTTTGCTGACGGACGGAATAGTGAAGAAGTTTTAGGCGTGATAAATGACAAAGCAAAAGCACTTCATTGTGAAGTTGAGGTTGTTGAACCAACTTTGGAAGATAAAGAAGTAATACAATTCAGCCCCTTGAAGGGTGAGTATCAGTTGGGTAATCTCGCACTTGCATTGAGAATACTTGAGTCGCTTCGTAAGTATTTCACATTTTCAAGAGATCAAATTATTGCTGGAATCAAAAGCTCCTATTGGCCAGGGAGGCTAGAGTCTTTGCAAATTTCTGGGTTGAGAGAGGTTTTGATTGACGGTGCACATAATGAAGATGCAGCGGTAGAACTAGGCAAGTACATAAAAGCCACGTTCCCTAACAAGAAGATCACTTTTGTAGTGGGGATAACTAGGGGAAAGAATTTGGCTAACTTGTTAAAGCACATTGTACGAAGGGGTGATACTGTGATACCGACGTTGTTCCACCAACCGGATCAGATGCCATGGATAAAATGTGAACTGGTTGAGAAAATTACTGATGTTGCGAAAACATTTTGTCAAGTCAAAACTGTATCAAAGGGCGCATACCTCAGCGATGTATTTCGACATTTGAAGGAAGGTGGAAATGAAACGTCACCGATTGTAGTATATGGAAGCTTGTATTTGTACGCTGACGCTGTCAAATAGATCCTAGATATAGCTGCAACAGTTGTTTATAATGTTTTTGGTACCTCTGTTTTCGGTATGTGCATTTCTATTGGTAGCGTACTCCCATTGCAAAGGACGCGTCTTATTCATTTTGAAAACACAATTGATGGAGTAAAATTACATCACACCCTAACACACCCTCCGTATCAAAAATGGCGCTCTCAAGTTTGGAAAAGAAAAGACAAGAGAACATACGGAGAAATAAGGAGCTTTTGTCTAAGCTAGACCTTGATGCTCTTTCCAGTGGTATTTCTCGCGATATTGAAAAATCAAGCTCGCCACAACCGGTAAAGAAGAAAAAGGTTGTGAAGCCGAAAAATGAAACTAAAAGAAGAGAGGTTGAACCTTCGAGAAGATCACGACGTCTTGCTGGAATACAATCAGAACTCGAGAACCCAGAAGAAGCAGCAAGAATTAGAGAAGAAGAGGAGGAAAAAGAACGTCGGAAAAGAGAGTATGAAGCTTTGAAACGAACCAAACTTTTTGGAGACTTTCATTTGATTGATTTGATCACAGATCGAAAAAGTGGAGATATGTTGTTTGAAGATAAAGTTAGAAACAATGTTGAACAAGGCACTACTGATATAAAGGTGAAAGAGGATGTGCTTTCGCAAGAAAATGAAACGTTGCAATTGATTCAATCTCTTGGAGGTAAATTTTCAGCAGGTGATTTTTACGAGGAGATCAAAAGAAAGGAACCAAACAGTGACACTTCGGTAGATGCGAAAAGGAAGGAGTTTGAGTCGAAGCGTATTTTTCAGAAGTTTGACCCATTGGATGTAAAGTTGGCGCATTATAGAATTACTGCAATGATGTTTCATCCATCAACTACTGATCGTGTTATAGCAGCTGGAGATACCAATGGTAACTTGGGTATATGGGCCCCAGATGCATCATCCGATAAGCCAATGACTACTATCTTACGCCCTCATGGTAAAAACATTTCCAAGATACTCACTCCATCTAATGAGTTGCAAAAGTTGTACTCAGCATCGTATGATGGCAGTGTGAGATCACTTGACTTAAACAAATTGACAACTACTGAGACTATCTATTTGAGTAATGACGGGTATTCTTTAGGCGTTAGTGATATCAACTTGGTTCGTGAGGATCCTAACTTGATGTATATGACTACACTAGATGGCGTATTTTGCAAACATGATATCAGAACTAAACCAAAAGCAAGCATGAATTATCTTAGATTGCATGATAAGAAAATTGGTGGTTTTGCTATAAACCCAAACAATTCCTACCAAATAGCCACCGCCTCATTAGACAGGACACTCAGAATATGGGATTTGAGAAAAATTGGACCACTGGAGTATTCCGAGTTTGAAGAGCAGAAGAGTCCACATATGTACGGAAATTATAGTTCTCGTTTATCGGTTTCCTGCGTCGATTGGAACATAGACAACCATTTGGTTTGTAATGGTTACGAAGATCAAATTTGTATATTCAACTACAATGACAATCCAAAAATAACCGACTGGGGGTCCGACTACATGCCCGATTTCAAACCTAATAAAAACAATAACCCTGACGAAATAACATTACCAAATAATCTTCACCCAATGAATAAGATCAGACACAATTGTCAAACAGGACGATGGGTATCCATATTGAAATCAAGATGGCAAGAGAACCCTCAGGACGGTATGCAAAAGTTTATCATTGCCAATATGAATCGTGGCATGGATGTTTACGACCAAAAGGGTAACATATTGGCACACTTGAACGATCAAATTGGTGCTGTACCAGCAGTCTGTACTTTGCACCCTACACAAAATTGGGCCGTAGGTGGGAGTGCCAGTGGTAAAATTTATCTTATACAGTAGCACACAAAAACACAGTTGTATATATATTAAAGATACCTCTTTCTCAATTCTCTATATGGTAAAAATATGTACCTCCAATTTAAGCAGATGGAGTCATAACTTGCCATACTCTGATGAGGTTGTCAGTGTAACCGGCAAACAAGTTTTGACCGTCAGCAGACCAAGCCAATGAGATAGCTTCTGGGTCCTTGGCGTTAGCACCGATGGCGAATTCTGGTTTCAATTCATCCAACAATGATCTTTCTTGCAATTTGAAAATCTTGATACCAGTGGTAGTGGCAGCAGCCAACCAGTATCTGTTTGGAGAGAAAGCCAAAGCGTGGACTTCGGCCTTGGCGTCCAAAGTGTACAAGGTCTTGTTTGAGTTCAAGTCCCACAAGATGATGACACCGTCTTTACCTGCAGAAGCACACAATGATCCATCTGGGGATAAAGTGATGCATGAAATGTAACCAGTGTGACCAATAAAGTCAGCGTTGGTAGAGTAGTCGGTCAAATCCCATGACTATTGTAAAAAGTTAGTAAAAAAATTGATTCCCAAAAAGTCCTTATTCAATTCCAATCAGAGATCTTGGTGATAAAAGATATGTCTCATTCGAAGCAAAATGCAACGTCTGAAGTAGCAAATATGGAATAATCATCACTTGAAATTGAACCCGTGTGAAAAGAGTTAAAAACATACCTTAACAGTCTTGTCCCATGAAGCTGAGATAACCAATGAGTTGTTACCAGATGGTGAGATTCTGACAGCTGAGACCCAGTCGTTGTGGCCGGTCAAAGTAGCCATACATTCACCAATGGTGTTCCAAACCTTAACGGTCTTGTCTCTTGAAGCAGAGACAATTTGTCTGGAGTTCTTGGCAATTGAAACAGACAAGACATCACCCTTGTGACCAACAAATCTGGTGGTTTTACCTGATTCCAAATCCCACAATCTTAAAGTCTTATCCCATGAAGCAGACAAAGCGTAAGCACCATCAGCACTGATAGTGACATCTTGGACAATGTGAGAGTGACCTTTGAATGATTTTTGTGGAACACCGTATTGGTTGTCGTCACCACCAGTCAATTTCCACTTAATCAAGGTCTTGTCTCTTGAACCAGACAATAACAAATCTGGGTGGACTGGGGTGGTGGCCAATGAAGTGACCCAACCGTTGTGGCCTTCTAAGGTACCTCTCAAAACTAAAACTTCTTGATCAGACATTGTGAAATGCGGATGTAGATAATGTCGTTGTTGTTGTGGAAAGAAGGAAAGGGAAGGGATTAAATTGAAAAAAGTGAAAATTTTATTTGGACTAGAGTTTACTATGAGGATGGGATGAAAAAAAATTTTCAGTTGGTAGTGCAATGCACAGAAAAATTCGATTAGCCTAAAAATTCTCATAGCTCCTGCGTAAAATTTGGACCAGGAAAGCACCAAACGGGAGGACTGACGAGGTTAGAGCTGGAGTAGCGCACACGACGACAGGGAAGGAGAGCCTAATACAATTAAGGACCTCTGGGATGTAGATCAACTCGCCTTAGTGGATGGAACCCGGAAGATATTTCTGAATATACTACAGAAGGAACGCTCTGCTACATAGAAACAATGGCAAATTAGTCGATAGCGCTGTGAGACAAGCTGAGATGCTCCAGACAGTGGATGCTTTTAGGCGAGCTTGTGACCCTGCGATGTATTAGGCAGGCTGATTGGGTAGCTCCATTTGCAATCCAGTTTCAGGTACGGCGCTTAATCTTTCGCGGAGTTTTTTCTTAACTCTATTCTTTACACCTTGTCAACAAGTACCACAGATGACCCTTCCTTTTTATACACGATGCCAAAGATCACAGTAGTATCCGGAGGTACAGCCACTAATGAGTTAACACCACTCTTTTCCAATTTGTCTAAAAGCAACAAGACTTCGTACATATTGCCAATTTCGGATAACGGAGGCTCGACATCGGAATTGATTCGCGTCATAGGTGGCCCGGCTATAGGTGACATTCGGTCTAGGTTGACACGGTTGATTCCTTCTCATCAAGAACACATTAAACAGTTGCTTACATTTAGATTATCGCTGGATCCTCATATAGCCAAGCATCAATGGAATGAAATCGTGGAAGGTACACACGAGTTATGGACTCCTATAAGTTCCAGTACAAAGGAAATCTTTCGGAGTTTCTTCGTTCATCTTCATGTAGAGTTGTTGAAAAGATCAAGAATACACCAATCAACAAAGCGACAGTTTAGGTATGAATTGGCCAGTGTGGGGAATATGTTTTTGACAGGTGTGCGTTTATTCATTGGGTCATTGGACTCCTCCATTGAACTATTCTGCAAATTGACCGACATTAGCACCAACATTCAAGTTTTGCCATGTATAAACACTAACTTTACATATCACATTAGTGCATTGTTGGAGAATGGATTGATTATAACCGGACAGTCACAAATATCACATCCATCAACATCTCAAGAGTACCCGCCTCCAATACATAAAACTCGACCACCAACACCATCTGATGACGCATTGAGGACAAATTATTTCACCGATGCAGGAGTGCCTATAAATGAAGTCGAAATTAGTAAGCACCAGCACCAACAAAGGAGAGTGAGTTTAGAGTCTAGCGTATCGACATTTTCAGATTCAGACGAAGAAGAGTCAGGAAATGTCCCACAATATACCCACCCAGAATTGAAAAAATCCCAATTGCACTTCAATAAACTGGAATCGATTGAGCCTTTGTTGTCTCCAATAAAAAGGATATTTTATGTGTCACCATATGGGGAAGAAATATGCCCTACAGCAAACGGAAGGGTTACTTCGACCATTGCAAACAGTGATACTTTGATTTATTCCATTGGTTCATTAATGACAAGTATTGCACCTGTCTTAGTGTTAAAGGGAGTAGGTAAGGCAATCACCACGGGTAAATGCAAAAACAAAATTTTGCTTTTGAATGGATGTCTTGATAGAGAAACATTTGGTATGACAGCATATGATTTCGTCAAGGTAATTGTCGAGTCCACTGAGTACTCCTTGAGGAATCAAAACATGAATTCGGAGCAACTTCCGTGGAACAAAGTGGTGACACACTTGATATACATGTCAGACCTGAAAATCGACGTTGATGTTGAGTTGTTGAATTCGCGGGGAGTTGCATGTGTTGAGGTTTCTAAAATAGAAAACACAGACTATTTTGATTTGGGGCAATTGGAGCAAACACTTGCTGATATTATATAAAGCGTATATCTTTATTAGAGCAGATTTTGTTAGGTTCAATGTGGGGGGGGGTGGCTTGCAAATTTGTCCGTGGTAGCGCTCTAAATCCATTTCTTTTGGTAAATCTCACCATTGACCATCAGAGCAAATGTCTTTCGATATCAATTGGGATAAGTTAAAAGACGACGCTGCCATCAACAACTCGATAAAGGAGTTTCTTCATGAACAACTTCAAGGCTTGACTTTACCATCCTATATTTCCAATTTACAAGTTGTGGAATTCAGTTTAGGTGATATACCTCCTGAAATCACCATACGACATATTGGTGATCCTTTCGCGGAATTCTACAACGAAGGGGATGAGGACGAAGATGTATTGAAACAGGAAGATGGATTTGAACATGTGAATAATGAACGAAGGGGTGACGAGGATGATGATTATGATGAAGAAGATGACGATGACACGTATGACGACAAACTATCGACAATAGCTGAAGGGATTACGATGCTTGATACTTCTGATGCACCATGTGACCTGGAGTCGAAACCGCAGCATCCTTTGCTGAATCCTAACTCAACAAGCTCTCGTCCTCCAAATATCAATAGAGCTAAAGATTCGTTCCAATCGGTGTTGCATCCATATGGAATGGGTGGTATTCTCAATGCAACCAATCCAGCTGCTGCTGGGGCAGGTACAGAAACGCCCACACATATATTGAATCCAAACATCCTATCTTCCAGGGTCATTCCAAAAATTGCAAGCAAGTCTGATTCGAAGAGACCTGAAGCTGGAATGAATGATATTCAATTCATTGTGGAGATAAACTACAAGGGGGACATGCACATCGATATAATGGTCACTTTGCTTGTGAATTATCCGTCCCCAAAATTCATTTCCTTACCTATAAAACTTCATGTCACGGATTTAGTAATCCATTCGATCGCAACCATAGCATACCTCAAAAAGTCAGTCTACCTATCATTCTTGTGTGACGTGAATGATGATTTTGATGTTAATACCATTGGGTCTAACGCTTCTACGCCTGGTGGTGGAAACATTGTCGATTACTATTTCCACGATCCCCATAACAAAGAGCGTATTGATATTATAAGAAAGATCAAGATCGAAAGTGAAATTGGGGAAGTGGAGAATAACGTATTGAGAAACGTGGGCAAAGTTGAAAAATTTCTAATGGAGCAGTTACGAGGAATTTTGAGGGACGAAATTGCGTGGCCGAGCTGGATTTGCATTGATATGAATGATGACGAAGATGAAGAGAGTGTATAAATATATATATAAATGTGTATAGGAAGCTCAGCGACATTTCACTTTGTTATTTACTCTTTCGCACCGCCAAAGAACACAAGCTAATTGCTTCACCAATGAGTGATTTGAATGACTTAATCAAACAGTTCCAATTTGATCGGTTGCTAAAAACTGATACTCAAGCAAAAACAGTCGCGATACTTGGACGCATACTTGGTGAGCCTGCCATCCTCATCCTTGAAAAATCGGCGTTCAATGCCGAATCAATTAGTCACAATAATAAAATTACCCATTTGATAGACACTATTACGACCATCAATTCCAATGACGTATACAGCTGGGGAAATGCTATATTATACCAGAACTTGGAACAGTTACCAGCAGCCAAAGTGAACTTGATCTACCCTGCCACTGAAACTCATGTAAGGAAATACGACCAACAAGAATTACACTATGTGAGAGAGACGCCTCAAATGTATCAGAAGTACGTTGTACCATACGTTGAGACTATGAAGGGAGGTCGAATTCAGTGGGTTTACAATATCCTTTTCCATGGAAAAGAGCTGGAGTCCGTCATCTACCACGATCGAAGTCATGAAGGGTTTGTTTTATTGCCAGATATGAAATGGGACAGAGTCAACTTGGAGAACTTGTACTTGTGCTGTATTGTCAACCGAAAGGATATTTCGTCATTGAGAGATTTGAACGGGTCTCATATAGACTGGTTGAGAAAAGTGCAACTGAAAGTTAAGTCAGTTGCATTTGAAGTTTACGGTATTGCCCCCGACCAATTGAAAGTATTTGTTCACTACCACCCAAGTTATTACCATTTCCATTTGCATATAGTTAACATTCACCATCCTGGTTTGGGCAATGGAATTGCAGTTGGAAAGGCTATCTTGTTGGATGATATCATTGACAATTTAACTCTTGTCAGTGATTACTATGCAAAGAAAACCATAGGATTTGTATTGGGTGAAAATCACGGCCTATGGCAAATTGAGGGGTACAGAAAGGAACATTATGGGTAGTAAGGTGTACGTATATAGAGCTTTACTAGATAGACACTATGTATTTCATCTGGATCTGCTTTGGTAGCTCTTGTCTTTGTCTCCAGAAATTCATCTTTCCGATGAGATGCGTAAAAGATTTCGATGTTAAGCATCACACAATTACAAGCTACCACAGACGACAATGAGTGATGACGATGGGTTGTTGCTTAACTTTGCAATTCCAGATTCCAGTGATAGTAGTGCTGTACCTGTCAATAAGAATGTTAAAATAAAGGGAGGTAGATGGAAGGATCGTAGAAAGTTGCAATTATCTTTACAAGGAAGAACCAAAGAGAAAAAAGTCAAAGGTGTCAATGGTGTTGTGATAGAGAAACCACGATTACTGAAACGAGAACGAGATGATGACAAGAAACTGAGAACGAATGAGTCAGTCCCTAGTGAATTTAAGAGAGCTAAATTTTCCGAGACCAAGGGTCAAGCAGGCGGAAAGAATAATTCATATGTGTCATCTTTGTTCACTAATAACGAGACGGCATTACAAACTACCATGACGGAAACAAAGTCGGAGGAGAAGGAAAAAACTTATTTACCATCAAACGCACCTGTGAAAGGGGCAACAACGTTTGTTGGGCTAGGCATCAATAACCATTTATCTACGCATCTCACTGACCACCAAAGATTCAAATACCCAACAAAGATCCAAAAACTAGTTATACCGAACCTTCTAACAACTGAGAGAGACTTGTTTGTGAAAGCGCAGACAGGATCCGGTAAAACAATGGCTTTCATATTGCCTATATTTCACAAATTGATGATGGAGAATAAGCATAAAATTACCAGAGATTCAGGGGTGTTTGCGATAATTTTGACACCTACGAGGGAACTTGCAAATCAAATATATTCTGTTTTAGAGAGTTTAACTCGATGTCACCACACCTTGGTTCCTGGAATTGTGATTGGAGGGGAAAAGAAAAAAAGTGAAAAAGCACGATTGAGGAAGGGGGTAAATATTTTGGTGGCTACGCCTGGTCGACTAGCCGATCATTTGGAGAATACAAAGTCATTGGATATAAGTCAATTGAGATATTTGGTTCTTGATGAAGGTGATAAATTGGTTGAATTGGGATTTGAAGAGACCATTTCAAAAATTACAAGAATTATTGATGAAAATTCAAGTATTGCCGAGACTGGTGATAAATGGCAAGGGTTGCCCACACGGAGGATAAATATGTTGTGCTCGGCAACTTTGCAAAATAATGTAAAACAATTGGGAAGCATAATACTTCAAGAACCGGAAATGATTTCCGTGGATAGAGAAGTTGAAGGTACTATCTTGTTTGATGATGACGTTGAGGGAGAAGTTAATGGTGATCCCAATGATCATGAATCATTTGCTCCCGATCAGTTAATTCAAGATGTTTTAATTGTACCACCCAAGTTGAGGCTAGTTACCCTTGATGCGTGTCTCGTCAACATTGCCAACAAAATTGCCCAAAGTAGTACACCATCAAGAACTATGGTATTCTATTCATGCTCCGATTCGGTCAACTATCACTTTGATGTCTTTTCGAGAGATGGCAAAGTAATCAAGAAAGTAAAGGATGATGAAACTGGGGAAGTCAAGACTATTTTGGTGTCACCAGAGGATAGCACAGATGAAAATGGTGCTGATGATTCTGAGTTGACCGCTCCCATAATCCATGACAACACGATGATATATAAACTTCACGGTTCATTATCACAACAAATAAGAACCTCTATTTTGCAAAAATTCATCAAGGATGATCCAAAGTTCCCACACAAGGTCCTCTTTTGTACTGATGTTGCTTCAAGAGGATTGGATTTGCCAAACATTGCCAATGTGATTGAGTATGACGCCCCATTTACCATTGATGATCATTTACATAGAATTGGTAGGTCTGCCAGAGTGGGTAACAAGGGTGAAGCCACATTGTTTCTATTACCAGGATTGGAAGAGGGTTACATCGATGCCAAATTAAAAGTGGTTCACCCACGTGAAGATAACTTGCGTATAATAAACTATGAAAAAATTCTTCAACAAGCATTTGCTGAAAAGAATGCCACTGGAAAGAATAAGCACGACAAATTGGGAAACTGGGATATTCATGCTACAACATGGCATTTGGAAGTGGAAAGATGGCTTTTAGAAGATTCTGCAGCATTATCAAAGGCAAGTCTTGCGTTTACATCACATATCAGGGCGTATGCCACCCATTTGTCACAAGAGAGGAATTTCTTTAATGTGAAATTGTTACATTTGGGTCATTTAGCGAAAAGTTTTGGATTGAGAGAGACTCCAAAGAATATAGGTAAGAAATCGGGCAAGAATAGCGACAAGCATCTTGAAGGTGTAGATGGTGGGCTGAGAAAGTTGAAAAAGGAGGATCCACGAAAGAAGATGTTGAGAATGGCCAAATTGGCGGTAAAGTCCAATAACGAATTCAACTACTGAAACTATTGTGTAATAAGACGTATATTCATCTTAGTTGTACAAATGATCTATAAATTCATCGTAACTTGTATCATTGTGTAAATGAATACCATTGGCCCCATCGCTCAACTGCAACTTCAAACTCTCCACCATAGTATCACCTGTTTTCCAAGTCAAGTGCTTCCACTCTTCCTCGTCAAATTTTTTCATTGATTTTAATGAATCTCCCAATGAATGGCTATGGCTATCTTGATTTTGAGTTGAATGTTTAGCAGCAGTTTGCAAAATCTGTACACTTGGTCGTTCTTGATGCCTTTCCTGTTGTGCTTCCAATTTGCGCTGTTGCATTGTTTCTTTATCCAAATCATCAATGTATTTGAACGATGTACGTAGCTGAGCAGTTGAATCAATAGGAATCAAAACCACTTTACGCTCAACACCATCATTAACAACTTTGGCGGCATAAATTCCTTGCTCTGTTGGATCCAACACGCCTGAGATTGAGTGTTTATCAATGGACTCTCCCCAGTCTTCCACTTTACGTAGATTGAAAAATTTGGTGGGATCAATGGGTAGTTTTAAATCGAGATAATGTGAATCGGGTTTGATTGATGCGGATACGGGAGTGTTTGAAAGCACACGGGTTTTGGGTCTTCCTGGATATTGTAGAAGGTGTAGGGATTGCGTCGCTGGTGAGGGAACTTGATTCATAACCAACGGAATAGACTCTATAATAGGATCATCATCATCGTTTTCCTCCAATGCAGCTTGTACATATTCCAGAGAGGGGCTACTCTCATCCTCATCATTCTCCTCTTTTATTGTAGTTGTGGATGGTCTATACCCTCTTCTATCGTCAACTCTATCATCTTCATCGACAAATAACTGACTCATTTGGTGATGGTGACTTGTCAACACGAGATCAAGAGGGATGAAATCATCAGGGCAATGTCTTCTTTTTTTTTTTTGGCCCATTTTGTGTACCCATTGAGATGGTGCCTTGAGTCAGAAAAAATTTGAGACTTTCCTGCCAGTGCCAACTGTTTCTTACAAAAAAGTGGGCAACTAACATGACATCAGTTGAGCCATTTGATATCAAAGCTACCTATTTAAAGATACTAGAGGATGACAAAGAATTGACAATGCCTATAGCGGCAATTGAGAGTCTTGTGGAGATGTTACGCTTAAACCGACCTTCAACATCATCCGAATTGATCAATCTAGTTTCGAAAAACATTGACTTGTTGAAATCATCGATACCGAATAACATCTCCCTTTCTGCTGGGTGTGATTTATTCATGAGGTTTATATTGAGAAACACCAACATATATAGCGATTGGGAGTCGTTTCTGCAAAATTTAATTGAAAATGGCGAGTTGTTTGTTCAAAGAGCCAAAATATCTCGAGAGAAGCTGGCGGAATATGGATTGCCATTCATTAAGGATGATGATGTTATTCTTGTGCATAGTTTTTCTCGTGTGGTTTACACCTTGTTGCTCAAGGCGAAACAAGAACAATTGACGAGATTTAAAGTTTTGGTAACTGAGTCAAGACCAACTGGGAATGGATACGTTATGGCGGAAAAATTACGTAAAGCTGATATTCCATGTGAAGTGATTGTTGATAATGCAGTTGGGTACGTTTTACACAATGTTGATAAGATAATTGTCGGTGCTGAAGGTGTTGCTGAAAGTGGTGGTATAATAAATCACATTGGTACTTATCAAATCGGATGTTTAGCCAAGGTGAATAACAAGCCATTTTATGTAGTTACTGAATCACATAAATTTGTGAGAATGTTTCCATTGGCACCTAATGATCTACCAAACATGAATTATATTGCTTCGTTGAATGAACTGACAGAAGAGAATCAGAGATATAAAGAATATTTCACAAGTCATGGGGATCAATTCTTGGATCATCATATAGTTGATTTCACTCCTCATGATTATATCACGGCTTTGATTACTGACTTGGGTGTATTGACTCCATCTGCGGTTAGTGAAGAATTGATCAAGATGTGGTATGACTAAGGGAGGAGACTACCCCTTTTCCATAGAAGTTTCTATTTGTCACAGATATAATGTCTAGATATATCGGAGTAAACGATTACCATGGGTACCAGTGATATAATATAGCTTTCTTTAATACCAATTTTTTGCAATTTGTATACTTGCACGACCTGAACAAAAAAACCCTCTACCAGTCATATTCCAAGTAAATCAAATACATTACCAACAAAGAGAGAGAGTGAGGAAAAAATCAATCATAACTAAGTAAGAAAGACACGCCCACCACATACCGTATCCTCAAAAGATTATGTCCAAGTTTGTCATCCCCACCGCTTTAAAAGAATTAAGATTCCACCTATCACAAACTGGTGAAGCATCAGTACCATTGCGTAAATTTCTCACCACCAATTATCCAACTTTGAAACAACAAACTGAATATAAATTACCGATCTTGATTAGAGAAAGTTATGGTGTACCACCAAGTTTAACGGCTAGATTTGAAAGAGGAGAAGAAGTTAGAAAGAATTTGGAAGGGTTGAGTGAGGGGCAAGTTGCTGATGCTTTAAATGAAGTTTTAAAGAGATGAGCGTTGGGGAAGCTTAGAAGAAACGTGTCTTTATAGGAGTGAGGACTCGTTGAGTGTTGAGTGTTGAGTGTTAAGTGTTGAGCGTTGAGAGTTGAGAGTTGAGAGTTGAGAGTTGCAAGAAGTTTGCGTGTATATTCAATGTCAATAAATAAAGTTCAAAAGCTATAGTTTTACCTTTTTTTTTAAATCTTTGAATCAATATTGTTTCCAACTTGATAAATACCCCATCCCAAGCTACCCAATTCATCGTTATAAATCTCTTTAACATTTTGCTTTGCATCTTGAGCAATCCCACAAACAACTACCAAAGGTAAGAAATGTTCCAATGTAGGATGAGCTTTTCTCAATAATGGATCTTTCTTCAAGTCATTTAATTTCGACAACAACGTAGATGAAGTAGTGGGGGAGCTTTTGCTATCGCCACCAGTATTGTCAGTTTCGGTTTCACTACTTTCAACAACCAGTTTAACTAAATCGTTAAATTGTTTGGCGTAAGGCAACCCTTTAGCAGTGGGGTTTTGTTGCATGTACTGCATCGAAAACCCCAATTCACGCAAATTGTGAACTGACATTCCAGAACATATAACCATCCCCTTGAGGTACTTTTGATGCAAATCATCCCAAATTTCATTTTGACGGAAAAAATCCAATGCTTGACCCAATTTGAAATGAGTATTGAAATCAGAATCATTGGCAGTCAATGAAACTTGTACAATGGCAATATCTGGTAAATCCAATGCCCGTTTTTCATTGTAATCAGGTTGTGGTTGCGTTTGAGTGTTGTATCCACTGAATGCAACTTTGAAAGGAACCCATACCCCATGATCAATACCACGATCAGTGAGTTCAGCACTGAATCCAGATTCAGTTAATTTGGACTTAATAGCATCGGCCACGGCTTTGTTGTTGTACGTGTGGAATTCTTCAGCGTACATGTGTTTGGGGAACCCATAAAAATCATAAATCAAGGCGTTTTCACCATTACCGCCGTTGGACCAAGTGGTGCCAATTTCAATTGTGTTTGGTTGTTTTCCACCAGGACTGCTTTGCCAATGTGCGCTAACGACAATGATATAGTCGGGTTTATCCCTTGGGGGTAATGATTTAATTTGTTGACCAATTGTGCGGACTTTATTCCAGGCGCCTTTGTTGCCAAATGAATCATTTTCGTACATAAATGTGGGTCCACCATGGGAGAAGAAATAGGTGGGTAAGATAGATCCTTGATGTTTGATGTATTTGGAAATAGTCGACATGTCGTTGGAGTGTGGGGATAGAGTAGTGGTAGCGGTGGTGTTGTTGATAGTGGTGATAGTGGTAGTCGTATTGTTGTTATTATTGACGTAATAATAAATCAATAGTGATGATAAAACTGTGGTGATTGAAGTTAACCACAATTGCATAGAATGTGTGAATGTGTGATATTCAATGATGGAATGAAACGATTTAAAGCTTTGTTATTTTGTTACGTGTATCCTGTAATCCAATTGGTACAGTTTTGACATGATAATTGATCTCTCTTTCTCTCTCTCTCTTTCTCTCTCTCTCTCTCTCTCTCTCCTCAACTTACTAAACTGAGTAATTAAAAGATAGTAGGTGGTATATATGTTATATTAATAAGCCTTACTAAAATAAACGGGTGCACTTTGAACTGTTTTTTTGGGAGATCAGCAGACATGGTAGCAGGTGCGTATGATGCCGTGTCACAAAATAAGAATGTCGAGAAATGGATAAATACGACACTTGACACACATCCGGCCGTTCTATGCTGCAACATCTAAAAATAAAATTTCACCCTTACATTAAGCATAAGGGGACCAATTGAATTCACGGGTCTTTATTTTGTGGTTTTGATTGAGCTTATACTGATGGGAGACACTGATGTCATGGGGGAGAAGGAGGTATTCGAGTTTGAAATTCTCGGCAATATCCGAATAAGTTCCGTACGTTCGTTACTTTTCTTATTGAAAACCTCCTTTTATTTGCGTTTACAGAAACATTTCAGTTGGTGGAGGACAGCTCAATGTGGCTTTATACATCAGCTATGTGGAGCGTGAAGTACTAAGCACTAACTGGAACACCACAACAACCTCCCCTTTCGAAACCATGTACTACCATCCACTCCATTGCCTTACATTAAGAAGACATGCATCGTTTCTATCCACAAAGAAGCAAAAAAAAAAAAAATTGTCAATGAAATTTCAGGTTTTTAGGCGTCAATTTAAGCGATCGACACAGAATGGAAGTATGCAAAAGAATGGGGAAGTCGTTTTCCAAACGAATTGAAAGAAGTGAAACAAAAAAAAGAAAATTCGTCAAACCAGAGGTTGGGTTTGATATAAATAGGACTGTAAATGGTGCTTCTTTCTATTGCACTTTACACATATCTAACAACAACAAATACAACAACAAATACAAAGACAATATCACAGGCTGAAATGACAACAACAGAAACATCAACACCATCTGATTCGTCAGAAACTGTTATTATTACTGGTGGTACTGGATATGTTGGGCAACATATAATTGCCCAATTATTAAAACTGGGTTATAAAGTAATTGCCATTGTTCGCTCACAACCACGAGGCATGGAATTGATTAAGCAATATAGTCATCCTAATTTACAAATTGAGGCAGTTGAACAATTGGATAAACCAAATTCCGTTGATTTTGTGTTGAAACAACATCCTGAAGCATCTACATTCATTGCTGGTGCTGCTGTAACTGATTTTACTGCCAAGGACGTTGAAAAGGAGATTTTGCAAAAGAGTAATGCCATTATTAAAAACACATTGGAATCGATTAATCACCATGGTAAACTGATTAAACGTGTTGTATTAACTTCGACATCGGGTACTCACATTGGGCCGGAAAAGATGTTTAGTTATGATGCTCAATATACTGACGATGATTGGAGTCCATTACCGTATGAAGCCGGGTTTGCTAATGCACAAATGGCGTATTTTGTGTCCAAGAAATGTAATGAAGAATTGGCATGGAAATTTATCAAGGATAATGATACTCAATTTGATTTGGTTTCAATTAATCCATCAATGTGTCTTGGACCAGTTCAATTTGCCAATGAAGTGAGTTTGAAAGAGGGGAGTTACTTACCGTCAACAACAAATATTATTGCCAACTTACTCAAATTGAAACCAAACGATACAGTGGAACCATTGGCTGCTGGTGCTGCTGATGTGAGAGATGTGGCTAAAGCACATGTTGCCGTGATTAATAACCCAAAAGCCAGTGGGCAAAGATTGATTGTTGAAGCTTATAAGTTTACCAATGCCAACGCTATAAATATTTTACACAATTATTTCCCTCAGTTGAAGGACAAATTACCCAATGCTGAACCTATACCTGAGTCGAAATTTGTTGAACCAAATTTGAAGAAAAGTAGAGAGATTTTGGGGATTGAAAAGTATTACAACTTGACTGATTCAGTTGTTGGGTTGGCTAAACAATTGTTGAAGGAGTGATGGAGGAGTTGGGGTATAAAATTTGGTTATTATTTTGTGTATGGGTATTAGTTAGATCTAGATTGTGTTAGAGACTTGTAATCAATCAATTAGTATAGTAGAATAGTTTAACTGTGCATAGACACATCTTTATTCTGTTCTCTTTTTTATTTATTATTTATTATTTATTATTTATTATTATTAATGGTGCGCATATAACGGTTGTATCTTAGATATAACATGCAACAGCAACTCTTTTAAAAGAGGAACTTGTTAGATTGTACATGATGAAAGTCACACATATCTGTAAATGAATATATATATATATATATGTGTATGTGTGTGTGTGTGTGTGCACAAATGTGAGTTAAAGAAGGGTGGATTGCAATGTAGTAGCAGTAGTAATAAGTTTTGTATAATATGTCTGATGTATAATGATTGAAGTCACGTGTAGTCTTTACTCTGATTATGGTTTTGCATTTTTCTCTCAGATTGACATGTGACAATAACAACAATAACAACAATAATACAACAATAATACATCAACAATATTAACAATATAGTTTTCAGTTTTCAGTTTTTAGTTTTTAGTTTTCAGTTACAAAGATGTATGGATGATATTATGTAGTCATGCATTTTGAGTTGTTTCCTTTTCGTGTATTCTCCCATTCCTTTCTATCAATTGGTGGTATCCAAAAGCATATTTGCATTTGATCTACACACATTCTCAAAATAAAAAAAAAAAAAAAAAAGAAGCAGTCTTTACCAATAGCATCCATAACACCAACACACCTACACTCTGAAAACACAGTGTATCAGATGTATAGAAATAGTAAAGTATATCTAACAACTTCTACCAACTAGGAAGTATACACAAAAAAATGTAACTAAACTCTGTACAACAATAGAGTAGAGAGTGTATAAGCCATAAGAAGCAAATTTCATGTGTGTCCTTAATGAAGTATAAACAATATACACCTCTTAGTAAAAAATAAAAATAAAAATAAAAATAAAAAAAACATAGTTAGCAAACTAAATACTCATCATCATTCTTTACTCACTCTTCTTCTCCTTCTTCTTTCTTCTTCTCCTTCCTCTCCTTCTTCTTCTTCTTCTTCCTCTTCTTCATCATCTTTGTTAAAGGCTTGTCGAGCTTATATCCATCCTTTTTTCTTTTTTTTTTGGGATTTTGTTTGGTTCCCATAATATATAGTAGTAAACAGAAGCAAACCTCACGCAGCAAGCTTAAAAAGATCTCAAAAAGAGACAAAAACAAAAAACACATCAAAACAATCAATAGAGACAACCAGTTTACAACCTACTACACTAACGATGGCTGGCTTGTTCAATAGAAGGGTATGTTTCATTACTTTACTTTATTTGGTGGCCAACAGGTAAGGCATTGGTGTGCACCAGGTGCTCACACACACACACACATACATACACACCCGTTGTCCCCGATGGCCTTTTAGAACCTTTCGTTTACTAACAAACTCCAATTTCCTATAGAGAAGACCAGATTCATATCAAGGGTTCAGCAAATACACTCATGAGATAAACACTTTCCATCATCCAACTCAACACGCTGGGTTGCCCTTGCAACACCAGCAACAGCAACAGCAACAAAGGACTCAATCTATGACTACAGCTGGAGCTGCGGCTGCTGCGGCTGCTTTGCGGTTACATAGTACTCCTGTCAAACAACAACCTACAAGTCCTACTCAAAGACAATACGGCCGTTCTAATTCTTTAAGCAATGCCAATAGATCAAACTCGTTGAGGCAATATACATATCATCCAAAAGCATCATATCAAACTGGTGCTGCTGGTGCTGCTGGTGCTGCTGGTGCTGCTGGTGCTGCTGGTGCGTCTTCATCAACGAGTAACCATGATCATGGATTACCAAGAAGATACAATAGCTTAACATCACAAAGTAGAAACAGTCTCACAAAAAGAAGTCAAGCTAACCAAAGACAATTGCAACAACATGACAATTACCATGAAGTGGAGGAACAAAATCAACATAGAGTACATCACATCAACGAAGACGAAGAAGAAGTTGATTATATTGTTACAACCACCACAACAAAAGTGGTTGACTCACAAGGAAGAACACAGTCAATCACGACAAAAACAGTCAAGACATTCCCCGATGGATCAAATATTATTGAAACTTCAACAAAGAATATATCCAGATCCAACTCTAGAGCTAATTCCCTTAGTTCAAATAATTATAGACAAAATTCAATGACTGCTTCATTATCTCATCAACCAGCCAACTTGACCAAGATTGATGAGGATTTGCAAAACTTTGATTATGATTATCAAGTGGATAATCTTGACGGGGATGGCAACTTGAGATTGAATACTGGTGAACACCATTATCCACACGACGGAAACGACATTATTGCTGAGGAAGCTGAAGATTATGACGAGGAGCAGCAGCAAAATAAGCAAGTTGCAGAATCGCAACAATTGGGTGCACCTTTTAATGAGTTTACCAGACCGGAAAAGCCAAGACAATACTCTACTGATAGAACTTCATCGTTAAACAGTCAGAATAAACCGTTAAGGTCAATTTTGAAAGGTCAAAATCCTATGAATGATCCACAACAACAACAACAACAACAACAACAACAACAGCAGCAGCAGCAGCAGCAGCAGCAGTCTCAACAACAACAAGAACGAGTTACTTCCCCTGGGGCCACTGCCGCCGCTGCTGCTGCAAGTGCTGCCCCCGAGATTGCCAGAGAGGATGCGCACTCACCTCTTGCTGACTCCCACCATCCATATAAACATTTCACATCAAATACAGAGCAGCACCAAAGCAGACAACAAGCTCAACAACCAACCAAGCCTACAATTGCTACAAGTCCCACCTACAGTAACAATAATAATTATAATACCGGCTCTTTCAATCGACAACCAAGACAACAAATCTCTTCACCTAGAGAAAATACCCACTATAGTCATTCTCCGGGAAGCTCCATCAAGTTTGATGACAAGGTGGAAACTATTCCAGTTGAAAGGCCAAGCTACGTGCAGCCCAATTCACCCAAGCAATACCACCACGCCAGGACTAAACAGACACCTCCTTCTGGTCCTCCTCCAGTAGCTTCGTCTTTGCAACAACCGAATGCTGATTTTTATGCTGCCGCTATGCAAGCTGCATACAAGAAGGTGTATGGAGATCGTGATCAGCAAGTTGCTTCAAAGACAGTGGGAGCCACCACTTCTTCACCTACAAGTCCAGAATTCCATCCTTCAAGTCCACCACAACAAGCGCCACCACAGATTGAAAGAAGAGGGTCTGGTCGTAAATCCAAATTTGGATTCATACCATTGACTCCACGTAAAGAGGCTGTTTCATCACAACAAGGACAACAACAACAACAACAAGGACAACAACAACAACAACAACAACAGCAACAACAACAATTTGAACCGCCAGTACAACCAAACAGTAATAATGACCAAGAGCGTACATCTTCCTTGAACTCATTAATCAAGAACAAGATCCACCGTGATCAAAAAGCGCAAGCAGCAATGAGTAAAGGCTCAGTGCCAGTGAATTATGAGTATGTCAATCATCACAAACAATTCCCTATGCACTCTATGCGTGAAGATCCTCAAAGACAAAAGGAGGAGCAACGCGTAGCTAAAGAGCAAACAAAGGAGCAAAAGCAAGCTGCTAAGGAACAAGCTAAAGAGGAGAAAGTTCGAGCTAAAGAGCAAGCGGAAGAGGAGAAGAGGTTAGCTAAGGATCAGGCAGAACAGGAGAAGAAATTGGCCAAGCAGCATTCTGAACAGGAAAAGATTGCTGCTAAGGAGGCTAAAAAGCGTGAAAAGAAACCATTGTTTGGATTCTTGAATAAAAAGAATAGAAGACTCAGTCAAGCTGGATCGGTATACTCGGGTGCCAGCTCAAATGTTGGTACTTCTTCGCCACAACAACATCACCACCAACAGCAACAACAGCAACAACAACAACAACAACAACAACAACAACAGCATGCTTCTGTATCAGATGACCCTGTTCTTGTTGGAGCGACTGCTTATACTGCTGGAAGTTATGTAATACCAGGCCAGGCTGATGGCATACATCGTGACGGTGTAACAAATGCAGGTAAAATCGTTACTCCTCAATCCAAAGTGGATGCAACTGATGCAGGTAAATCCACCGATCCCGTCACTCCTGCTCAAAATATAACAGCTGATGATAACAAAGACAGTATTGATGCTGCTGCTACTGCTACTGGTGGTGGTCCACAAAGGTCAGTGCCATATGGCAAACATGGTGTCGTTCCTACTGATCTTCCTGCTAATGAACAAACTGCAGCAACCAGACCCATTGCTAATAATGATGTTTCTAATGAACCTGGTCAAGATCGTGCTCCAATTCAAATAAGCTCGCCAGTGAATGTTCAACGTTTGGGTCCAAATATTGAAGCTCAAGCCGAGGAGCTTCAAACTGAACTTGGTCATAATAAAGAGGGGCGATATGGCGTCAATGGTGAAGGAGTAGTGGGTTTTGGTCCAACTTTGCAAAAGGAAACAGCATCGCCTGTTCCAATAAGCTCCCCCGTGCGAGTCGAGCGTCTTGGTCCTAATATCGAAGCACAAGCTGATCGACTTACAAATGAGTTGGAACACGAACGTGGTATCCCTGAGAGAGAGACTGGAGTTGCAGAACCACCTGCATCCACACTTGACCCTCGTGCAAGGGAAACTGAAACAGGGAACGTAAATGTAAGCGAGAGTAGTGGTCCAAACTTGTATTCGAAACAAGATGCTGCTGCTGCTCCCATTGTAATTCCTGCTGGGGAACAGTTGGTGGCGGAGTCTGCAGTTGATGATAGTGCGGACTTGCAAGTTGATGATAACCAAGCTTACAAGATTTCTGTGCCAAGGACATACTCCCATCAAGAGGATGAGGATGATACAAGAGATGCAGCACGGCGCGAGGGTACTGCCAGTGGATATCTTTCTACTAATAATGTGAGAACCGCTACTGATAATCACTACCCACTGCCTGACTTGAGCACAAAACATAGGGACTCTGTATACGACACCAAGGAAGGACAGTTTGTTTCAAAAGTCCCTGTACCTGAATTGAATGATATTGATGACGATGATGAACATGATAGCCGTGGAGTTGAAGATGTAACAGTTGAAGAGACTCGTGAAGAGGTTCCAGTGCAAAAGGAACCTTCTTTGGGCAGTTATGAAAAGATTCCAACACCTACACATGACGGAGATGACAAGTATCAAGTTATAGATGAAGGCGATGTTGTCATTGGAGACATCAATGAGGAAGTGAGATCGGACCCGGAGTCGGAACCTGTCGTTATTGACACCTTGACTGAGCCAGTGGGAGCAAATGTTGACCATGATGACAATGGCTACGTCACTCCACAAGTTGATGCCGAACCAACATTTGCTGGTAGTAAAGGCAAAAGACCACCAAGTGAAGTTGGCGCGCTGGCCTTTGTTATGAATGAAAAATTAACCAATCCTCATGAACATCAGAATTTCATGAGTGGCAATTTTGCTGGATCACAATTTGTTAAAAAGAATAATAATAGTCAACTAGACTCATCACCATCAAGTAGAGGGTTACAAGGAAAACCAAAAGCTGCGTATGTGAGTGATGAAGCTCCACAAGAGACAGCAGCAGGAGCAGCGACATCTCACCAACCGCAAGTTGTCACTGACGTGCAACAACAGCACCAGCCACAACAGCAACAAGAAGTGATCAATAACTACTCCTCCTCTGCAGAGCCAAGTGGTGACACATTACCCACAACTCAATCCAAGCACAATGTTGCCGAAGAGGAGCAGCAACAATATCGTCCAGAAGATCTTGAAGGTGTTGTGGTTGAAGAAAAGACATTCAAGGGTAAAAAGGGCAAAAAAGACAAGAAGGAAAAGAAGGAAAAGAAGCCTAGCAAGTTTAAGGAAAGAATGTTGAAGTATTTTGTTAGTGGGTATGAGAATTGAGATTGTGAGATAAGGAGTTTGTAATAGAGATTGGATTTCTCTACTGATTATTTTGTGTACATTAGTATTTCGGGACGTTTGTTTTAATTTAATTTAATCGCTTAATAGTTTAATAGTAATTAAATCTTTAATTCCACATTAAATGAATTAGACGTTTGTGCATGATGATCTGCGCTCTTTCAATATCGGCTGATTCTGAATGAACTAAAAGCTCCTGCAAAACTCCAACCCCCATTTCACCCTTTTTTTATTATGCCTGTCATTCAATGTCAACTGATTCTTCCAAACCTCAAACAGTAATCATCACTGGTGGTACTGGCTACGTTGGCCAACACATTGTTGGTCAATTACTCCACCATAATTACAATGTCATCATTATCGATATTTCACCAACACGAGCCATGGAAATTGTTCAATTGTTTAATCACCCCAATTTGCAATGTAAAGTTGTTGATCAATTAAACAAGCCTAATTCAATTGATTTCGTATTGCGCCAATTCCCGCATGCTTCAACGTTTATTGCTTCTGCTGCAGTTGTTCCTCGCGATGATATTGAAGATTATGAAGCGGAGATTATTCAAATGAATCGTGATATATTGAAAAATACATTGGACTCAATCAAGCATTGTGGCGGGTGTATTCAACGTGTCGTGGTTACTTCTTCTACCGCTGCTTATGTTTCTCCCGAGAAGGCTTTTGCTGTTGATGCTGTTTATTCAGATGATGACTGGAATCCATTACCTTATGAAGCTGGCAAACAGAGTGTTAGTGCTGCTTATTTCGTTTCGAAAAGAATTAACGAAGAATTGGTTTGGCAGTTTGTTAAAGATGAAACACCACAATTTGATTTGGTTACTGTTGCGCCAGCATTCTGTATTGGTCCTAGCTTTTTCAGTAGTCAAGTTAGTTTGACCAATTTGCCTTCATCGACGTCAACAGTTGGTGATTTACTTAAATTACATAAAGGTGATACTGTGCCCTATTTGGGTGCTGGCGCTGTTGATGTAAGAGATGTGGCTAAAGCACATGTTGCCGTAATTAATAACCCGAAAGCCAGTAATCAAAGACTTGTCGTTGAAGCGTATAAATTCACAAATGCCAATGCCATCAATGTTTTAAAGGCAAATTTTCCCGAGTTGAAGGACAAATTACCTGATGTTGAACCGATACCCGAGTCGAAATTTGTTGAACCAAATTTGAAGAAAAGTAGAGAGATTTTGGGGATCGAAAAGTATTATAGCTTGACTGAATCGGTTGTTGATTTGGCGAAACAATTGTTGAAGGAGTGATGAGAAAGTTGACAGATGTGGCTGCTTAGTTTTTGATTAACTTAAGTCATAAAGCGGAAAGGTTACACAAAAGAAGACTTGATGTTTAGTAACATGTTCGATACAGTATATATCAAGCTTGATCTAGTACTAGGGAAAAATATTAGCTAATATACGTAATTTACCCCGGTTGTGTTCATCTTAAACGTAAAGCCTCTTCTTAGCAACTTTGTTTGTTCCTATTTATTTACTAGTGGCTTCATCACGTAAGAGTCACATTCCGCAACTATAGTCAAGCATTCTTTGATGTATGCAAAAAAAAATCCACAATTAGTATTTATCTATAAAGAGCTCTGCAATGCCTAGCGATCAAACCGCCATTTCATCTACCGAATTGTTATTCTCAAGACTTAATATCAGCCTGCAAGAAAGTCGACAGGGGTCCCTAAATTTGCCTGAGTCATCGTTGGCGTCAGATTCGAGTAATGTACAAGATGCATTTGCCAAGATATGCATGGCATGTCGAACTGGAGATTATGAAGTCGTTGATTCATTACTAAGCACACCCAACCTTGATGTTAATCAAGTAGACGAATATGATTACTCGCCCTTGATTTTAAGCTCATTGTGTGGACATTTGAAGATTGTTGAGCTTTTACTACAGAGAGGCGCTGTATGTGATAGAGATACATTTCAAGGTGCAAGATGTATCTATGGGGCATTAACGGATAATATTAGAGATCTACTAGTCAGTTTCGACATTTCAAAGGCGGTTGATGTCACTCAACCATTTGCTGGGCACATAGCATCGCTTTATAGTACTTCGGCTAACAAAGATGTTGTGTTTAGATTCAACCAAAAGGGATTGAGTTCTGACTTGAGTGCATTCCCAATGCATAGATTCCTATTGGCTGCACGAAGTCAATTCTTTAGGGAAAAATTTCAAAATGAGTGGCTGATGTTGAGTGTTGTGAATATGCCAAATAAAATTGATCCTTTGGCATTCAAGGTGATTGTTGACTATGTCTATCTAAGAACCGATTCCATGGTAATAAATGAAAAAGAATTTCGGGAGAAAGTGCTTGCGTTGGCGGGGGAGTATGAGTTAAATGAATTGGCAAATGCTATTGAGGAGATAACGACCGCAAAGGATGAAAAAGAGCAGTTCAAAATTAAACACAAACTTGCTAAAGATATCGTTGAAAATGCAAGACGGGAGCTTGATTCCTTTTTGGTTAAAGACATCATTGGTAATAATCTCTCTTCACAAATGGACCTTGAAAACGACACTGAGCTCGAGGACATTAATAGTCAGCTCCATATTACCCAGGAACAAAGAAAAACCTTGCTTAAACTGTCCTCCATCCCTGATGCGATACTCTCATATGTCGACTCAAACTCGGAAAGGATAATTTATTACCCCGTGAACAAATCGATTCTCACAAGATCGGAGTATTTTGACACAATGTTCAAATCGGATATCTTCAAGTTTACCGAGGAGGATATTCCAATGCACAAAGATGGCGCTGTTTCAGTTGTGAATAGACCTCGAGTGGATGAATCGCATTTGCCAATTGTACAACTTTCAACCAGTACGGCCGATAAAAAGGTTGCCGCAATGGTGTTATCGTACTTGTATCACGATGATGTTGATGAGATTCCCTTGGAGAATGTTATTGAACTATTGTATGCCGCAGATGAATTGTTTTTGGAAAGATTAAAGACAATGTCAGCGGTGCGATTGAGCTCCCAGTACTCAAAATTCACCTATGAGGAGCTTCAATTGCTAGAAGAGGAAGTGAGATACGATGCATACGATTTGATTAGAACAGCTTGGCTGACACGCTGCGACAAATTGGAACAACACGTAACTAAAATGATTGCTTATAATTTACAAGAAATTGTCAAGCGTGAAGACGAGAATGCGAAATTATTGGCTTTAATAGCTGAATCAGCTGCAAGAATCAGAGAGAGACAGGACACAGATACAATTGAGTTGGTGGATGATATACGTTATTACTTGTCGAAAAAGTACGCTGTTTGCGAAGATAATGAAACTTTAGACCCTTCGAGTGGTTTTGAATTCGAAGACGAAAAATTGGAAAATATAAAGCTATATCAAAATTCTTTATTAAAATATGAGAGGGATATTGAGGTTATCGAAAACATGTTGGACTCGTTAAATTTGGATGCATAGAAAAGCCAAGAAGTTGTTGGGGTTTTTGGATTTATAGAAGAAAAAGAACACTTCACAGTAAGTTTATTTCCATCACGTGCTAGATTTTTCTACTCATCTCTTCGCATCGAATACAAAAAAAAAATTATAACGAAGTACAGGATCACTACTTCACATCTAAATTACAACAAGCATGTCAGAGAATAATCCCGATGGAGGTCAGAGTGATGATGTTTTCTTGCTAGAGGATAAACTATCCAAAATCAGAAATCAGATCAACTCCAAACTTGACAATCAAAAGCATTTAGCGATTATTTTATCAGCGGTTGAGGAGAATATCGATGAACAAAAGAATGAAAAGACACCGGTGGCATACTTTGTCTCGTTTTTGTCATTGCTTGACCAGTGTATCCAGAATGATCAAATAGTTGACAAGAACTTGGCTGCGACCACTGCCTATTTTCTCGATATTATATTTCCATTTACACCGAAACCATTATTGAAACAAAAATTTATTGAGATTTTACTCAAGTTGTCACAACCATTGAATGTTGAAGCAGAGGCTCCGCTTGTGAGGTCGACTATTGGGGCTATCGAAAGCTTGCTTTTAGCTCAAGATAGTGCTCGGTGGTTGACAAAGGGGGCCATTTCACCAAATAGGGCGTTTATGGCACTTATTGAATTATCATTTGATCCAAGACCCAAAGTGAGAAGAAGAGCTCAAGATGCAGTAAGGAATATATTGACCAACCCGCCACCAAGTCCAAGTCCAATACATGTTGCCGCTGTGGGCGCCTCTGATGCCTCCTTGAAACAGCTCATTATACTTTTATCAAAATATAGACAGCAGAGAAAGAATAATGCCAATAAGGAACTCAATTCACAAATTATTCATTGTTTGCAACTTATAACGATTATAACCTCGGCCAATTCCTGGCCAGTAAAGAATATTGAAAGTTTATGTGATTCGCTTTTGGAAATCTCGAAAACTTCGGATCAATTCTTGGTTGCTGCAGCTTTTGAAGCATTTGAAGGATTATTCAAGTCAATGACTGATGTGATTGATGTTGAGAAGTTTACCAAGGTGTTGAATATCATATTTGATTTGAAACCTAATGTTAATGATGCACATTTGAGTATTTCTTGGTTGACTGTTGTTGCAAAAGCTTTGGAGAGCTTTAGTGTTTTATCACCGTTTGAATGTATACAAAAGTTACCTCAAGTTTTGCCTGCAGTTAGCGAGTTTTTAGGCGCTGATTCTCAAAATATTTACTCGAGCGCGGCTCACTGTTTGACAGCAATTATTTCACAAACCATTCCTGAAAAGTATCTTTTGCGTCCAGACAGTGAATTTGGAATTACCCCGCAGATTTACGAGTCCGTTGATGAGACAATCACTCTGATTGCGGAGCTTATTGAAAAAGAACTACTTTCGATAAAGTATCAACACGCTACTGGCGAAATTCTAAAATTTGTTGCTGTCACCGTTAAAAAACTTCACTCTCGAGCTAACCCTGATTTCCTAAATATTTTGGAAATTGTTGGTAATTGGAGAACAAATGAGACTGATAATTTCCCTCATAACAAGGAAGCTGAAGAATTTATTGCTGCATGTGTTTCATCCATGGGACCAGAAGCTGTTTTGGGTGTTTTGCCATTAAACTTGACCAATGAAGGAAATGGACCTGGTAGAGCCTGGATGTTGCCTATACTTAGAGACAATATCCATTCTGCTGAATTGGAATATTTCAAGAGGGAAATTTTGCCAATTGTTGATTTCTTTGAAGCAAAGATTGGAGCTTCTGGTAACAAAGAGTCAATGAATGCAAAAGTTTTCCAAACAATTATTGATCAAGTTTGGTCATTGTTGCCGCGTTTTTGTGACTTGCCCAAGGACCTTAGGCTCGCATTTGATGAGAGTTTTGCAACAAAATTATCTGATTTGATGTTTGCCAATGTTGACTTAAGAACACCGATTTGTCATGCTTGGAGGTTGCTTGTTCAAACCAATATCGCTTATCGTGATGGAGGGGAAAGTGAAGATTTATTGTTGCAACAAGATTTCCCTAGATTTGAGGCTACCAAAAGCATTGAATATCTTAGCTCGATGGCATCCAATATTTTGACAGTTTTGTTCAATGTATTTACATACACTATGCCCGAGTCGAGAGGCTTTGTTTTGGAGACTATTGAAGCGTATTTGCAAATTGTGCCCCCTCAAGAATTAGCTGCAACGTTCGATAAAGTTTGTGCCATGTTGAAGAATGCTTTGGATGAAGAGGAGGCGCAAAAAGCCAAAACCAATGATTCCATTCCCGATACCAGTGTCACTATGATGGATTTAATTGTTGCTATGGCAAAGTACGTGCCTGAAACATCACACAATGCCCTTTTCTCCATATTTGTCACGACTGTACCATTAGAAGCAAAGCCATTGCTTCAAAAGAGATCCTATCGAATAATTTCAAAATTGTGTGAGTCAGAAAAGGGCAAGTTGTCAATTTCAAAATACATTGGAGAAGTTGAGAACAAGATAATTGAGACAACTGAAGTGACTAATCAAGCAGCAAGACCAGCACGATTAAGTGCAATCTTGTTGATTTTGGAGATTCTTCCATCTTCAGACTTGTACTTTATTCCATCCATCTTGCAAGAGATTATTATTGCTACAAAAGACGTCAATGAAAGATCAAGAGGCTTATCGTATCAGATATTGATCAAGATGGGTCACAAAATGGGTGAAGGTGGGTTGATTGATAATGCAAGAGTTCCTGGATTTGATCCTTCCGCAGCGCCATCAGAAGCCTCACTAACTGAATATTTCACAATGGTAAGTGCTGGTTTAGCAGCTCAAAGTGCCCATATGATTTCTGCAACAATAACAGCTATTTCATGCTTAGTGTTTGAATTCAAAGATCAATTGCCTTCGGAAACCCTTTTCGAAATTTCATCAACGGTTGAGTTGTTTTTGACTCACAATTCTAGGGAGATTGCTAAATCTGCAATTGGATTCGTCAAAGTAGAAATCTTGTCGTTGCCAGAGGAGATGGTGAGAAACAATTTGAGTGAGTTATTGAGCAAATTGATGAAATGGTCGCATGAACACAAGGGCCATTTCAAAAGTAAAGTTAAACATATCATCGAAAGACTTATAAGAAAGTTTGGAGTAGAGGAAGTTGAAAATGCCATACCTGAGGAGGACAAAAAGTTGGTTGCCAACATCAAAAAGACTAGAAACAGAGCCAAAAGAAAGCAAGAGATTAGCCCTGAGTTGCAAGCAGCTGCCAACCCATCATCCAGCACCAAAAAATTCGTCTCTGCTTACGAAGAAGCACTTTATGATTCCGATGTGTCAGATGAAGAAGAAGTGGATATTTATGACGAGGATGCCCAAAGGGCCAAAAAGGGAAAGAAATCCAATCAATTTATCTTGGAAACGGGAGATGAACCACTCAACTTGTTGGATCGTCAATCTTTGGCGCATATTTCATCCTCCAAACCAAAGAAACTTACCAAATCGGAACTTAGATCAAAGACTGATGAATTCAAAACCAAGAATGGAAAATTGGTTTTCACCGAAGGTAGTGGCGACAATGAAGATCCATTTGCCAACAAAGGTTCCGGTATAGATGCATACTTGGATGCAGTCAAGCAAGCACCAGTAAGGGGTCAAAAGAATAAATTAAAGTTTAAAAAGACAAAAGGTGATGATGATGGTGAGACTTGGTCAGATGACGAAGAGGAAAATAAAAAGCCGGTGACAAAGAAATCAAAGGTTCTTGGAAAGTCAAAGATATCAAAGCCGAGTAAACAAAGATTCAAAGCTCATAAGAAGCTCTAGATGTTACAGTGTATAAAGCAATTAAAAATGTGTACCCTAAAATGGCTCTCATGCGATGGGTGGAAATACCAAACAGATTTTTTTTTTTTTTTCTTTCTTCTTCAGTTGAGAAAACTTGAAATCAATGCAAATCCAAACCCCAATCCATTTATAGACCCCCACCACCACAATGTCAAACCCACTAATGTCCCTCGCCGAAAAGACGGCTTACAAGAGAAATCTTGTAAAGATAAGATTAGCCAGGTTTGGTCGAAAACATCAACCTATTTTCAACATTGTTGTCATGAAAGCTAAAAAAGCACAACAGAAATTACCAATGGAAGTTATAGGCACATACAATCCTGTTCCTACGCCACAGCCATCATTCGACAACAGCGCTCCAATTAAGGATATAAGCTTAGATTTTCATAGGGCTAAGTATTGGTTAGGTATGGGTGCTGAACCAACTCCAAAAGTTGCATGGTTGTTTAAAAAAGCTGGTATTTTGCCTAACTTCTGGCCCAAAACTAGTAAATTGTCACAAGAGATTAATGCTCCTGTTGTGGAAGATGTTAAAGAGACTCAGGAACTGCCCGTCGATGTGGTGAGAAGAAGGGGTGACAAGAAGTTTTAGAGAGAAAGTATTTACTTTGCATTAACTTATGTATATAGCAGAAAATCGAAGAAGCGAATTTGTTTACGAGACTTCTTGTTGTTGTTTACGGTGGAATAGTTGCCACCGTTGTCTCTTTTCTGTAAGAATTCGTCTTCGAAATAACATTTTGAATGGGTTTCGAGTAGGTTTTTCCAACACAATACGGTTTACGGTGTTTGTGTTTTCATTGTAGTAGTTGTCTTCTAAGAAGCTTGGAATCCAAGTATTGGGGTGGCTCGCTTGTTGATCATGCGGGTCAGAGACATTTGTCTTGTTGCCATTTGATAATTCATAGTGATATAAATCGGAATTTTGCTGCATCGAAGCAGGTTGGTATTCACCAGTGTTTAAATTAATGTGGTGAAAAAACGAATTGTAACGGTCACGTATCTCTCTGTAACTGCCGCTATCAAGCTCGTTGTAACCTTTGGTCAACATAAGCATAAGCATTTCTTCAAACGTTTTTCTTAAATGAGCAAGGTCTTCAGGAAGAATGTTTGCTTCTGTGTCCAAGTTGGTGGTATACGCAGCGATATCGGACATGAGAAACATGGCTTCCGTTGGTGAGTTGCACTCACGTAACCTTTCCTTCAAAAGTTGAGCAATATCTGGATCTGGAGCTAGCTTGCTCAAAACATCCTCAATCAAGTTCCCCACAACACTTTTGGTTTCGAACCTATTTGCAGCCAAACATCTTGCTCTCATAAATATCATCTTTGTAATTGATTCAAGAAAGAGTTCACGTTTGAAAGTGATCTGACACGATTCCGAAATCAGAAACAATATGGCAATAAGCTGATGGGCGGGGCGAAAGGTTCTATATGTAGTGTATACCACTCCTCCATTCAAAAAACTATCAAACACTACCTTGTTCATGATATAATCCAATCTATTATTATCCATAAACGCAGTAAAACTTTCTTTAGCCTCGGGTTCTGCTGCAATAAAACTAGATAACAAAGTCAAACTCTCACATAGTTTTCGTTGTGCCAGTAGTAGCTCGTGGGTGCTTGAGTAAGGACAATCATCAATGATATGAATCACCTTCAGAAATAATATAACCACCAGAGCCTCATTCAAGGGCAAATCGGGAAACGAAAATGTAGATACTGTGTCTAAAGACTCTCCAATTGCTGAAAGAGTAATGTTGGAGCTATAACTTTCGTAAAGACTCATGTTTAACACCATTGGTGGGTACGAGAAGTGTTGCAAAAAAAAAAAAAAAAAAATTCGAGTCCACTGTATTAATACTCTTACAACGTTTCTGCAAAGAGTGAACATGTATTAATTACACATCTATTAGTCAGTTTAATCGAATAAACCGAATCCCATATCTTCATCAGATTGTTCCTCTTCTTCTTCAGCAGCAGCTTCAGCGGCTGGTTCAGAATCACCACCGGCAGCAGCAGCAGCTGGAGCAGCAGCAGCATAAGCTTCTGGGTTAGCCAATCTGTCCTTGATAGCTTCTGAACCCTCAAAAGTGTAGTCAGTAGCAATGGACAAAGCCAAAACGTTCTTGTAGTTGTTGATCAAAGAGTGACCAACAGATGGCAAGGTTGGGTAACCAGCAGCCAATGAGATGGAAGCAATGGTGTTGATGGCACTGACAAAGTGACCAATCAATTCATCATCAGTGATATCCAAGATTGAAGCTGGGAAAACTTGACCATTGTCGTAAACTTGAACAACAGTTAAACCATAAGTGAATGGAGAAATGTTCAACATGTTCAACAAAGTGGCTTCGGAAGGTCCAACTTTACCATCTTTTTCAACAACCTTGACATCGGAAACAATTTCAATGGTACCTCTAGCAATCTTGGTTGGGACACCCAAAGCTTGGAAGAACGAGGTCTTACCTGGTTCCATACCAGTATTACCAGCTGGAATGTAAACATCAGCTGGAGCAACAGCACCGGCCTTAGCTGGAGCAGCAACAACATTGGAAGTAATGGTGTCTCTAATGGTCTTCAAATCAGCATTGGTGAAAATGAAACCAACGTTACCTTTAACAAATGGCAACAATTTTTCGTAATCTGGCAATTCAGAAAGGAAACCTCTAATGGCTCTTCTAACCATGGTGTTCTTACCCATCAAGACAACAGCATCACCTCTCAAGGCTTTTCTGATTTCATGCATTTGTTGAGAAGAAACATTGTCAACACCAACAATGAAGATTGACTTGTATTCTTCCAATAACTCTCTTAATTTGGCAAAGTATTGCACTTTTTTGTCTCTGATACCACCCATTTCGACTTGTTATGAATTTGACGACAGGAATTTAATGGTATATTAGTTGATAATAGTAGGAGTGAGGAAGCTCTAGATTCATGGTGATAATTTTCATTTTTCAAACAGTGAGCGAGTGAGTGACGCAGTGTAAGTGAGAGTGGGTTTTCGCAATTTTTTAGTCACGTGAAAATTTGTGACCACATTTTTGAAGAGCTTCTACGTCGCAGAAAAGAAACAGACGGCAAACAATTCGCGACACCACTATACATTTGTGAGATTAACCTAATCCACTATTTTCATAATTTGAACTGACAAATGTATTTTTCAAGTATTCAGCCCACATTTGTTCCAATTTCTTGCTACTTCTCCCTTTCTTTGGCTTCCCATTCTTTGACTTTTTATTCTTCTTCTTTTCAGAAACAACGGTGTTTCCTTTTACTGGCTTTCCCAACTTTCTTGCATACTTTAACCATTCTTCAACAGTCAATACTGGCAAATTGTATAATTTGTCATCGGTGCTGTATTCAATCTCATAACCAAACTTTTTTCCACTCTTGTTGATCTCTGCCAAGTCAGCATAATACTGTACGTATCTCTCTGGAGTGTACGTTTGAGGGATATAAGCGGGTCCTAATTTGGCATTTTTAGGTTTTGGGAGTGGGAAAGTCTTGTCGCGTTTAATGAATGACCAAACACTATGGCCTTCGTTATCATCTTCATCAGTATATGAATCCTGCTTGTCAATCAAAGTTTCAACTTCGTAAAAGAATTTATCCCATGGTTCAAATTTAACACTTGACATTTCATGAGCCAAGTTTGTGATGTTATACTCCCATACTCGCAAGCCGGGGTTGAATGTCGGAACAACTGAACCACCCACGTGTGATATAGAGTACCTTTCACCATGCGCACCCGATTTCATTTTTCCTTTAATCATGGCATACACCTCTTCACGTACGGTATTCATATACGCAACCTTGTTTGATGGAATTCCACCTTGCACTCTGAAAAAGGAATCATCGAATTTGGTGTCCAAAGCGTGATAAAAGGAAGTGGCTCCCAATGCATCAGTTTCCAAATCATCATGATACTCTTCATTGAACACTTCAAACATTTCCAATTGTTTTGTTTTCAGTCTCTTGTGTGACTTTTTGATGGATTTGTACGCGGCCACACTATCCAACGGAATGAAATGATCCAAATTCATGTGTCCATACAACCCACCAACAATGATGTCTCTAAATTCATGAATCCAAACGACATACTTTCTCAAGCATGTCAAGTCGAAATTTTTTTCATTTGGTGGCACATGTCCAGTTAACCACACCTTCATATTTCTGGCTCTTAATTCTTTTAAAACGTAACCCAACCATTCAAATAACTTGTAACCTGGTTGTTTCCTCTTGTCGCAATTATCAACCAATGGATTCAGCTGATACAAGTAAAGTGTATTGATAGATAATATGGCCAATTGTCCCGGAATAACTTCTTTAAAGAAATAAGCACCACGGTTAAAAGTGTGTAGTTGCAGTTGTGGGATGAAGCGTTGCCAAATTTGAAACAATTCTCTCGTTTGTAAAGTTGGCCCAATACTAAACAAATTGTGAGGGTATACATCATTATTACCCAAACTTGGAATCAAATCAACAGCCAATTCAGGAGTATCCTTTTTTTTAAAAGTTTCATACATCAATTTACTCACATGTTCATTCATTTCAAATATATTTTGTTCGGTTCTGGGGTAATTTCGATCATTATCATGGCGTACATTATCCCCAGTCCAAACAATAAAATCAATCTTGTCTTTTAAATTCTCCTCAATCCATTTTATCGTGCCTTGCATTAATTCCATTGGTGCGTCACATCCAGATATAGCATCGCCATATTTGTGAGCATTACCCTTGGATCCATGACACATTTCATCAAATGACAGACCTTCTTTGAAATATGGATCAGGATGTATATCAGTGATGTGGAGAAACCTACCATGAATGACTTGTTCACCTTTTTCACTAGTGACAATTTTGATAGGTTTTTTAGGAGTAAGTCCAAGTCTTTGCAAGTCATCCTTTTCTGAGGTTGTCAATTCCAATGTCTCGATGGATGAGTACGGAGATGTTGGGGTGACTAGGTTGTTTGTGATTGTCGTTGTGTAAAGGTACTGGTACATGGGGACTAATAACAATAAACTGAGCAACGATAGACTCATGTTCCTCCTCCATGAAGTTGATGAGTTGCGATGCAAATGTGATTGGTAACCATTTTTCTTTTCAGTAGGTGTAGTATTCATAGGATAGTATCAGATATCAAGATAGCAAAATGGTAAAGTAGTTGAAAAGGGTTATATGTGTGGCAATACGAGTATGGAAGAGAAAAGTGTTGTTTAGTTATTCTCTAGTCATTAATTCAAACACACAGACACTTTTAGCGGATGTTTAAAAGAAACGAGATCCTTATGTGTAGTGGGTGGTGGTATTTCAAAGAAATTTGTGTGTGTGTGTGTGTGTGTGTGTGTGTATCTAAGAAAAAATAATTTGAACGTTTTTACACTACCTACAGCCGAGCACGTGGACGAGGCAAAATGAGCTTTACCCATAAAAAAGAAGAACGATGAGCAAAGACTTGTAGGTGCTACTCTCTGTGTTGAGATCGTTGTTTGGGGGGTAGGCCACTATGATACCATACTTGCAAACTTTGCCGTCTTCATTCGTTTATCTTTATCCACTTTTTTTTTTTGCATCCAATTTAACAGTCTGATGGGTTTTATGCATCTTTGCTAATCTATGGTTATGTGTGTCAATTTCGTAAAATGTGAAAATGCGACATTAACTTTTTTAACCTTGAGCCTATATCTGAGCTAATTTTAATCTCCAAAAGCAAAAGTTGGAATTGAGTTGACAAAGTTTTTCCCATTTCCGTTTCTTTACAATACTTATCAACTCAATCGTCACGGGGCAGGTAATGGCTTAGCCAAATGCTTCCCTTTGTCACAATAGTGTGGTATTAATTACATGACCCAATTCGGTAAATGAATTACTCTTTTTACTCTTTTCTGTCCATGCATTTTATTTCAATGCGTGTCTTTCTCATTGCGCATCACCGTGTATTGTGCAGTTACATCAAACTACTAACACGATTTGTTTCTGTGTGTTTCAGTGTTTTTTGTGTATGAAGACAATCAAAGTCTCCTTTCAGATTCAAATTTTCAATTTTGTGGCGTTTTGTTTTTAAGTTTGTGTTTTTATTTTCAAAGTTTTCCAAAGGGTTTTCGAGTGCTGAACGCTAATGGTTTGAAGGGGATTATGCTGGGTGAGTTGGTATCTCAGATTGAGATTACATCACTGCCAAACATTGATGATCCGGTACTACTCCGTTTCCATTTAAAATACTGTGCATTCTAAATTATACAAAGAAAATCTCTACAATCTTAATAATAATAATAATAATAATACAATACCTCTCTCTTTTTCACTGAATCAAAATTGACAAGTTCGACTTGGCTGGTTTCGTTGGTGTTGAAGACACGATTGGCGGCACATGTTGAGGAGCCGGTGCCTGTGCTTGTGCTGGAAGTGGGTACATTGGCGCATGTGGTTGTGGTGGTGGTGGAGGTGGTGGAGCAGCTGCTGTAAGGTGACCACTTTGTTGTAGTTGTTGTTCATGTTGTTGATGAATAGGTACATCAGTAGGTGGCAATTCCAATACTTCTTTTTCAACATTGCTTTGTTTACGCAATGCTTGACGTTTATTTTGAAACCAAATTTGAACTGCTTTTTCGGTCATGTGTACCACTTTAGCGATTTCTACTCGTCTTGCTTTATTTGGAGTTGAACCGAGTTTGAATTCCTTATTGAGAATGTTTAATTCATGGGGTGATGTTCTTCTTCTTTTCCTTCTTGCTAGTGGTGCGTTATCAATATCTGGTTCTTGTGATGGGAAAGTTGCTGGTGAATGAGAAATGAATGCGTACAACCTATCAGAAGATCCAGCTGAGGTTACAGTTGCCGATGCAGATGCAGTTGCAGATGTAGCTGTTATTGGCGTTGGTAAGGGGGATAATTTAGTAGTTGGTGATGTCGAAAGGGATTTGACTCTTAGTTTTGATTTTGGTTTGCGTAACTCCAATATACTTGTGTCCATCATTGAAGTATCTTCATCAGCAATGGAGTTAGATCTTTTTCTCGATGGTATAATCAACAGTGAAGATGACTTTGTTGCAGAGGGTGGTGGAGGTGGTGTAGGTGTCGACGATGATGCATTTGAGTGGGTTGTTGTAGTTGATGCAGTGGCAGTGGTTGCTGCTGTTGTTGTTGTTGTTGTTGACACTGGTTGATAAGTAATATATGAGTGAGAATGGTGTGGTTGTGGGTGGGGAAGTAAAGGAGGTGAAGGACGTGGAAGCGAGCTTGAAGCGGACCTTGGTGCTGAGTATTGTTGTTGTTGGAAAGAGACGTGGTGGTGGAGCTGTGGTTGAGATTGAGTATGTTTTTGTGGTTGTTGTTGTTGGTGGTAGATGTATGGGGTGGCTGTACTCAATGGTGTGCTTGTAAAAGAATCAATCGAAGGTAATTTCTTGCATGGTGTTTGTGCAAATAATGAGCTAGTGTTTGCATTTGCATTTGCATTTGCAGTATTGGTTATATTGGTCAATGGGTGCTCTTTGTAGTGGTTGGATTTAGCTGATGATAATATTGAAGATAATGGTGGCAAAGTAAATTTAGCGCCAGAAACATTGGTTGAGGTGTTGCAAGTTGATACACCAGTGCTATTGCTACTAATGGTTGTATTAGCAAATGATGTATTGTAGCTGCTATCCATTGTAGAAGAATCCCTACTAGATGAATAAGACTGATTTGGTTGTTGGGTGAATAATGTCGATTTCTTTGGTGTTTGCAAGTGAATCATTGTGGAATAAAATGTGGGACTGAAGTTGGTTCGACAAAGGAATGAATGGGTATTAGACTTTGAGAAGAAATAGTTGAGTAAAAAGTCAATGAAAGGAAAGGGAATTGCCCACAATGAAAGTCAAAGTAATTGCAGGAGGTAATGATCTATATATACGTGAATAAAATGTCAAAGGTTTCTCCTGCTTTTGTTTCTTTGTATATGAATGCAAAGTATTTATGAGAAGCAAAAAAATTATCGCGTTGTTTACAAAAAAATCTTGAAGTGTAAATAAACAAATAACATATGAATGCATCTAATTTAAATTTAAACGCCCAAATAAAAACAACAAGAACAAAGGAGAGAGACAAAGACAGAGACAAAGAATGAGAAGAATAAGAAGAATGAAAAATTAAAAATTAAATAAAAGGACATTAACCTATAAACTAATGTTTGCATTGCATTGTTTTTTCTTATTAGTAAACTTAAATAGGAGAAGAAATACAAGTATTGAGACATTAACCATCAATCAACCCACGCATGAAATTTATAAACAATACAAATGAATGCATTGCTTGTTATTTGTTATTTGTCATTTGTCATTTGTCATTTGTCTTTTTTTGTATTTCGTTTTTCATTTCTGGCGTTTAAATTGTTGTCTTCCTTTATGGGTTGTAACTCGTATAACTCACCCGTGTGGTAGTTTTGGTTGCCGAAGTTATCATTATATATAATCTGTCTACCTACGTGACTGGTAAATGTCGAATGAAGGACTAAATAATGTATTCAATGATTTGTGTATTTATATTTCCTAATTGGGTGTATATTATTATTACTTTCTGCTTATTTAATTGTGTGTTTTGTTTATGGTTAGGTTCTTCAAAAACGCTCATAATACACAAAAACACGACAAAAAAAAAAATTAAGAGGGACAGCAAAAATAAAGTGCTGAATTCATTAATATGCAGTACTACTACTATTGATGCTACTAAAACATATCTCATAGTTGAATTTCTCGTTGCTTTTTGGTACAGTTTACACGACTCATATATACCTGTGACACTCCACACAATTAGTATCTTAGAACTACGATTAAACTAATATCTAGATGTGTTTTGTTTATCTAAAGTCCTTTACTCAACACGTGAAACATAGAGAGTGATTATTTGTCCTGACTCCATGATGCGTTCAATTTCAATATTAATTGCATTTTCAACATTTCATCATGACACAAATTTAGACACGCACACATCTCTCTTCAACATTCAAAATTAGTTAATTGTATTGCCTAATTGGGGTTAAAGCGCGCAGGGAGCTAATGTGTTTGTAATGATTCATTCAATAGTTTAATACTTGCATATTATGACCCTTGCTTTGGTATCAGCGTCATTAAAATTGAGTATCAAGTTTTGTAATTTCGTGTATCTGTAGAGAAAGGTAAGGTATCAACAATATTGCTTTGTGACCGCTCACAATAGGTGGGTCTCAACGTAAGTTCATAAACAGTCCATATTTACCATAAAGCTCCTGCACAATTAGCGTAACTGATTCTTTTTTTTTAAAAAAATTTGGTCCAATCTTCTAGCAAAAAAAGGTAATGGAACTAACTTATAAGATCAACTATTCAATATACACAAGTCCCATCCAGTACCAAGTATGATTATCAGATCGATTGGCCATGACATCAACTTACTCTCAACACATCAATTCTTATAGTTGGCCATCTTCATTCTTGAACAATTGTATTATCATTCGTAATGGTAGCGCTCAAATTTTGCAATTGGGAATGATATCAACTAAGCACCCAATGCTTTGAAGAACTTAATTTTGCTTTTTAACAAAAGAACATACTCATTCTTTATTCTACCAAGAACAAGGCTAATTTCGGCAATGACAAAACACTTTGGTTCGCTACTTTGTTTACTTAACTTTACCTTATTTTATGAAATTAAAATACATGAACTATACAAGAAGTGAGATTGTTAGCACCTCCTTCATTATATATGGACACAACCTTTTCTTTGACAAGAACACATCTTCAAAAAAAAAAGAAGAGGAAGCAACCCCACTTAACGACCTCTTGAGGTAGTCTTGGTGTGTTGACCTCTGACCTTTAATCCCCAGAAGTGTCTAATACCTCTGTGTGCTCTAATCTTCTTCAATCTTTCCAAATCATCTCTCAATTTAGATTCCAAGTTGTTAGCCAAAACATGGTAATCTTTACCATCAACTTGATCCTTTTGTCTGTTCAAGAACCAAGCTGGAATCTTATAGTTGGTTGGGTTTTGCATAATGGTGACAATTCTTTCCAATTCTTCTTGAGTCAATTCACCGGCTCTCTTGTGCAAATCAACATCGGCCTTCTTACAAACCAAGTTGGAATATCTTCTTCCGACACCTCTAATCTTGGTCAAGGCGTACATAATCTTGATTCTACCATCAATGTTGGTGTTCAACAAACTAAATGGGGATTGTTAGTAATGTGTTTTTGGGGGTAGTAACGAGGAGCTTCATATGGCGCAAAGAAGGTCATGACGTATACTTGGGAGGCTTGAATTTGATTATAACTTCTCGACTAAACCGAATGAAATCTTCCAAAACGCTTATGCGTCTCCCGAAATTGAGGCTGTTTCCACATCGTGCTTCTTGTCTTTCACATTGCGATTACTCCCTGATGATGATTTTCCTTTTTTCTTTGAAAATTTTTAACTATGTTGTCACCCTCCTTCTGGTAGAACACCGCTCCTCCTATGATCTTTATTCACCACATACCGTAAAATGTGTTGGAATGAACCTTGTTCTTGGACAACTAATGGCATGTTGGATGTATTAATATGTTGTTGATACTGTTAGTTTTATAAAAGGTAGAATTTCAACAGTCAATTTTTCACCTGTATTGGGATTTTTTTTTTCTTCCTTCAGCGCACACTCCTACACACACTCCTACACACTCACTCATTGATAGATTTTTTTCTGTTGCACAAAAACAGTGTAGTTGAATTGGTAGCTGTAGTGGCTATAGCCCTAATACCAATATGTATTTATTTGGATGACCTCATCTTATAGCTTACGTCTATCGTCAATAGTACCATTACCTTGAGCGATTTTTATGATAACCTATCACTCTATATACAAGAATCATCAAATCATACGCTATATTTACCAATAAGCCATTGCAAAGCTGGCAATTCCACGAAAACACGATTAGCTTTCAAAATGTCCCTAACTTCAACATCGTCCTTCTTGATAACTTTACCTTTGACTTTGGCAACTGCTTTAGCTCTTTCGCGTCTATTCATTTTCTTCAATTCCTTCTCGTTTAAGAAAAATCGATTTAAACTTGATGTCAACCTATCTCTATTCTCCTCCGTAATGAACAATATATTCAATTGGTTCAATTTATGACTTGAAACAAAACTCTGCGTTACTTCAACACTTGCTTGTCCAAAATCACACTCATTTTCAATAACAAACAAGTTTCCCAGCTTGTACTGTGTAGTCAATGCCGTTTGAACCGCTTTCGCATACATCTTAGATGGCAAATCAGTGCTCCAATCATGTGGGCCTTTAATTGCATGCGCTTTGATTTCATTATCCATATGAGGCGAATTGGCATCACCTAAACGTGCCCTACCTGATCCCTTTTGTGGACGCAATTTACGATTTGAATATGGAGAGTCCGCTTTCAATGTGACATAGTTGGATCCAACACGTGCACGATCTGCTTCAAATACAGCAGCACTCCATAACAAGTCTCGTCTTATTGGCGAGTGAGTGTTGAAGAAGGATGTAGGTAGAGGGATGAACGTTGTTGGTTGTAGATTGGGGAATGTACGTAACTGAGCAAGCGTGTATTTTGGGGGTTGTGCGGTATGTAATGGGGTGGTTGTCGATGTAACTGAAGCCTGTTGCAGCTTTACTGTAGCTTCAGTGGCCAACCTTCGTATGGACTGTTTGAACATGTAGTTATAAATGAGTGGGTGAGCTCTTTGTTGGTGGCTTCAGATTATTTGAAGATTTTTTTTTTTTTTTTCAGCACGTTGTTTTTCAAGCCTGATTAGACAAAAACGTTGCACTAGTTGCAAATGGTTTCCCATTATATGGACGCAGGGAGAGGATCTTAAATTTGCCTGGTTTAATATCGTAACATTGTCGTTATCCTATAATTCGTCTCTACACAATTTCACTAGCCCCTTTCTTTCTTGAGTCCTCATCATCATTCTCATTGTGGACTCTACTATCTTCTCCTTCATCATCGCTAGCAATAATGAAATCATCCAATTGCGAATCACCAACGTTCTCACCTAGCTCTATGTCGTCAACATAGTCCTCTCTATTTGCTCTAGAATAGCCATTATTGCCGGTCAATTTTCCAAAGGTTTTAGCGAGGAACCCCCCTTGTTGTTGCTGTAGGTGGTCGAACTCACCATCTTCATGAAGTTGATCTGCCCATTGTACATTCTTCTTCCTGCCACTTGCAGCAGCGGCGGTAGATTTCTTTATAATTGATGCCGGTCTAGCTCTGTATGATGCATATAACAAGTAGAGTCCCCAGATGACAATAATGATAACTGCCAATTGAATGAGTCTGGTGACTTTATGGCTAGTTGGCTCGTCATTTGCAGTTGCTGTAGATGAAGCTTTTGGAATGGACTCAGTGGTGGTGGAGCTGGAAATGGAGTTTGTGGATGTTGCTGTTTCTGATGGTGTTTCATCAGCATTGTCATGCAGTGCATCCTGACCCTGTCTCTTGACTCCCAAAGGATAAGTCACAACCGTTGGTTTATTATCGATTGTTTTCTCATCAAAGTTACCTGCAATGATGTCGAGTAATGCCCTTGAAACATCAGGCAAGTCGTATGGTACCATATGACTGGAATTATAAATATTGATAAAAGTCAAGTTTCTTTCTTGAAGCAAGTACCCCACATTCTTTTCATCGTGCACCCAGTCAGCTTTAGCATCGGTGTTTTCAAATCCTTTAATACCATTCCATTTTAATTTGGAAATGTACAGTAAAACTCCCTCGGTGTTGCAGATGATATCATTAGCTCCATTGAACAAGACGATGGGGACTTGCTTTAGCAAATCTGGAAGTAAATGCACCGAGGGGAATGAATTACGAGCATTAAAGTTTCTGCCTACCCTGCCACTGCATTCATTCCAAGTTTTCAATTTCTTTAAATTCAACTCGTGTTTATTATCATCATTATTCAAAAAAGGTTTCACATATTTTAATTCATACGGCCAGTTCATACCACAAGATGGATACGAGTCTCTCAAAGTGTAGTCATACATGTTGATACATTGCTGATCATGAGCAGCCAGGCTATCTTGAGTAGCCAACAACAACTGTGTTAATATACTTTCACACTCAGATGAATCAACTTCAATTTGGTTAACCTCTTTGTCATCGAAATGGGCATCAATCTTGTCCACTATTCTTTGACAACTTTCTTGTTTTGCGAGTAGTCTACGAAACATTGGATTATCTTTTTTGATCAAATCTCTTTTTAAAAAAAAATGCATGTATGCCAAACTTTGCTCATTTGGTGATACCCAACCATTACCAATGAGTAAACCCTTTAGTTTATACTCCTTTTGACCCTCTTGTAAATGAGAGTTTCTTTCAAGTATGGCCTTTGCAATATAAGGGATATACTGACCAGCATAAGATTCACCAGCAAGATAAATATCATTGTCTAGCTCTTCAGGGTAAATCTTGTAATACTCCTCCATAAACTTGATAAAATAAAATGCCATGTCATACAACTCATGCACGTATTTTCCTTGTTCTGTGTAACTAAACCCAGTTCCTGCTGGTTGATCCACATAGATAACATCACTCGACTTATGCCACGACCCATTATTCATAACCACATTTTGAGACTTGTCTATCCTGAATGGTCCCGACTCTAACAATGCGCCATCCATGGACGAGCAACCAGGTCCACCATTGAGCCAAAACGTTGTGCGCTTGTAAGATGTTGAATTGGCATTCTTATTCCCATCAGTAAATTTCCAAAAAAAGTAATTGGTGTTGTTTTCAGCGAATAGCTCTAGTTGACCGGCATACATTAGTGGCTTGAAATCGTCGTTGATCTGGCTGAGTCCTGGCAAATTGGTGACCATGTACTGCTTCGATTCATCACTGCCAGCTTTTGGCGGCGCAGCCAAAATCGACCCCGCTAGTATGAAAACAATGCAAAAGAGTGTACGAAGCATGCTTGGGAATAATTTATAACTTGGAAAGTATGTGTGTGTGTGTTTGTCACCGGGGCTCTTACTATAGCACACTCTTACTTTTGTGAGCTGTATTGATCAATTCGTCTTCTAGATTGGTCGACTCTGAAAATCAACCTTGTGGTTTTTTTTTTTCGAGAAACGTGAAACAGGAGAAAATATTTTGGTTACACTGCGGTATTGTCGCGACATTTCTCGAAGAGATGAAGGAAAAACTCGGGGTTTCTTTACACGACTTTATGCAACTTACCCACCCGTCTCCGCTTTCATACTCTACATACCCCATCGAAATAGGCATCTCCACTTTTTGTTCTAAATTTCTAGATTTGTATTAGATCAAACGCAAGCTTTCTATGGATTTCTCTATAATGCATTGAACACTACACTGATTCCCAAAACACCAGTAATCAATACCAATTTTTTCCAACAAAGATCCTTCTGGTGGAATACTTGCAGTCTCATTCCATCTGAAGTACTGTTTATACTGCGGGTAGTGGAGCTCGAATCAGATGAGGAGGCAGAGTCTAAACTTTCAGAATTTGATGAAGATAATGTAGTATCGCTCCAAATGGACTGGCTTCCAGTGAACCCCCATTGGTTATATGTAGCTGAATTGGAGCCTGATACCTCGGTAGTATCAGTGGACTGGGATTTGTCTGACATTTGAGTATCTGTGGTTGCAATGGTGGATGTTTGAGTTGTCGCAGATGGAGTCCACCAAATTGTAGTAGATTCGTTCTCAGTTACTGGAGTTACGCCATTCTGGGCAGCACTTTGTTGCGATTGCTGAGTTTGTTGTGATTGCTGAGTTTGTTGTGATTGCTGAGCTTGTTGTGATTGTTGCGATTGTTGGGTCTGCTGGGTCTGCTGGATCTGCTGAGTTTGTTGCGATTGTTGAGCTTGTTTAGTGCTTGTTTTTGTTGCAGCTGTCGAGTCTTGAGTGTTGGCATTGTTTTGAGCACTTCCATCTAATCCACCTAAGTTAGCACCTTGCGATAAACCAACTAGCGATAAACTCAATAAAGAAGAGCCGAGTTGGAATGGGGTTATTTGAATGGACATTATGCTATGATTTCGTTGTTATATTGATATATCGTTATTGACTATAATGTTGCTGATGAGAACATATTTCAGCTCTTTTAGGAAGTTTGCTCCAATATTTATACAATTTTTATTGAAGCATCATGAATCACGATGATATCAAGTCTCTTGATCTTTGTTTATTTTTTCATGAAGAGATCAACCAGCCATCTTTCGCATAGCTTACACAAAATCAAATTGTCACAGCTGACAAGGCGCAAAATGCAAAATGGTACAAAAATTCACCTACAAATTATTCAAATCAGCCTTGTCTTCGTTTCTACTACAAACACTGGCATGATGTATCAAAGAAGTTTAGGGCTGCCAAAACACGTAATCAATCACACATTTTATATCAAACTATAGATCAAGTCATAGCATTCATCCAACGCCTTGTTAAGGTCATTGTCAAACAATGGAATGATGCGTTCAAGTTGGCAAACAAGTAAATTGACATATGTATGACTCTCCAAATTGCTAGATCTGGTGATTGCGCTCAATTCCAAGATGTTTTTGATGGCATTTATGTTTGGGGGTGTTGTCCTTGAAGCCTTGTTATTCTCAAAAGCAGACGAGATACACCTTAATAAACCATAAGCTACTGAAATACAACTCTTCAACGCAGAAGCATCCTTTTTAGCAAGGGCCTCCCGTAGGTGCTCAATTATCAACAACTCGGCTTGCCTTTTTGCAAACGAGGCATTTCTGCTTGGCGATAAAGGGGGTAAAAGAGGGATATCCAAATAATAGATACTGTTTGAGTGGCTTTTATCAGAAGAGCCAGCATTTGGGGCTTCGCTTATTGTTGTTGCTGTGACACGGGTAGGTGTTACTGGTGATCGAATGGTATTAACTTTTGCATACACAGTTTCTTGAATGGATTTGTTATCACACCAAGATGCTCTATAGGTGAAAATGGGAACCTCATCAGGATATTGATAACAATCTGATAATCTGGCTGTGATGAGAAGGTTTCGTTCATCATTAGGCACAATGCCTCCAAAAGTAATTTTCTGAAGCAGATCAGGTGTCAGTTCCATTACACCGAACCGCTCAAACGATGTGAATACGATATTGTTTTTTGTCTGAAGCTCCACTGTCAAATGTGGTAGGCATATTCTTTGAATCCGTTTTATCAAAAGGTCAATGGAAGTGAGAAGCTCCTCTGGGGTTTTAAATCGAAGTACCGGATCATTGCCGTGTTCGAAAGTCGAGAAAATTGACAGTCTTCCAAACACATCTAAATGTGAACCAATTTTCACGATCGATAACGAGATCTTTTTGATCTTACTCATATCGAATTGTGACCGTATCTGATTGTCGCCTTCGTAGTCTCCACAGCTCAACACGAGAAGCTTATTGATGGAGTTTTCTTGGAGTGGAATGTATGGGTATAGCTCAGCACATTTTTCAAGTGTAGTTTCCAACTCATGCGAATTACTCTTGAATGAATTTGTGACAATGTTTATATCATTAAACAAGTTAACCCAACCATTCCATGCCGCCTCAATGCACCCAACAAAAGTTCCACTCGCCAACGGTTTATGCAAACAATCAATTCCGAGGAAAATAATCGCCAATCTATCAGTAGCATTCAACGTGGCACGAATTCTATGTAGCAATTGCTGCAACCAATAGAGATACGCAGCGTCTGACAAGACTGTTTTATTGAATAGTGGCACCGCAACAACAATGTTTAAAGGTAGTGGTTGGGGATAAGGTAATATTTTTGCTATGTATGAGTTGGGCAACTCTCCTCCATGAAGAAGTAAGTTGTTGAAACGTATCAAATTTTGAGGGATTTCCATTTCATATTGATAGTCTAGCCAACAAGTGCTGGTGAATTGGAACAAGTTCGTGATTGGTTGTTCATTGTCCATCAATTTGTGCAACATATAACACCATTTCTGGGTGATTGTTGGACTGAACTCATTAAATAGGAACAACTCTGGTAATTTGCTCTCTGTTAAATTCAAATTCAAGATGCCATCAATTAAACTCGCTGCACTTAAATCGTTTGAAATTGAGATCATTCCTGCAAGTGTGTTGTCATTGTAAATCACCAAGTAGTCGCTAAACAAGTATACACGAGAGTAATCCCACGACTCTCCATCAATGCTAATCTTCATTTTGTCAAAGATTACCAAATTGCCAAACTCTCCTTTCAAACCCAATTGTTGGTTGATGCGATTTGAAACTTTCCATTTCAATTGTAATTCAGATGGATTAAATTGGAGATCGAGTTCCCTGTAAATCGCAGGCGGTTTGATGTTTAATACGTAACTTATCTCGTAGTTTCCATTCAATTTGATGGGGTAAATTTCACTCGTACAGGTAATAATGGGGTTATAAAGTACTGACTCGTAGTCAGTTCTTTGAGTGGAAGTTGGTGGGGTAAAAAATTGGTTATTGGCCACTTGATTTATAGGAGTGCTAGGCAACGGATTTGACAGGTTTCGCAGCATCACAGGGGTTATTACTTGTGAATATGTGCCCCCCTCACTCGTTGCCAGAGCATTATCCAGCATTGGCTCCTTTGCCGATGCGTGAATTGAATTGATCATATTGATGTAAACCCCTTTATCAAGCACGTTTGTTGCCACCTTACATAAACTGCAAATGGGCAACTTCTTTGTATTTTCTGGGACTAACAGCATCATAAAACAGTTCTTATGGCACAAGTGCTCACACAGAAGTGGTAGTACAACTTCGCCTGGAAATGTGAGTTGTAATGAGTCCCTACAAAAACAGCAAACTTCCCCATTGTAACGTTTTGATGACTTTTGTGGCATTGCAGGAAATTTGTCTTCAAAGATATCAATCAGGGATGATGCTTGGGGAATTGTTTGCGCTTGTGAACGGTCCCGTGTGTGAGTTTTTCTTGGTGTTGTGTAAAGAGTTGAAGGGGAAGCACTGGAACCACAGAACACACTAGCTTCACCTACCCCCAATTTGTTTTCAAACTGTCTCACACTATTAGATGCGCCGTCTCCTTTTTGCTCATTAGAAAGTTGAAACAAGCTTGTTTTAAATGGAGAGCTCTTTACTCTACTGATTAATGATGAACGTTTGTTTGACATTGGAGTTGTGTGGCGTAAGATCGCAGAAGACTACCAAAAAGATTCTAGTAAAGAAAAACGCCTCTCCGGTTTGCAACGAAGTGAAATGAGTTTCATATTAGGCGGTTTTTGGATGAGATTTAGAGTTTTAGGTAATACTTATTGCTTAGGTAATAACATCACACAAAAAGTTATTTTTTTTGATTAATGTTCTAACACGAATGGGTCAGAACATTTAAACGGTCACCTTTTTTTTTACCACTTCACCAAGGTTAGTGAAGTTAAAGAAAGGTTAAAGTTGGAAAGCTTTAAATATAACAAGACAGAATTTTTTACATGGGTCATGATTTCAATGACCCATGTGTAAGAGAGTTGATGAACCACAACATGACATGTACCCCCTCCTCCTTTTTCTCTCTTCGTGGCAATTCTACACCTCACTAAGCAAACTAATTGTTCATAGAAAAAACGTATAGATTCCTGATACACACCGTTTCAATGTAACAAAATGTTGGCAACTCTTGACACGGTGCTTTCCAAAATTTGTAACCAATCAACAAATCTATCGAAGTCACCATCTTCAATTGCTTCATTCAAACCAGGCAAATTTTGACCAGCATAACCAGTGTATCTACCACTGGCAAAAACAATGTGTTTGAACCATGGTCTTTTATGCAATCCTTTGGAGTGCAAAAAGTTACGTTCAAAGTATTGCAAACCCTTGTTATGGGTCTTGATTTGGAAATGCAATTTGATCTTTTTCCAAAGAGGTAATTCATCATACAAATCATGCAGTTTTTGTAATTCCTTCGATTCGATATCATACTTTTCTGTTGAGTTGGCAAGGAATTTCAATTGATGATGGGTATGGTGAATCAAGTTCTCCAAGGTTTTGTTATGATGATGGTGACGATGGTGTGCTCTTGCATTGGTCAATCCCATTTGCATAGGCTTGCAAATTGGATAGGAAAAGTAACCTTGTGTAATTTCATCAATATAGTTATACTCAACCAAATCAAATTGTTTATCATGTCCTTCAACTTTTTTGTCGAACCATTTCTTTGGAACGCGGTCGATAGTTTCCTTGTAGTACTCTAACAATCCATGAGCATAGTCGTTGAGATTGAAATGAATCACTTCTCTTTCTGTCAATCCTAAAGTCAACAAAGCTAAAAACTTAGCAGCTAAATTGTGGTAAACAAATTTCTTATCGCCGAATTTCTCCATCCAGTGATAAGAGTCATAGTTAGAATGATAGTGGTAAATTGGATCACCTTTGCCACCGACAAAACCAAAATCTAATGATGGGATACCCAAGTGCTCCAAAAAGACAGTATAATCAGATCCGCTTCCCAAAGTTGGAATGTGTTCCCCTTTGTGGCTCTTGACGTAATGCTCATACAAGCTACCTCCTTCAGGGTACTCCAACTTTTTAGCAGTTTTGAAAATCAAGTCGTTCAATACTGGTGATGATTCCAATTTCAAGTTCTTTCCACTGACAGAAACATCAACATTCAAATAAGCAACCACTTCACGTTGATATTTCTTGGCAAAGTATTCACCTTGCTCAGTTGATCCCAACAACCCATATTCTTCCCCATCATAGCTTTGCAACACAACGGTTCTCTTGAATTTGTGACCTGCTCTTTTCAAGTCACCCAATGCGCGCGCAACTTCCAATAAAGAGGCAGAGCCGCTGTTTGGATCACCAGCTCCACCTTTGATCCAAGCATCTCTATGATTTCCTACTATAATCACTTCATTATTTTTTTCACCCTTGATTTCACCATAAACATTCCATAAAGTGGTGATCTTGTAGTCCTGCTCATTGTACAAGTTCAACTCATACTTCGAAGGTCCTGTTGAGTAATCAAACCCATCCAACTCACCTTTAAATCCGTCGATCTTGGCTCCATGTTTATTCAATTTATGCAAAATTGGTTTGACTTCACGGTATGAAATGGGCAAAACAGGGATCTTGCCAATGCTATCATGGGGATCCTTTCTGTCTGCGTCAGGTTTGGATGGGTATCCTGGGGTAGTGGGGTCACCAGGGGCTGCTCCTTCTCCTCCTAGGAACTGGACACTGCCTCTTTGAACCGAACTTTCTTGTCTTGCAGGGCCTTTCGGGTATTGATCATATCCATTTGCAGGAGTTAAACCAAAGTCATCACCCGGATCAGAATAGATCAAAACACCAATGGCACCTAAATCTTGCGCAAACTTAACCTTTAACCCGCGGAAAATTTGACCATAACGAACGACAACAATTTTGCCCTTTACGTCAATGCTATTTTCTTTCAAAAGTTCAAAATCTTTCTTGGTACCATAATTGGCATAAATATACTGACCAGTGACATTTCCGTTTGCTGCATAACCCAAAAAGGTAGGAACAGTGTCGTTGTGAGTAGTTGGGTCCTCATCAATGACATCTTCCTTCAATGGGGCCGTGTATACAACTTCACCCTTTGAGTCAAGTAATTTCAAGTCATGATCCTTTGGATAACTAACCAAGATCTCATAGGGGTCAATTGTAGTTTCAAAACCGAATTCCTTAAACTTTGCTTCCGTCCATTCCACCAAACCGTAATTGGTTCCAGCCAAGTGAGGTTCTGAAGTATACTTCTTTGACCAGTCAGATGCCAAATTTACTTTGAGCGAGTCCAAAATAACTTGCTCTGGGTCGAGTTCGGGATTATCATTGCCTCCAAAGAATGGGGTGCTGAAAGTGTTGAAGCAATACACGAGAGCAATCGCACAAGCCAACACCTTCAACAAATAGCCTGCTCTCAAAAATGGTACATTCTTAGTACGCTTTACTTCGAATTTTTCATCCATGGTTGAAGAATTGTTGTGGATAACGAAGTGTGGTTCAAAAAGAAGGGTATATATTCTTGCTGCAGGAGAAAAAAAAGGGGGAGGGAAAGGCGAGGGAAAACTTTGTGCCGCGCGAATGTGGCGCAACTCAATGTCGTATATTTAATTGCGACATTGACTCTAATCTCATCGGTGATTTTTCTATTCCTTATTTTCCTTTTCTGAGATGCCCACTTTACGAATACTACTTATAACTCAAAGATGGCGGGAAGAAATGCTATAAACAAGCCAAAGATCAAGATGTTGGCACATAGTCATGCCAAATCACTAAGCAGAAAGAGATCGCTTAGAAACTCTATCCAAACAAAGTCTTCCACTTCTCGTTATGCACCCAAAGGGTCAACAGCTCCAAGACCAACTGACTCCAAAGCTGTTGCCCTATACACGGGGGAGGCCCCCGCTCCAAGTTCGGTAATGACTACAAATACGTTGTCAAAGAAAAGGGCGAAAAAGATTGCCAGAAATCAAAAGTATTTTACCAAAAAACAAGAGGGAGATATCTTGATGAATATTGATAATGATATAAAGAATTCAAAGTTGGAGCAAGCTAAAAAGGCTTTGTGGGAGTTGATAGAATCACGTGAAAAGAATGGCCCCGCAGTTGTTGCTGATGGTGAGGGGACCACGTTGGGGGTGCAATCCTTCTAGATGAGAAAGTTACCGAGGGATATCTTCGTTCAATTTAGTTCCTCGATAAGTGCAATGAATATGGGGAGATATAGAGCCATGCAAGCCATTGCCGCTTTTTGTCATTCTAAATTCTTTCATTATTTGTATCTACTTTTCTCTAGCCAATATACTTTCATCAACAATTTGTTTCAAGAATTGGGTGACCTCCTTTGGATCGTCAGCTTTGAATACAGAGGTACCTGCAACAATGACATTTGCGCCAGCGTATGCTGCAGGCTTGACGGTATCTTTACCTAATCCACCATCAACCTCTATATCCAAATGAGGATATTTTTCTCTCAATGTTTCCACTTTTGGCATCATATCTTGCATAAATTTTTGACCGCCAAATCCGGGTTCAACAGTCATAACTAGCACCATATCCAAGTCTTTTGCATACGGATAGACAACCTCGACTGGGGTGTTTGGTTTGATACCCATGGCAGCTTTCAAACCGTGTTTCTTGATTTTGGCAATCACAGCTGCTGGATCTTTGGTTGCCTCGTAATGAAATGTGTACGAATCACCTCCAGCTTTGGCAATATCTTCAATCCATTGCTCAGGGTCTGAAACCATCATATGGCAATCAAATACAATTGGCTTGCCGCTATCTCTTGGAAATCGTTTTCTCAAACTTTCAATGATTGGAGCGCCAAACGAAATGTTGGGAACAAAGTGTCCATCCATTACATCCAAATGTAACCAGTCGACATCTCCTGTATCCACCACTTTTTTACAATTGCATCCTAAATTAGCAAAGTCTGATGCAAGGATTGATGGTGAGATGATAGATTTGACCATTGTTTGAGTAATGTGTTATAGAGTACGTGATTTATATAAAAAGAATTGGTTTATAGTCGTTCAGCAATTATCCGCTTTGCGACTCAAGAACGAAAAAAGAAAAGAAAAGAGAAAATATCGGCACCAAAATTTCAAACCAGAACAACCGAACAGGCGCAATATATATAATTCATGTCTGAGGAACATACACCATCAACAGAGGGTGCTTCCTACTCTGAACAAATACTAGAGTCAGCAAGAAGAAACAATACCGAGCTTTTACTTCAAATCAAGTCGGAATTGAATAACGACCAAGAGAAACTTTCACAATTAATCAATAGTACTCATGAGGTCATAACAAACAACACCCCCTTACACATTGCATGCCGCTTGGGCAACTGGGAATTCATAGACATCGTGTTGGACGTAGAAGGAGTGGAAATCGATCCCCAAAACAGGGCGCAAGAAACACCTTTGCATCTTGCAGTGAAGTATACCATTGACGAGCCTGAACATGGGTATTTTATTGTCGATAACATGTTGGACGCTGGATCGGATCCGAGAATCAAGGACAAAGATGGGTTGAAACCAAGAGACTATGTAAATAAGGACAATGAAAAGTTGTTGCAGTTATTGGAAAGTGCCGAATACGCTATATCAATGGAAGATACGGATCAAGAACGTTTAGCGGCATTTGAAAATGAACAAGAGGCAGAGGACGGATCAGCATCTGGGTCTGAATCGGAGTCGGACTAATTCAGTTTATATAGACGAAAATACACAACTACAAATCGAAATCATCTGGAGTTGTATGTTTCCAGTTTTGTAGAGTTTCTTGACCTTTGAGTTTTAGGGCTTGTCTCTGTGTATTGGAACGTTTAAACAAGATGTAGCTTGGCTGGTTTATTTGGCAAAATTGAGAGAGCTTTTGCGTGAGTCTTTGGTTGCTGACCACACTCTCGCCGTTTGGTCTAGGTGGCTTGTTCTTCGTATATGCCCCATTTTTCACTCCATTGTTCAACACTTGATGAAAATTGTACGGGGCAATGTACAACAATGAAAGTGGTGACGGTTCTCTATCATCAGATTTATGAAATTCGTATCTGTCGTCATCGTATGTGAGAAGCTCTAAGTAATGCGCTTCGTGACCAAACTGAAAACGATTCCGAAAGCAACGATCAAAATCAGTTGCGCCAATATTGTTGACCACCAAGTAACTTAAATATATGGGCTCAAAAACATGTGCTGTGGCTGCGTTGCATATCCCGGTAAGTTGCTTTAAACATAGTTTGTCCGAACACGATTTGGAGAATGAAATAAGGCTATCAGTCCTGCCTGGTTTTGTTCTCACGACTCCCAATTGATCAAAGTTATTGCGACCCCTTTGAAAAGTAGTATCCTTTGCTGCCGAGGTCCAAGCTTCGTTAGATGCTAGCGATGATGACAAATAGTTCATTGAAGCATCTCCACACGGTGGTTCGCTAACAAACAATGCCAATTTTACATCTCCTCGGAACTTGAGTCGATTGTCGTGTTTTCTAACCCACTTTGATTCCGAATTTGATGCTTCTTGCAAAAGAAAATAATTGAAAAGTCTCAATGCCAACACTTCAGCATGCATGTCATGTACTATTTTCCCCTGTGAATAAGTTCGAACTTTATCTGGTAAAACTTTCACACCTGTTGATAAAGTGATGGGTATGATTTGGTTATGGATGATGGCAACAACACCAGCGAGTACAGTCCACTCTTTTACCCCATTTGACCGTGTTGTTGGTTTGCCAGACTTTAAAGTCAAGTTGTTGAACTGTTGAATTACAGCCCTTGCTATATCATTTCCCAATTCATGGTTCATTGGATTTTGCAGAGAAAATTGATTGTGGGATCTTGGTTTCACAAAAAAATCAAGACACCAGCATCGCAACTTTTACAACGATCCCCTTCTACACGATACTTCATAAAAGAAAAACACTATACCATTGCTTTAGCTATTCTCTATTTTCTATTTCTTCTGACTAATGCACCAATGATCCCAATACCCACTGCCAACACACCACCAGCAACACCAATACCTATCAAGCCCTCTTGTGCCACCTTATCTTGTATATTCTCCAACAAGGTTAACGCTTGTTGGTTTTCTGGCTCGGACTTTAACAAAGTTTCCACATAACGTTTGGCATTGGTATAATCACCCAATTTGAACGACCCCAAGCTCAAGTAATACAACACCTCTCTTCTCATTGATGGTTCATTTTTATACAAAGAAGTGAGTATCACTACTGCTTCTTGTTGGTGTTTTCGCGATGATGATTTAATCAATCCCCATGCATAGTTGAAACGTGTTTGTGGTGATGGTTTGGGTTCCTCTGCTTTGAGCTGGTTGCGAAGCACATTTAACTGTTCTTCCGAAAGTGGCTGTTTCAACTCTTCTAAAGCTGGGTATACTGATCCAAACATGTCTTTGTTTATCTGAAGAAGAGAACAGATTGTGGCAAGGGAGACAAGGGGATTGTGTTTTTCCTTTGTTTTCGCGCTATCCATAAAAGTCGGAGTTAATACAAAGAAAACCTAAGAAATAAATTAAAAATTTATACACCTACCTATGTGTAGTACGATTCATTATAGAAATAGATATTTGGCGCCTGTTTCATCCACCTATAGCCCTGAACATGGTATTCAGCACCTCTACCGAAATTTGGATCCTCTCCACAACTTAAAATAGCCAATGACTTGAAGTAATTGTTGCCAGTGTATTTAACACTGGTTATGTGTGTTTTAAGAGTTTGATCAATGTCCATTGGTTGGTACATCTTGTTGATGAGTGAGTCATCGACGTAATCGGTACTCGCATTCGAGTTGCATTTTTCAACCTCGGTTTCGACTTCCACTTCTGGGGCTTTCTTATTGGTTGCGATTGTCGTGAAAGGATCAAGCTCGATTGTTTGACGACTAGTCATTGAGCTTTCATCTTCAATAAATACAGTGAGATTCAATTTACCCATTTTGATAAAAGCAATCAACTTACTGAGCAAATAGTTGTAGTAGCTAATTGTTCTACTTGACTTGACAGTCCAGTATAAGGATATTGTTGGGTGTGCCGGTCTTCCCAAATAGTCTTTACCAACTTCTTTCCTATCAATTGTTTGTAGCAAATCTAAACACACCGGTAAGATAAATGAAGCACCAAGCTCTTGTGCAAGAAATGCTACCGAGTCAAATGTTAATAATGGTTGGCACTTGCCTCCCAGAGGACCCCTGAATGCCACTTTCCAGATAACGGTCTCTGGGTTGACTATTTTTCTGTACTCAGGCAAAGCAAGACTCGTATGTTCTTGATCTGGAGGAAAAGACTCCTTTTTTGATTTAAGTTTCAACTTGTACAATAACGGTTCCACTTTTTTCACCATTGGTTGCAACCTTTTGAAGAGTCTATCCAATTTAGGTCTATACCATAGGATATAATCCATTTCGGTTTCTTCTCCTGCCAATTGCTTATCTCTAAGTTCGACGAATTTTTCAAACATCTTTTTGGTAAATCCGTTTCTCTTTCTTATAATGATAACCATCTTTCCAGATTCTGGTAAACTAGCAATCATAAATGGGTGATGTTGAAAAAAATCAATCTTTCTTACATTGAAATAGATATGCTGGCCAGCTTTCCAATTTCCATACTTGAACTTGATTAATCCAAACCATGAGTTGGGGTTGAATTTGTGGTTTATTTTGATGGGAATGGAAACTTTCATCACATCTTCATCCAACATTTCAAACTGAGACCATCCCTTGGTGGGTGATTTTTTGCTATGCACAATACCGTAAATACGTCCAATAACTTTATCAAGAACCAATAAATGAACACCAACAATGACCATGGCTTTGGCGCTATTGTTGTGGAAGAACGCCATAAGTAACATGATAAATGACTGGACACGATGATTAACCATTGCTTGATCATACCAGTATTTACGAATAAATTTGACGTTACCCAATGCAAGTAAGACAAAGGTGACATATGCAATGATTCCATATACGTTTTTGGGGTATCTGGGATGAATACTGGACCATTCGGGTTTATCCCAGTAGTAAGAAACAACAGCAACATGGAATGTGACAACGACAAACATCATGAATGAAAACCAAATGTGAAGAAATGTTGTACGTTCATATGTGAGACCGGTTACTCCTGTTATAAAATCACCTTTTGTCACAAGAAGGAAAATAGCAGGGATTTGGCCAATACCAACTCTGGCACATCTTTTAGCAATGACAAATGTTCGTGGTATGTATGTAATGTCATGAGTGTCATTATAACACAATTTCCCATTCAATAATATAAAAAACAAGAATAGAATCAAAACACTTGGCTTGAAGTATATCCTCTTCCTCCGAATTTTTATCGATAGTGTGTAGTTGAATGTATTCCAAATGTTGAGCAAGATGAAAAACGATTTGAACCTATTGGACTTAACAAATCGCTTATTTCTCAAAGTTCGAGGGATCCAAAAGAAGATTATTCCATGAACAACGAAAACAAGTAAACTAAAAGCACAACTTATCCATTGGTTTTTGGTATTTCTTTCCTTTTCAAACTGTTTTTGAAGTTCCACCGATAATTCACTCATGATTGAGGCAAGGATGGCAAGAAAAGAGAAAATGGGATGAGATGAAAAGACATTTCGATTGAAAGATATATGATTTTGCAACCCCTGCTTTCAGCCAATGGCTACATGACAAATTGTTTCTGCACAAGACTTTTGTGCCCAGAAATAATGAAACTAGTCTTTTTTTCTGTACGTAATGGAGTTGTTTCTGAACAGAAAATTAAAATTTCTTCGAACAGTGGTCCGTCTGAATGGAATGCAATAGGAAGCTAAGCCATTTATTGTGGACTGGAAAGCATCACCTGCGGGTGGGACGGGGGCTTGTCCAATGCCAACGTTTTCTTCAATATTTTTTTCTGGGTTGGATAATTTAATTCCATAGCATGGCTGAGCTGTGGAAAAAAAGAGAATCTCAAAGTCAAGAGTTTATTATAATGCAAAGCGTCTAATAAAAATGAATGTTTTGCAGTTTTAAAATTTCTTGTCTATTACCATAAATAGCGGAAACTATAACTAATTGAAAGAAAGTGGAATATTTTAACGATAAATCCGAACACGCAATTTCCACCACAAAGTTTGTATTTTTGTAACACAAAATGCTCTCACTGTGGAAGAATACGCTCCTATCGCATATCAGCATTTAGTTTTGGGACCATTGCCAAAGGGGTGAAAAGATGAGACGCGCTCGAAGTAAGCCAAGGGGTGACAAATCATAAACCGTTTACTTCCGCCACAAATGAGCCACCTGGTACTCCATAAAAGATGGCTTTAATGAGCGCATATTGCGAGTTTCGTATTTATCGGTAATAACAATAAGAAGAATCACTTTTTCTCTTTGTCTTTCGTAGAGCTCCATTTTTTGCTTGGAATAGAATTTTGTGTTTGTGGTACGCTTTGTTATTGGTTAGATTTTGTCGTACAAAACTAAAACAAAGGAAAACGGATCATTTTTATCAGATCCATCAGTAGAAGAAAAACATTATACAAAACAATATGTATCCACGAAAGACAATAGTCGCTTAGACTACCAACAATATGTTTTATGAGAAACAACTGTCTTTGCTATTCGAACCAGTGCTTAATGCACGAAGTAATAGAGTTCAAGCTAAACGTTATTTTTTTGTTCTAATAAACAGCTGATTGAATTGATCGAATTGATTAAATTGATAAAAGGTTGAACTAGAAGCAGTTCTAGACAATCGACCAAGTTACCTCCTCCTTGGCGTTTGCGTCTGTGGCGATCCCTTGACAATCCCCTTTGATACTACTAGGATCCTATTAAAGTTGCGGGGCCGACTAAATCTCTAAAAACCGAGACAAATTTCGCCACTAAAAGGTCAATTCTCCAATTACGCGGTTTCGAAAAGACTAAAAAAGCCACTTTATTTGATTTATTTTTCTTAGCTATTTTAGTTTCCACCACGGTTTAGAGCATTTGTGCGCCAATCTCAACATTTTGGTGGCAGTTATTAGAGAATTGCGTAAGGTTCTTGGTAGACCCCCATTTTTGTGTCAATGTAAACAGACAGTTCAAACCTCTCCGAAAAAAAAAAAAGAAAAGAAAATTTTGAACAAAATCACTGTACACTTGGATTTCCTACATCAAAATTAGATTCTGCGTCCTTTGAGCAGAGCTTTGTAGTAAGAGATAATGGGCAATTCTTGGTAAAATGTGGCATAAAACAAGAAAATAATGTTCATTTTAGTGCAAACTGTGTGCCTATCTGAAGAAAAGAAATAGTTCACTAGGCGAGAAAAAAATTGATTCACATTTACCCTGAAAAAGGGGTTCCTTTCGAAGCCGCTGGTCTAAACTTCGCAATGCTACTTGATTACTAAATTGCGGGTCAATTATGCTACATCACTGAGGCTAAACTATAATCCAAATGGAGACAAATTCCAAATTTCTTCAAGCACTTTTCCCATAATGGCGTAGTAAGCTTTTAGTTAACAGTTACAAAAGTAAAACTATTGTTTACCAAAAAATTACTAACCATATTCTATTGATGTCGAAGCTCCTAAATATTGCCTTTTGGTTTTCGATTTGGACGATGTTCTATCGCTTTGGGAATCAAAGCATCACTAACGAGCATAAAATACGGAAGGTAGCACAATACTTCACTACGTAAGAACAATAGCAGTCATCAGTGTGAGCGGCCCATTTTCAATTTTGAGCTCCGCTTCGCCTTTGTTACCAGCAAAAAGATACAAAACCATGTAGATGCAAAACTGCATCTGATTGGATACTTTTCATTAATGTCCGGTATTAGCACCATAGGTTTTAACTTTAATTCATGCTACTATTGAGTTGCAAAATGGAATACTGCAAATTTAAATCATACGTGATGGTGATGATTAGGAACACATAAAATGGGTTAGCCTCCCACCATTGGACTCTTAAAAAAACGATATATTTGAAATACATCACACACACACAACCACCTCAATCGCTTAGCAAGATGAAGTATACGTTGGTCTACTCCCTCGCTCTGATACTTTCACTTGTCGTTGCTGCTGATGAGGACAGTATCACTACTGCACCAACCACAACCACCAATCCATATGCTACATACCCAAGTGTTGCCAAAACCGCATCCATCAATGGATTTGCAGACAGAATCTATGATCAATTACCAGAATGTGCTCAGCCATGTATGTTCCAAAACACAGGTGTTACGCCATGTCCGTACTGGGATACTGGATGTCTCTGTATCATGCCAATGTTCCAAGACAAGATAGGAAAATGTATTGCCGAGAACTGTCGTGGAGAGGATGTGTTAGATGCCAGGTCGTTGGCTACTTCCATTTGTTCAAGTGCAGGTGTTTGGGAACCATACTGGATGCCACCAGCAAGTGTAAGTTCTATGCTTGAGTCTGCTGCAACTGCTGTTCCAGTTACGTCTACAACTGAGGAGTCATCGTCTACTGAAGAGTCATCGTCTACTGAAGAGTCATCATCTACTGAGGAGTCATCGTCTACTGAAGAGTCATCGTCTACTGAAGAGTCATCATCTACTGAAGTGTCATCATCTGCTGAAGAGACATCCTCTGTTGAAGAGTCGTCTACCGTCGAGTCGTCTACCGAAGAATCATCAACTGCTGAAGAGTCGTCCACCTCCTCTATTAGTCAAGCTCCATCTTCGTCTTCAGACTCATTAATCACCTCGGCACCATCGTCTTCCACTACCAATCCATATGCCACCTACCCAAGTGTTGCCAAAACCGCATCCATCAATGGATTTGCAGACAGAATCTATGATCAATTACCAGAATGTGCTCAGCCATGTATGTTCCAAAACACAGGTGTTACGCCATGTCCGTACTGGGATACTGGATGTCTCTGTATCATGCCAACATTTCAAGGAGCAGTTGGAAAATGTATTGCCGAGAACTGTCGTGGAGAAGATGTGTTAGATGCCAGGTCGTTGGCTACTTCCATTTGTTCAAGTGCAGGTGTTTGGGAACCATACTGGATGCCGCCAGCAAGTGTAAGTTCCATGCTTGAGTCTGCTGCAACTGCTGTCCCAATTACTTCAAGCGATGATTCGAACTCCCAGGCTTCGAACACCGAGTCTTTATCACAATCAACTGACGACACAGTATCTTCTGCTGATCCATCTGCTGAATCTTCTGCTGATCCATCTGCTGAATCTTCTGCTGAGCCATCTGCTGAATCTTCTGCTGAGCCATCTGCTGAATCTTCTGCTGAGCCATCTGTTGAATCTTCTGCTGAACCATCTTTTAGTCACGGAACCACCGACTCTGTTTCTGCGTCATCCGTTGAATCCACTCTACCAACTGAGTCGGTCACCCCAGGAGAATCATTTGTTATTTCGGCTTTGTTTAATGGTGAGGTCACCACCTTCGAATCCAATGGCACTCATATCAAATTGTACGATGGTTCCGAAGTGCAATTCAGAATTGTTGATGGTTTACTTCAAGTTGGGGAATCAGGATATGTCCATGTTGGCACTGTTGGAGAATTGATCGTTGGTGATGTTGATGGCGCAACAAGTGGATGGGGACTTGAAAATAACAGAGTAACATTGGCTCCATCATCTTCTGCAAGATTGATGAAACGTGAAAATGAGGTGCAATTCTACGCTTGCCCAGCTGAAGTTGGATACGACGTTTGTGTTGCTGATGGTGAAGGATGTGTTCCTATTGGTGCCGTCGCTGGACCATTGAGTGCACCAGAGTCATCTACTATTGATGAAGCAAGTGTTACCCCATCTGCATCTGAAAGTGGTGATGCAACCGGTTCCTCTGGTGTCACCGAAACTGGTGCATCTCAATCATCGGACGTCTCTGAACCAAGTGTATCTCACTCATCGGATGTTTCCCATGAGTCATATCCGTCAACGTCAACTGTCACTTCCGAGATTACAACTACTGATGAAGAAGGTGTCGCTTCCACGTTAACCACAACCATTGTCGTTACCAAGGTCAGTGAATACTGTGCTCAAGAGTCTGCTAGTTCTGTTCAAAGCGAGGCACACTCTGCACAAACAAGTGCTGCTGCTGTTCAATCCACATGTATTGAAAAACAACAGAGTATTGTGACTGTTATTGTTTCGTGTGAATCTGCTATTTCATCTTTGCACTCAGTCAAATCAAGTGCACAGCAAGTTACTAAGACTGAGATTGTTTACAGTTGTGAGAGTCAAATCAGCTCCCTTAGTTCAGTTGAGCAACAAGCTCACAAGACTTTGGAAGCAGTTGTGTCTGAGTATGACTCTGCTGTGTCGGTACAGAAGTCAGCTGCAGAACAACAAAAGTCAGCTGCTCAAGTGCAATTGAGCGAAGCTGAGTTGCAACATTCATCTGAAGCTGTGGCTCACGCTCAATCCGCTGCTGCTGAAGCCTACACCGCTGCTGTTGAAGCGTCTCAAGCTGCTTCTATAGCATCTGCTGCTAAAGCAACTGTTGCTGCTGTTGCAAGAACTGCACCTGGTGCGGAAGAAACTGGTGAGACTGCTCCACAAGGCGAAGGTGCAGGTGAGGCTGCTCCACAAGGCGAAGGTGCAGGTGAGGCTGCTCCACAAGGCGAAGGTGCAGGTGAGGCTGCTCCACAAGATGAAAGTGAGGCTGCAAAAGCTCAAGCTTCATCATCAGTGTCAGAAACTAGCAATGAAACTCAAACAATTGCTGCTGTCAATGCAGGGGCAAAGTCATTTGGGTTATCAATGAGTATGATGAGTACCATTGTTGCATTTGCTGCTCTTTTGATGTAATGATTCGGATTGTTTTGTGCAACTTTTCACTTTCGGTCCAAAATCGAAGCTTTGTACAAATGAGATGTTTGAGAGCCTCGAGTGTTTTTTTATTCTACTAACGAATCTATTTCTTTTGGGTTCTTTTTTAAAAATTTCGGTTATTCTGTTTGTATGATCATTTCGAGTTGTTTTTGTGTATAACTGCACTCTATACTTACTGTGTAGTAATTTCACTGTTGTGATTTTCTTGTTGCAAAATTTGGTGGCAATTTTTTGTAAAAAACAATTCAAATCTTTTTACTCTGTACATTTTGGAAGTCCAATAACATTGGAGGAGAATTCAAGAGCGTCTTCTTTGAATATGACACTGCCAGAATAGTAAGGGGTCTACCCTTCCTCAATTTGACAAGGGGGTTGATTTTTTACTCAAGTAAGCCAGACACGAACACGAACATGTGCACTCAATCATTAATTACATTCCGAGTACATTGACTTCACCTATAATTATGGCAAAAGTACATAGAACGATTTGTCCATACTATTCATTTTTCTTCCTTTGATTTAGAGTATGTCTACAAGCGAGTTAGGCGAGACGTTTAGGGCACTTCTCAAAACAAAGGTAGCCTTAGAGAGGTAAGTTGACACTTCACCTTTGGGCCAATCATATTTCCGGTTGTTGCAAAAAAGGTTCTTCGCGTGTGCTGCAGCTATCGGTAGATTCACGTCTCAGTTTTACCAACAATGATCAGTTCATCCAATCAAAAGCTACGAATCCTTAAACCCACAAATTAGTCCCTACAGGGTAATAGGATATGAGCAAAGTTTTAGTCCTGATTCAATGCAAAGTTTAAAAAATTGTTGCCCAAAATCAAATCCTATCATGTTCACACAAAATGCTCTTTACCAATTGTGTTGGTAGCGACGATTTTTTTTTCGATTTTCGCTAAGGGACTGCTGAGGAGGGGTTCTCACAATTAATCAATCTTCAACATTATCGGTTTTGCAAGTACCTAAGGTCTTTTCTTCAACTTGTAAGTCATCACGACCACAACGTGTTAAAGTAATAATCAAATATGCCAGGAAGAAATAGATCGACGATTGAATGGAAAACTGAACGCCAACGAAGATCTTTTAGATAACTGAAAATGAGACGCGTTCGAGCTCAGTTATGAGTATGGATTTTCAAGAAGAATGTTCACTAAACTTTATCTCACCAACGTCCAAGTTTACACCCATGTCCGTGGTGCTGAATTTGGAACTAATAACATTCCATTTGTGCAGTAGTCATCCATGTATCAGGTCGAACCTTTGGGTTTAATATCTAAGAGAGAAGATTTTTCAAGTGAAGCTACTTAAAAAGGGGCATGTTCTTGCTCATCTTGGTAGTATAACTAATCCTCGTTCCTTTTTGCATCCAAATTTTATTGTTTCAAGTCAGCATGTTGTCGTTTATGTAACTGATTGGCCATGGGGAAAGTTTAGAGTTCAATATTTAGCACATGCAGGCGTTTGTTGAAGGGTGTTCGCTCACAAGAACCTTGGACTAAAAGCCTATTTTAAACTTGGGGTTTAAAGTTTTAGTTGCAAAATGTTTTTGATTGGTCGATTTTTATCATCTCCGAAATCATCTTCCACCAATATACTTCAACACTAAGGAATAGACCTAATTGGGAAATGTTTGACTAAAGTGAGGCCATCTTACAATGGCCAAGAAACGAAGATTACGAGGCACGTTTTGTATGAGAGTATAAATAAACGGCATGATTTCGAACCAGCTATCATATTGGAGCTTGAACACGTATTGAAACACCGGAAAATTAGCTAGATGAAGTACGAATTCATATATTGCTTAATTGCAATACTATCGATAGCTATTGCTGCTGATGAGGACAGCATCACAACTGCGCCGACTACAATTGTTGACAATCCTTATGCTACATACCCAAGTGTTCCTAAGACCGCATCCATCAATGGATTTGCAGACAGAATCTATGATCTTTTGCCAGAATGTGCCAAACCATGTATGTTCCAAAACACAGGTGTTACTCCATGTCCGTACTGGGATACTGGATGTCTCTGTATCATGCCAATGTTCCAAGACAAGATAGGAACGTGTATTGCCGAGAACTGTCGTGGAGAAGATGTGTTAGATGCTAGGTCGTTGGCTACATCTGTCTGTTCCATTGCTGGAGTGTGGGATCCATATTGGATGCCACCGGCAAGTGTCACGTCGATGCTTGAGTTTGCTGCTACTGCTGCACCGATCAGCTCGACGGTGGAATCAAGTATTGAGGAGACCACTATTGAGGAATCAAGTGTTGAGGAGTCAATTACTGAGGAATCCACTGCTGAGGAATCAACTATTGTGGAGCCAACTGCTGAGGAGTCAACTGCTGAGGAATCCACTGCTGAGGAATCCACTGCTGAGGAATCAACTATTGTGGAACCAACTGCTGAGGAATCAAGTGTTGTGGAACCAAGTGTTGTGGAATCAAGTGTTGTGGAATCAACTGTTGTGGAGCCAACTGCTGAGGAATCCACTGCTGAGGAATCAACTGTTGTGGAACCAACTGCTGAGGAATCAATCACTGAGGAATCTACTGCTGAGGAGTCAACTACTGAGGAATCCACTGCTGAGGAATCAACTGTTATGGAACCTTCTGCTGAGCCATCTGTTGAATCTTCTGCTGAACCATCTGCTAGTCACGGAACCACCGACTCTGTTTTTGCGTCATCCGTTGAATCCACTCTACCAACTGAGTCGGTCACCCCAGGAGAATCATTTGTTATTTCGGCTTTGTTTAATGGTGAGGTCACCACCTTCGAATCCAATGGCACTCATATCAAATTGTACGATGGTTCCGAAGTGCAATTCAGAATTGTTGATGGTTTACTTCAAGTTGGGGAATCAGGATATGTCCATGTTGGCACTGTTGGAGAATTGATCGTTGGTGATGTTGATGGCGCAACAAGTGGATGGGGACTTGAAAATAACAGAGTAACATTGACTTTGTTGTCGGCAACTAAAGTCACGTTCTCTGATAATGAGGTGCAATTCTACGCTTGCCCAGCTGAAGTTGGATACGACGTTTGTGTTGCTGATGGTGAAGGATGTGTTCCTATTGGTGCCGTCGCTGGACCATTGAGTGCACCAGAGTCATCTACTATTGATGAAGCAAGTGTTACCCCATCTGCATCTGAAAGTGGTGATGCAACCGGTTCCTCTGGTGTCACCGAAACTGGTGCATCTCAATCATCGGACGTCTCTGAACCAAGTGTATCTCACTCATCGGATGTTTCCCATGAGTCATATCCGTCAACGTCAACTGTCACTTCCGAGATTACAACTACTGATGAAGAAGGTGTCGCTTCCACGTTAACCACAACCATTGTCGTTACCAAGGTCAGTGAATACTGTGCTCAAGAGTCTGCTAGTTCTGTTCAAAGCGAGGCACACTCTGCACAAACAAGTGCTGCTGCTGTTCAATCCACATGTATTGAAAAACAACAGAGTATTGTGACTGTTATTGTTTCGTGTGAATCTGCTATTTCATCTTTGCACTCAGTCAAATCAAGTGCACAGCAAGTTACTAAGACTGAGATTGTTTACAGTTGTGAGAGTCAAATCAGCTCCCTTAGTTCAGTTGAGCAACAAGCTCACAAGACTTTGGAAGCAGTTGTGTCTGAGTATGACTCTGCTGTGTCGGTACAGAAGTCAGCTGCAGAACAACAAAAGTCAGCTGCTCAAGTGCAATTGAGCGAAGCTGAGTTGCAACATTCATCTGAAGCTGTGGCTCACGCTCAATCCGCTGCTGCTGAAGCCTACACCGCTGCTGTTGAAGCGTCTCAAGCTGCTTCTATAGCATCTGCTGCTAAAGAAACTGTTGCTGCTGTTGCAAGAACTGCACCTGGTGCGGAAGAAACTGGTGAGACTGCTCCGCAAGGTGAAGGTGCAGGTGAGACTGCTCCGCAAGGTGAAGGTGCAGGTGAGACTGCTCTGCAAAGTGAAGGTGCAGGTGAGACTGCTCTGCAAAGTGAAGGTGCAGGTGAGGCTGCTCCACAAGGCGAAGGTGCAGGTGAGGCTGCTCCACAAGGCGAAGGTGCAGGTGAGGCTGCTCCACAAGGCGAAGGTGCAGGTGAGGCTGCTCCACAAGGCGAAGGTGCAGGTGAGGCTGCTCCACAAGGCGAAGGTGCAGGTGAGGCTGCTCCACAAGGCGAAGGTGCAGGTGAGGCTGCTCCACAAGGCGAAGGTGCAGGTGAGGCTGCTCCACAAGGTGAAGGTGCAGGTGAAAACCAGATTACCCAACAAGGAGAAGGAGAAGAATATGTTCCACAAGATGTGGTTCAAACACTTACAATATCATCGACAATCTATGTAACCAGTGGTGGTGAATCAACAACAATTTCATCCACAGGTGAAATTGATAACCCAACAAAGAGTGTTGGTAGTGCTAATAGTATCATTAGTATTGATGAAACAACGCAATCAGCTGAATCCATCAATGCGGGGCATAAACTTTCATGTGGAGTTTACTTGAGTTTGATGGTTACTACATCTATGTTTGTTTTATTCCTGATTTGATGATCTTCATTCTTCGGTTTTGGGCCCTACTGTCAACTCCAAGTTTTGTTTTTGTGTGTTACTTTGTTATTATTTACGGTTTTTGACAACACAGAAGCTTCGTGATAAAATGTGAGAGAGAAGATTAAAATCGGATCACAAATTGTTTGATGTTGAAGTGTTGTTGTCAACTTTATTATCATGTTGTTTTTAATTTTTTGTTTTTTTATATTGTATTGGCATCGCCATAATATACCTCCTTTTTTATGTATTTTAATTTGAAAAGTTTTTTGTATTTGAGAGAGATAATAAAGCGTAGAAGGATTCAGAGGATGATGATTGGTTATGAGTCGAAGTTCAACCAACAGTACAATAGGATTCCGTTGATAAAAAAATTGTGGATTGTGCGAAAGAGTGGTCTAGACTCTTCTTTTGCCTCTAATTTTGTTTTTTTTTCCCACAAACACAAAAGAAGTCTCTATGTATTGGGTATTTTGCAATTTCATGTTTTCTGTGTGTTGACTAAATCAAATAGGGAGCAAATGAATTGTGTTCAGGCGTTGAAGCAGAAACTGCAATCTCAAGTTCCGCTAATATCCATCCCACGTGGGGGAGGTTAAATAGAAATGTAGGTGGAACTGGTTCCTTGTCGTGATTTTCCTCTATCTATGCCATGAATATCTAAAAATAGAATTTTATTAGAATCAAGTTATAAGTCAAAAGTATTACAGTAAAGAGCAATCGTAGCACACTGGGGTGGTATTGTACAAGTTAGTCACTCTTTCAGTTGATCCTATTTCAAAAAAATTAGAGCAACATATTTGAGATGTATAACATTTGTTGACTAAGAATAGGTGCAAAAAAAAAAACGAAGTCATTTGAATACATTGTCTCTGAAAAAGAGAAGAAATACATGAGTCTATAAAGCCTCATTTACATTCTATTGTACCAACTACTTCCTTTGTTTTTAGTCTGTACGGTTGTCTGTATATACAACTCAAATGGCTGTAGCTTTGTAGTATGTGTTGTGTGTCGTAAACACAGTGACGCATTGAAATTAGAAACAAAAAAAGCATGACTCAGAAATTTACGACATTTGTGTGAGGGGGGTGATGTTGAGATTTTTGTACCCAAGTACGCTACTAACTATTGTTGCGTTTTTGTGTGTGTGTGCGTGTGTAGCCAAAAATAGAGTTTTCCAATAAACAACACACACACGCGTATCTTCTTCATTATCAATCTCGGGTGACACGTATTGAACATGAGGAAAAGAAATCATACTTACGTTTTGTAGATATACAAGTTACAGCGCACCGTTTGATAGATTAAATCTGTTTTGTTGAGAAAAGTGGATGCTTTTCTTTTACACTCTGACGTTCCTATAATATTTGTGTGCTGTGTGTAGATCTAGACTTTTGCAGTTGCCATTGTGTGTGGGGGCTGTTTATGAAACATTGACTCGTATGACGACGACTCTGAATGGCATGAGTTAGATGAATGAACACATAGACAGTGTGTAATTTCTCTTTGAAACAGGACTTGACATCGTTTAGTTCTAATTAACACACACGTAAAACTACTATGATAGGCTGTGTGTTAAACGTAAAGCAACACCCCAGTGATAAAGAGCAAACAAGTCACCTCTAATTAACCTTTCATCATTGAAAGATAATCATCTACAGCTACTACTACGGCCACTTACTCTTGTCTACGTTTGCAAGCACAACTAATTATCAATAGAAGATATCTACATAGTAATACTCTCATTACACACATTAACACACTAAATTATTGGTGGTACACTAAAATCAACACACTACACAACACAATAGAACAGAGAAGGAAAAAAAAAAAAAAAGAGAAAAACTCTACAGACACACTAGACACCAATACACCACACACACCACACACACTACACGCACCACATCTTACAAACGACACTGTAGCACTACACACACCCTACCTTACCTCATTGCTTCATCTAATCAGCTAAAGATTTAGTTTGTTTGGTTGTCGCAGAACACGTAGTTCATTGTACTAGTCTGTTATCACTCGTCACACACACAAACACACACACCCTTTTCATCTATACAAGATCACCCAGATTTCATCACGTTCACATATTTAGTGCGTCTCATACAGCTTACACTCATGAGTCATTCCCAGTCTCCAAATAACAGAGGGTCCATTTTTGGGTGGGCAAAGAGTTTGAAACGTTCAAACTTATTATCCAACGAGTCAGTCAATGAGATTAGTGATAACGACTCTATCTCAAGATCACCTACTAAAGGTGGTTATATATCACCTCACCAACAGCACAGTCCGTTGAATATACCCAATGCTCATGCTCATAATAGCCACATGAATTCTGACTCTCAAAACTCGTTCAGTAGTTATCAGAACCAGAATCAGAACCAACATCAACTTCACCAAAACCACCAGATTCAGAATCATGGGGGAAACTTTTTTGGATCTTCACCAGCAGGTTCCAGTCACCATTCAGATTTTTTGCGTCCTTTGCTCAACCATAAATCAAGATCAACTAATAATGTGTCACGAGTAAGAAGTAACTCGTTGAACCAGTCCGAAAGTAGCATACGCCAGCATCGAGACTCATTTATGCAGACAAATGCGCTTGTTGATGAAAATTCAAAATATTTTGGTGTGCCCTTACAACAAGCTTTAAATGAAGCATCAGCAAAAATATCTATACTCACTGGGGATCAATCTGATGGCTTACAATATGGTCAAATCCCCATTGTGGTTGCCAAGTGCGGGGTGTTTTTAAAGAAGAATGGTTTAACTGTGGAAGGTATATTCAGAGTAGGTGGATCTTCAAAGAGAATCAAGGACTTGCAAGTTATCTTCAATACGCCACCTTCGTTTGGTAAACAATTGAATTGGGATGGATACACGGTACATGATGCTGCATCCATTTTACGAAGATACTTGAATGCCCTTCCAGAACCACTCATTCCATTAAACATGTATGATGATTTTAGAGAACCATTGAGAAATCGAAAGAGAATAATTAGTTACATGCAATATAAAGCTGAGAATCCATCAAAGAGTCTTAAACAAGCAAGTTTGGAGGATGTAACCAATTCGTCTCAAATGTTGACTGAAGCTAATGTTGAAAAATTCAATGATAATAATACTGGCTTTGAATTCAGAGAGCGTAATGTTTCAACGATCTCATCACACCCAACGAGCTCTATTCAGCCTACTACTGAACAAGAACAGCAGCAACAACAACCACAACAGCAACAGGAGCAACAGCAGCAGCGACAACCACAACCACCGCCATCGCAACGACAACAACAACAACAGCAACAACAGCAACAACAGCAACAACAGCAACAACAGTTGCAAGAACAGTCCCAGCCACAGCCCCTGCAGCATGTGCTGTCACGACAACCCACAGATGAGGAAATTGAGCTCAAGAATAAGAAAAAATCCAAAAACTACAAGAAGCTCACACGAGACGTCCACGCAGCTATTGACGACTATAAACACTTGGTCAACGATTTGCCAATTGCTTCAAAACAGCTATTGTTTTATGTCTTGGACTTGTTGGCAATGGTACGAAACCACCTGAAAGAAAATTTAATGAGTTCGAGAAATTTGGCTGCTATTTTCCAACCACTGATTCTTTCACATCCAAACCACGATCTAGACCCTGATGAGTATGCTTTATCTCAGCTCGTTGTGGAGTTTTTGATCCACTATGCCTACAAGCTTTTACCAACACATACGCCAAAATCAACAACGATAGGGACCAACGAGGATGTAGTTGCCATTGAGCCACCACATGCGCCACAGAGTACAGTCACTTCTACAAGCACAACTCCGTTGGAGAGTGCAACATCGTTATCCAAGAATGATCTTCTGCTGAAGGAACCAGTGGTACTGGCGCAACCTGCTCCTCCTCCATTCAATCGCCGATACTCTAAAAGTTTGAGTTCGGCCGGAAATCATGAAGATTTGGTAGTTGGTTATCAGCATAATGTTACTGGCTCAATTCCGTTTGAATCGGATGTTGACTATGAGATATCAGATGAGAATGACATTGGTTCTGATGTCGAAGAGTCATATTTTCATCTGTCCAGGTTAGCCAATGCTGCAAGTCCAACGAGAAGTAATTTTGATGATGAGGTGAGCGGCGCTCAACCGAAAGTGTCCAATAACGGTACTACTGAAGAGCCTGTCATTATAGTTACTACCCCAAGCTCGGGGCCCACCGCCAACACCGCCAAAGTGGACTAGTTCTATAGGTTATTTTTTTGTTCAATGTAAGTGTTATGTAATGTATTTTGTAAATTTTGCTTTTGTGTAAACAATTTTTTTCAAACTTGAAGAAAACACAATTGAAATTTTTCTGCAGTGGAAGGGCAGATTGAAACTAAGAGTAACCAATGTCAGACGTGGAAGCAAATAGCCCATCAAAGTTGAAGGAAGAGATTGATGACTTGTTTGGTGATGATGAAAATATTGAGGTAGAGGAGGAAGATGAAACACCAAAAGATAATGAGACGTATTTGAAAAGCGAAACGGAAGATATCCCTTTTGGACAAGGAGAATATGATCAATCGGGTAGTGATCGAGATGACTACGATGAAGATAATTCAGAAAAGAATATCCTTGAACTATCACTTCCTCGTCACGCGGTATCGCTGATGACAGAAGGTACTCAACTTTTGAAAACGCCAATGCATTTGAACATTGACCCGCATCCGTTTGACCCCATTACGTTTAAAGAAGAAGTGGAAACTAACGAACTTGAGAGGGTGGAAAAGGGACTAACATCGAAACAAATATATAATGAGAAATTGGCTGAAAAATTGATTAATGAAACTACTGTGAGATGGAGGTATCACAATTCAGGAAACGATGAAATTGTAAAACAATCAAATGCCCATTTCGTGCAATGGGACGATGGGACAATAAGTTTGAAAATTGGAAATGAAATGTTTGATGTAAAGACATTGCCAGTTGCCGATAACTACTTGGTGAAATCGTACAAGACCGCAGAGATTTTGCAAACTGACTCTATTGTCGAAAACACTATCAACTTGTTGCCAGCATCGAGTGATTCCATACACAAGAGACTTACCCAAGTAATGAAGAATATTCATTTTAAAGACAAGATCCTCAACACTACTACCGAAGACGATCCATTAAAGAAGCAAAGAATAGCTGATGAAAATGAACGGAAAAGGATGAAGATGAAGAGACAATTGGAGAGTAGGAGGAGACTAGAGGAGGAAAAATTCGAAAGAGGAGAGAGCCCAGCAATGGGAGTCAGAGAGAGCTCGTATGCTCGATTTGCTAGAACTTACGGCGATGAAGATGATAATGACGGTATCGATGGTGAAGAGTATGACGAGGAGGATGATTTTGTTGCTGGTGATGAAGAAGAGCTTGAGCAGTATGATGATGAGGATGAAGAGGAGGGAGAGGGGGGGGATGATAATGAGGATGAGGAGTTTGAGAAAGGTGCTGAGAGGTTACGTAAATTGAAAGAGGAGGGACAAGCAAAGTATAGAGAAAGTTCAGCCGAGGAAGAAACTAGAAAGAGAAGGAGAATCATTGAAAGTGATGAGGATGAATAGATTATGTGTAATAGCTAAACCCCCAATTATCTCGTGATTGGTGCATATATGTGTTGTGTGTATAATTGCGCGTGTTGAACGAAAAAGCAAAAAAAAAAAAAAAAGAATGTGTCAACATTTTGTGGAGTTTGGACCGGCCAAAATGTTGAAACCGACAAGATTGTTACTACTAGGTGCACCTGGTTCAGGAAAAGGTACCATTTCAAAGCGACTTTTGAAAAAGTCTCCTCAATTGCACTACATTTCATCTGGTGATGTGTTGAGATCTCAGATTGCCAACAGGACAGAAATTGGTCTCAAGGCGGAAAAATATTTGAAAAATGGAGCATTGGTGCCGGACCCAGTAATGGTGCGATTGATTACACACCAGTTGCAGACTCATAACTGGATGGATCATGATGCAAGTTGGTTATTGGATGGGTTCCCGCGTACCAGTAACCAAGCTGACCAATTGAACGACGTTTTGGATAAATACAATTCAAATTTGACCTTGGTTGTTGAATTAGATGTTGATCAAAAGATCATCTTGCATAGAATAGAGTCAAGGTATGTCCATTTGCCAAGTGGTAGAATATACAGTTTGGATTATAATCCTCCAAATGTACCGTTTAAAGATGATGTGACTGGAGAGCCTTTGGTTAAAAGAGAAGATGACAATGCTGAAGTTTTCCAAAAACGATTGGACAAATATAATGAGAAGATTGGAGATTTGCGCGAGTTTTATCAAGAGCTAGGGGTATGGAGAGTTGTTTCGGGAAATACTAGTGACATTATCTATCCTCAAGTTGAAAAGTTGGTAACTGGGTAGAGAGTTGTGGGCGCTACCTCCTCTGTATAGATGCGATTAGAGCAAAACTAAAAAATTCACGTACAAATATGTAGTAAAACTACCTTCCTTTCAATGAAGTTCTATATTGATGATCTACCTGTGTTGTTTCCTTATCCAAGGATATATCCAGAGCAGTATGCTTATATGAGTGATATCAAAAAGACTCTTGATGTTGGTGGGAACTGTATTCTAGAGATGCCTTCAGGTACGGGCAAAACCATCTCATTATTATCATTAACCGTTGCATATCAAATGCACTATCCAGAACATAGAAAGATTGTATATTGCTCACGTACAATGTCCGAGATTGAAAAGGCTTTGATTGAGTTGCACAAATTGATGGAGTTTAGAGCAAGTGAATTGGGGTACGTTGAGGATTTCCGTGGATTGGGATTAACAAGTAGAAAGAATCTTTGTTTGAATCCATTGATATCGAGGGAAAAGAAAGGTAACGTTGTTGATGAAATGTGTCGACGCGTTACTAATGGACAATTAAAGGAAAAGATTGAAAAGGGTGTTGTTACTGAAGAAGATCAAATACAGGATCCTGCAAAATATAGCCTATGTTCATTTCATGAAAAATTGTACGATTTAGACCCTCATGACCTTATTCCACAAGGTGTTTATTCATTTGACGCGTTGATTAGGTATTGCAAAGAGATGGGCACGTGTCCGTACTTTACTGCGCGTAGAATGATTCCATTTTGCAATATAATTATTTATTCATATCATTATTTATTGGATCCAAAGATTGCTGACCGTGTGTCACGGGAGTTATCTAAGGATAGTATAATCATTTTCGACGAGGCGCACAATATCGATAACGTTTGTATTGAGTCTTTGTCATTGGATTTGACTGAAGATGTATTGAAACGAGCCACACGAGGAGCAAACAAGTTGGCAGATGCAGTTGAAGACATGAAGGCACAGGATAGCGAAAAGCTACAAAATGAGTATGAGCAATTGGTGGAAGGGTTGCGTCAAGCTGAGGTTGAACGAGAGCAAGAGATGTTTATGTCAAATCCAATCCTACCGCAAGATTTATTGGATGAAGCAATACCGGGAAATATTAGAAAAGGTGAACATTTTGTGGCATTTTTGAAACGGTTTATCGAGTATTTAAAAACAAGGATGAAGGTTTTGCATGTTATTAGTGAGACTCCAACTAGTTTTTTGCAACATTTGAAGGAGTTGACTTACATTGATAAAAAACCATTGAAGTTTTGTTCTGAAAGGTTATCGTTATTGGTAAAGACTTTGGAGCTTACCGAGATTGAAGATTTCAATGCCTTGAAGGATATTGCTACGTTTGCCACTTTGGTGTCTACATATGATACTGGGTTCCAATTGATTTTAGAGCCATTCGAAACGGAGGGAAGTACAGTGCCCAATCCCATGCTACATTTTACTTGTCTTGATGCATCTATTGCGATCAAACCGGTATTTGAAAGGTTTTCGTCGGTGATTATCACCTCGGGTACCATTTCCCCCTTGGATATGTATCCGAAAATGCTAAATTTTCAAACCGTGATACAAGAGTCATATGCAATGACATTGGCTAGAAGGTCTTTTTTGCCAATGATCGTAACTAAGGGATCCGATCAGGTGTCTATATCTTCCAGGTTTGAAATTCGAAATGATCCTTCAGTGGTGAGAAACTATGGCTCGCTTTTGATTGAATTTGCCAAAATCACTCCTGATGGTATGGTGGTTTTTTTCCCATCGTATCTCTACATGGAGTCCATCATTTCCATGTGGCAAACCATGGGTGTTTTGGACGAGGTGTGGAAGCATAAACTTATCTTGGTCGAAACTCCTGATGCACAGGAAACTTCGTTGGCGTTGGAAACGTATAGGAAAGCTTGCTCAAATGGTAGAGGTGCTGTTTTGTTATCCGTTGCGCGTGGAAAAGTTTCTGAAGGAATTGATTTTGATCATCATTATGGAAGAACAGTATTGATGATTGGTATTCCATTCCAATATACTGAATCGAGGATTTTAAAAGCGAGGTTGGAGTTTATGAGGGACCATTTTCAAATCAAAGAGAATGATTTCCTTTCTTTCGATGCTATGCGACATGCTGCACAATGTTTGGGGAGAGTTTTGCGAGGTAAGGATGATTATGGTATTATGGTGTTGGCTGATCGACGGTTTGCGAGAAAGAAGGCTCAATTGCCGAAATGGATTGCTCAAGCGTTGAATGATTCCGACACGAACTTGTCTACTGATATGGCATTGGCTACTGCCAAGAAGTTTTTGCGGAGTTTGGCACAGCCAACTAATCCAAAGGATCAGGAGGGTGTGTCGGTGTGGGATATTGATCAGCTTGAGGCATATCAAAAACAGTATAATCAAGGGTGCGTGAAGGATAAGGAGGAGACCGAAAAGAATGGGAAGATTGAAGAAATGGGTGAAGAATTTATGGATATAGATGATGAGGATATAGATTTGTTGTAAGAAAAACCTCAATATGAAATTCTTTTCTTCAAGTAACGCGAAAGAATCAGTAGAATTAATGCCTTTGGTGTTGGAGATTACAAGCACCAACTTGAAAGCAGGATATGCTGATTCCACTCAACCGGATGTACTTCCCGTTAAATACCATGCACAACTGCGACTATTCCCACCTGAGTTCCATCTCAATGAACATTCGATAACCCAGAATCAAAAGGATGAAATTGTTGAAAATCTTTTACCTCAATATCGACAAAAAGCCAAGGAGTATGAAACGATGTTGGGCCATTTCCTACCATTGAAAGATGAATCATTCCCTGTGCAAATTATCCGCAAGCTTGTCCATCAGATTTTGTTTCAATACCTGTTGACGGATGATTTGGCATTTGTTGTTGACCACGATTTCTCAGACATCTTGAAACATGTGATACATGACATCTTGCAAGGATTGAGAGTACGAAAAGTGGTGTTTCTTCCATGTTCAGTGTTGGCTGCAATTGGCGCAAATGAGACAGATGCGTTGGTAGTTTATTTTACCATGGAGTGTGTGAAACTTTACGTGGTGAGCGATTTGCGAGAAATTGCCATTTTAGAGGATTCAAGAGTCAACTTACTAAATAAAAACAGGCACCACGATACCATTCAGGAACTTATTGATGAAGTAGTTTCAAAATCGCCAATCGATCTAAGAAGAAAACTACGAGAAACGACAATAATGTTGAGTGAAGATAGCAATGAGTATATTCAAATCGATCCAACTCCTGAAAAGCAACACTTCCAATCTCGACAAAGTGTGGGCTGCTGGGTGGCTTGTGCTTTGTATGCAACTAGTCACAAATCAGGTGCTGTAGATGTTGTTAAAGATTAAATCCAAGTTGGCATCTCCCATCAATGATTCCTTGACTTCAACATCCTCCTCATTGTGAACAAACTTTGACCAACAATCATTCGGTGACCACCATGAATTTTTTTTTGCATCGTCACCATTATTTTCGAATTCGTATTCCATGATATTGTACAAGGCTATTTCATCTTGGTCTTTTGCTTCTTGTGAATCTAAAGGGAACGATTTTGGGGTTTGGGCAATGGGAATATTTTTCAAGTTGAGGTCGCCGAATTTGTTCAATGGTCGTGACATGTGGGGCTGAATTGGGACATGAACCACTGGATAATTTGTTTCATCAAGAAGCGTGGGGAAATAAATCTCCTCTTCGTCCACTACCTCCTCTTCATCATTATCAAGTATTGGTGACGTTTCATAAAACTCATCAGCACTGGAAACACTTGCTGGTTTGTGATCTCCTTTTGCAGCTGGTTGCTCTTCTTCAACTCGCGTCGCTGTTTTCATCGTTTGTCTTGCATTTATGGTGGATTCAATACGGTTTTGTTGATAAGTGTTGGAATTGATTTTTGTAAATGGAAATTGAATATCGGTTGATTTCAAGGTATTATCGTTTTGGTAACCATCTTCTCCTTCTTCTCTATTCTGATCATTAATTACTACACTCTGATCATCCAGGTGGATGTTCTCCTTGAATGACATTGTTGGTGGTGGTGGTCAAGAAAGAGAAAAAAGTGTTGCAAAAAAAACAAAATCCAAAGAAATGAGAACGAGATAGATGGAAAATACGCGCCTGTGTAAGTGAGAGAGAGAGAGAGAGAGAGTGTGTGTGTGTGTGTGTGTGTGTGTGTGTGTGTTGAATTGTGTGATGTGGATGTATGGTATTAGTGTGTTACTATTACTTACCTAACGAAGTTATAGTCAAAGTTTGCATTTGGCCCAACAAATCATCAATCTTACCATCCAACACTCCATTCGCATATTCATCTCTAGAGTTGGGGTCCAAATATTGTTGGATCTGTGCCAATCTTGAGTACCCTTCAGTACAGAACCGCAATTGAACTTTGACCAAACTTTCAAATGATGGATCATAAAATGGAACTCGAAGGGCAATCAATTGAGGTAATTCGTTCTTTAGTTGTTCGTTCAAATCTTCGTAAATATCTTTAGCTACCGCCAATTCCTTCTCGACTCTGGGTAACTTGGCTGCATCCTTTGCTGGTTTATCAATAAGCCTTCGCACTTTTGATTTGCATTGCTCGTAATCAGTCTTTTTATGAGCTCGTTTCTTAATTGCCTCATCAATCTCAACAAAGTAATGGGCGAACTTGGTAATTGGGTCCAAAACTGTTTCTCTAAACGGTCCATCCAATTGTTTTACAGTCTCTTCATCAAAGTCTTGAACACATTGTTGGTAGTAGGTTCCAATAGAGGAATATGCTGACCCCCCTTGTTTTGATTCCTCGTAAAGGTTAGATACAATTTCGGCAATGACCACTTGCGACCTAGTAACTGCTCTAATGTTGTCCAAATAACTCTTTGATGATTTTTGTAACCTTTCACCAGCCGATTTCAATGTTTTGTATCTTCGCTCCTCGACATCGAAATCTTTGTCCATTACTTTGTCTACTGTCTTGACAGTAACCGAAGCACCGGCCCTATTGATCGCCTTTTTGAATCCTCCCCAAGACATTGTTTGTAAGTTTGTAAGTTTGTGAGTTTGTGAGTTTGTGAGTATGTGAGCTTGTCGGTGGTGTCGGGAACAATTTCTTTATGACCAAAAAAATCAACAACATCAACAACTTTTTGCGCAATGATTCTTTTTTTTATGGCAACTATACAAACAAAATATGAGCCAAGAAGAAAGCAAGAGAGATCATAATGATGATGATGATGGTACATCACAAGCAGATCAGCTGAAGACTACAGATGCCAGTTCTCGAGAGGAGAAGATCGAACAGATTGAAAAGTACAAACAAGAGTCTACTTTGCTTATACACAATATAAAACAGCTACAGCAATTAAACAACAGATTAAATAACGACCTAGTGTATATTCAAGATTATGTTAGCAAACTAATAAAACAATGAGATGTATAGCAAAAAATGGATGGCACATCTGATAGTAGTTTTCTTCAAATAGAATAAGGGAATTAATAAAGAACATTATTTCCATTTTTCTCGTTACAAGTCCTTTTCAAATTTGTCCCTAAATGTCCCGAAAAGGATTGACGTAAAACAAATTTTGCAACCATTTCCACATTGCAGCTCTCTATGGCAGCGAGGCAGAAACGCTAAAACAGGAGCCAAAAAATCATTGAATAACAACTTTCATTTTGTTTAAATTAGCAATAGTTTGGGTATCCACTTCGCGTAAGAATACCTCGAAAAATATCCAAGCATCAAAGCCGCAGAAAATGGAAATTCTATGCCAACTCATTGCATTTAAATCCTGAAACTTGACTCAGGTGAACTGGAAGCGATTTCACCTCCACCGGCCAAGCAAATGATTGATGAGACTTGTCAGCCAGATTTTAGCAAAATGCGATCTTGACTTGGATAAACTCTTACTCGTCAAGAAGATGCACTGTGCAAAACGGTTTCATGCTAATGGACCAACTCTTTTGCTTAGCTCCGCTATGGCTGTATGGAAAGTCCGCGTAGTTCAGTCGACTCCAAAGCGGAGCTAATTTCTATTGCATAACCGTCCCATAAGTTTTTGTGTTGTTTCGGAGTCTGTTTAATTAGGATGGGGGCGTGATGATAACAACTTGATACAGTACACTAATATACGAAACAACCTGAAAGACGTGCTGTGCGTCACTTCAACGAGCTCTGCAATGCAAGATACAGGCACATGGTTTATTGCCAAATACTGATGCTCAAAAATTCCCCAAGCTTTTACGTTGTTATTTGCAATGACCGTCATTTTCAATTGTGTAACGAAATTTCAGCTGATGTTAAAGCGGGGACGGATATAGCATTAGTCATGAAGAGAAATCTGCGGGTCAAAACACGGACACCATCAAGTAAAGCAAGGGCTGATTACCACCTCACAGGACGCTATATAAGATGACGGCAAATCCAGCTGTTTTGACTGACCGATTTTTGGCAACTTTTCATGCAAGGTGCAAAATGATTTTTGGGAAAGCAATTCCTTTCACATTGCTTACAATTGCAATTTCAAATGAGTTACCTACAATATTTACAACACGCTCGCCCATTTTGAATGAACCAAAGGATGATGCTTTTTCTGTGGCCAGCAAAGGGAAACATAGCAATTCTCATTACTCGCCATCCAACAATGACACCGGTCTTTATATTCAAACATTCATAAAGGGTATTGAAATTCCTCGCGACGACATTTTACGATGGGAGGCGAGACGCATACAGGTTGTCAAAAAACGACTTGAAAATGGATTATTGTCGCTGTTGAAACAAGAAGTCAAACACTTTTTGTTTAATCCCAAGGTTTCCATTGATGATATTGCTGCTGAACGGGAAGCTTTGGTTCAGACAAAATTAAGAATGAGCCATGATGGTAGAAAGAGATTGGTGGCACGAGAAACCAACATTTCGGGAGCTGTTTCCCTGTTGATATTGAAAACACTGACAGGCTTCTCCTCAAGCTCTATTCACATGAAGAGCAATAAAGGAACTGCCGAAGGTTTCAAAAAATGGTTTGAATCAAAGGTTTCCGATGAAAAGGTAATGCTTCAAGCATGCCCTGATCATTATGCTCTTGGTACCGCTTTTGGCTTGGGACAGGAGGTTGTAGAAACAACGGGCGGATCTGTTTTACCATCCCATTTTGCTATCAACTACCTAGCTAAATCTGACTTGCCTATTGTTGAAGATAAAGACTTTCCCCATCAGTTCAATGGACCAGCTTATAGAAATGGCACCGAAACAGTGATTGGAGGCACGAATCACTTAATGCGTTCGATTCCAAATAATGGAGGTTTTGAGATCATACCAAAAGTGTTTTTCCCGAGTGGCGTTCCAACTTACCTTTTGGAGCAGCATCGCTGGCATTTGGCTACTGAGTGGGGAAACTGGATCACTGCTTATGTCAACGATGAGGTGGGAAGTGAGAAGAGGAGTGCAGGGGTATAATATTTAAGTCTGTGTTGTACTTGCAGTGTAACACATAATTGAGTACTAGAATCAAGTTTATTAAATATTATTAACTTCTAAAATCTCTATAAAAAATCCACCGTCTCCTCTCACTTCTCCAGCTTCTTTTTGCCCTCCTTTTCCCTGTTTCCCTTTGGAACTCTGGCAATCCAGTACAATAATGCAGTGAAAACTATATTGACTGCAATGAAACAAATAACAAGTCCAAAATTTCTCCATCTCTCGCTATACCTGGCATTTACGGAGGCCAAGTAAGTATTGGTATCCTTGATGGTACAATATTGACAACCATTGGTATCGACAATGTATCCTCCTGCTTTCTCAACATAAGATTTCAAGTATGATGAACACGATTGTCCACTTGGTGGTTCGATTGTCAACAACTCTGTGCTGGAACATTCAGCTGAGGTGTTTGCCAACCCTGTAGCCAACATACCTTGCACTAGATAAGTAAACGGGTTGCAACGGTACATGAAAATCCAAAATCCAGGCAACTGATCGCCAGTTTTAAGCACACCACAAAAGTTTAAACACATGGTGAATAAAAGCGTTGCAAGATTGGCGGCATTATCAGCAAGCTCCATGAATGACATGCATAAAAGAGCCATTGTGCTCGTGTAGACGTAGAAGCAATTGATGAAAAGCCACATAAGGACACCCCTTTGATCAACAGCATCGGTAGGTTCAGCATTCGCATATAATCCAAGAGGGTAGTACCAGCAAAAGAATGCAATTGTTCCCACCGCAATTTGATACGGCATTTCTGCAGTGAGTTGTCCAGATATGAATGCAAACCAACTAAACGTTCTGGAAGGTGCTTCTCGAACTTCATAAACATCTCTTTGTTTCACGAATTGAGGAAGCAATTGTTGTACCATGGTATTGAACGGAACAAAGAACATAAAGATGGAAAACATTTGATTCTGTAAACCTTGTTGTGTTCTATCAGCCTTGAAGAACGAAAATCCGTTGAAAAGCGCTGATGAGATAACTAAAAAAGCCTTTGCATATATGTACTCCGGTGTTCTCCAATCTTGAACGATGGTTCTCCAAGTCACGATTAAATATTGCTTCCAAAGTGGTGCAGCGTAAGTATATTTAGCTTCCGGGTCCTCATCTCTTGGTAACTTAGACAATTCGGTTTCCATAGTGGCAATCTCTTTCTCACGTCTTGGTACTCCTGTGAATTTCTCCATACTTCAAAATAGTCATGTTTGGCATGGGAGCCCGGTGCAGCTCCAACAACTTGCAACATCCATTCAGCCGGGTTCGCTTCTGGTGGACATGGGTCTGCCCCATTCTTTTCGAAATAGTTGATCAAAGTTTTGAAATCCTTGCCCAAGTCTCCAAAGTAAACTGTTTTACCACCTCTCTGCAAGAACAATAAACGATCAAATTCCTGCAACAATAATGCCGAAGGTTGATGGATAGTACACAAAATAGCTTGTCCATGGTCTGCCAACTTTCTCATCAATTTACAAATCGACCATGCTGTTTGCGAGTCCAATCCTGAAGTAGGCTCATCAAGGAACAACAACAACTTGGGCTTGGCAACCAACTCAACACCAATGGTTAAACGCTTTCTTTGTTCAACATTCAATCCTTCTCCGGCAACACCAACCAAAGCATCACCATAACTCGTCATTTCCAATAAGTCAATAATGTAGTCAACATATTCATCCTTCTCCTTCTTGGAAATCTTGTTCGATTGTCTCAAGTATGCTGAAAACTGTAATGCTTCCCTAACGGTGGATGTCGGCAAATGCAAATCTTGCTGTTGGACATATCCAATAGATCTTTGGAATGACGAGTCGAGAGAATGTCCATTAACCAATCTTGTACCATCAGTAATCACACCTGTAGTAACTCGTTCCGACAAACAGTTCAACAATGTGGTCTTACCAGCACCAGATGCTCCCATCAATGCCGTAATCTGCCCAGGCTTGACCCATCCGTCAACATGATCCAAAATGACCCTATCCTCACTCTTGATCTTAACCTGGTAAGTCAAATCCTTCCAAAAGAAAATCTCCCTATTGCTTGGTATCTCAGTTGATCCTACGGACCCTTCATCTGCGTTACCGGTCTTTTCGAATCTGGCTGCTTCTCCTTCGGCTTCACGTGACACTTTTTCGTTTGGCATACCACCAAACTCAGAATCATGAGCCTCTTCCATCCTCTTTTGTTTCCGCTTCTTCAAAGATCCTCTCAAAAACAACACAATTTCACCTTTTTGCATAGCTCCTTTGTTGAATTCCGTGAGGGCAATGTAAACAAACAAGAAAAACACAACAAACCCAACAGTAATTCCCCAATTTCTCCACTTGTGCGCATTGTAATATTCATACGACAATCTGAGGTAATCTGTACCATTAACAGCATCACTTCCCGCTTTCGAACCTACAGCTGAGCAAACCCGATTTGCATTTCCGATGTTTTCGTAACCAGCACCAGCAGGAACAAAAGCAGAACATGCAAATTCACGATTGGAGAATTCGTTGTCCATTAGTGCCTCAAACACGTATCCAACAGGGTTGATGTAGTTGATCCATCTAGACCATCCCAACATTTTTGGTGTTGGAATAACAAAACCGGTAAAAATGACCATAGCCAACAAGATGACAGTTGCAGGAGTCATGGCCCCAGCAATGGAGGTTGAAACTGCCCCAATGGATCTGAACATGTGCGACATAACTAAGGTACAGCTTATACACATTAGCCAATAGAAAAAGAACCTGCCAGGATTTCTTCTGAAGTTAACCATAAAGTAGAACACAAAATTGAATGACATGGACATCATAAGCTTTGTTGGCAACTCGGTTATAATACTGGCCAAGGCGTCTGCAGATGGTCGGTAAAGTGCATACTTCTTATGCTTTTCCACAATTGGTCTTGCATCGAAAAGGGCCAAAATCTCCAAAAGTGATGAAAATGCGTTAAACAACACAGCCAAGAATAAGGATGCCCCACGGAAATAGAATGAGTTGGTGTCGCTTTTCATGTTATAGAAAACTGATGATAAAATGAGACCCATTACCAATTGTCCAAAAATTGAAAACAACGTCACCGAGGGATCACCTTTGGTTCTTAACCAATTCCTGTGCATCAAATACTTCACTTGCAACCCAAATGACACTGTATATGGAGAAGCAGGGCGAATGTGGTCCGATTGTCTTGCTGTGTGTGATTCATGGTATAATTGCTTAGTGTTGAGGTTGTCACATTCAGCAAAATATTCGTCAATCTCTTCTATCAAAGCAGCATACTCAGGTGAGTTCTTCCAACGTGCTTCGAACTCTTCAGCTGTACGAGGAACTTTATTTTCAAACCCTGGGCGTGGTTTTCTTTCTGATGGGTTGGATAATGATGTCAAGAAATCGGCAGTGGTTTGTCTTTGAGGACAATCCCACCCCATGTTGACAAAAAATTCCTTCGCTTTGTCAGCGCGACCAAAGAAGATTTGATACCCTTCGTACAATACAACAACCTTGTCAAACAAATCGTAAGCATCTTGTGAACATTGGTAGATGGCAATCAACGGAGTGGTGTCCAAGACTGCTGCTGACGTCTTTAATGCTCTGATAAACTCCAATGCGGTAGCCGAATCCAAACCTCTGGTGGCATTATCCCAACATTGGATATTAGCTCCATTCAATGATGCTTCTGCAATTGACACTCTTTTTCTTTCACCACCTGAAACACCTCTGACAAAGTCATTACCAACATTAGTATTCTTTGTGTGTAACAAACCATAGGTGGCCATGTACACATCAGCCATGTGCTCGGCATATTTTTCTCTATCCACATTCTCGCCTCTGTTTTGTGGAGTTCTCATCCTGGCTGCAAACTGCAAAGTATCACCAACCGACAAGTGAGGGAAGTGGACATCAGTTTCAGCAGAGTAGATGACATCGCCTCGATAGTGTTTAGCAATCTCTTTTGGTGTCAATCCATCGTAGGTGATCTTTGACTCTTTGCCAATGTGAAAACCATACGTGTTGACAGCAATTGTCTTCAACAAGGTGGAACAACCAGCACCTGGTCTACCCAATACAACAGTAAGCTCACCGGGTCTCATAAGAGCATCCATGTCTTTCAAAATATCAAACATTTTCGACTCGTCTTCCTTCTTCAACATTGATAGCGCCTCTGTAGCGTATTTCCAAAGACCATTGGTCACAGTTGGTTGATAATCGGTATCATTGGCGGTACCATACGCTCTCAAATTTCGATAAGCAACGCCCAATTTCGAAGGTTTGTAGTAGTCAGGGTGTTTATCAAACAATTTCTTTTGATTCTTGACCCAAAATTTAGCTTCGAAATATTCCGAGTTTGGATCCAACCTTTCATCTTCAATTTCCTCAGCTGGATTCACGCCAGGTACTTGTGACATATGCGTCAAGTATCTTCTCAATTTGGTTGCTGAACTAGTATCCTCATTGGTATAAGTTCTCGCGATCTGATTTATGTCACGGGCATCAAACCCTGAATATTCATGTATTGACGGTCCCGACGACGTTGAATTGGTTTGTTGTTTTTCCAACTTGTTGACCGAGTCCTCTTTGGATTGTTTTTCGCAATCAGACATTCCTCCTTGAATTGTAGTGCTAGGAAAGGACAGAAGGGGTTTTGGAAAGCATGGTTGAGGCGGAAGATTCAATCTTTTTTATATCCATCGAAAGTATAAGAGGACCCGATTCCAATGAGGGATTTCATAAATTGTTAGTAAAAGGCATTGAAAAGCCCTTAGACACAAAAAGTAATAAGGAAACACGGAATCGGATTAATTTTTACGGAGAAAGTTGCACCGAAGAATAACAAAATTAATTTCTCAAATCGAACGAAAGTATGATGGTGGCAGCAAAGCCATTAGCTCCTTGGATGCACAGGCTTTTATAGGACTGGGATGGAATAACCTTCAATGGAGTTAGGAGCTGATGATAGGGATAAGTACATCAAGAGATTGGAATCTAGACCAC